CTTGCTTCGTGCACATGCAGTTGTTATTGCCCGTTATTTTCCATCTCCAGCGACGATGTCGAGCCGGGGGACCCACGGAGCCGAAGTCCAGTGTGTGATTTTTTTGTAGTCTAGTCCGGGTGGTCTTGTCAGAGACGTCTTCTTCGATGTGCAATACTCCAGGGTGTGAGGAGTGCAGGTCTAATCTGTCTGTCGTGTAGTAGTGAAGCAATGCTCCAGGGACTAGGATGTTGTGCAGCGTCAATCTCCAGCTCCAGCTCTCTTCTGATGTCGTCCTTTCTCTGGCATTCCAAAATGGAGTGGTGTGGATGATCCTGGTGCCCGCAGTCCGGGTACTCGTCTGATTCCGATCTTGCAAACCTCAGTAGATAAGTGCCAAAGGCGCCATAGCCGGCGAGAAGTTTTGACTGTTGCATGCTGGATGTGCTTCCTGATGTCATTGTTGATGTTGGGCAGAAGTCGGTGTGTGAATCTCCCAGTGTCAGCTGCTTCCCACTCTTCCTGCCATCTGATCCTGAATCTGGTCTTGGCGATGCTTTTGGACTCTTCTCTCTGTCAGTTCTTTATCTCCCGTATCTCTTTATCCATTTTAATCCGTAGGTCGATTTTCTCGATTGGAATGTTGCCAGTTAGTATACGCACAAGGCGTTGTGGGGTGTGATTCTGTACGCACCTGTGATTTGAGCTAAGATCACCCTCCTTTGCGATTCTCTTAGGCTTCTTTTGACATGGCTATGTTCGATTCTGTGATCCCACGCTCTTGAGGCATAACATATGATAGGTCGGTAGACCGTGCCATAGAGGAAGTTGAGCTTTGCAAATTTAACTCCATATTTAAGTCTTATTAACCTGGTGAGTTTGCCAAACATATTTACAGCCTTAAGTCCTACTCTTCCTTCACATGTTCGCATGTTGAGGAAAAACAGGTTTCGTTCCAACGTGACACCAAGGTTAGCTTTCCTTACAAAGGTTATATTCTGCATTGACAGTTTGTTGTTTGGGTTTCTGCCTGGCATTTTGCCCTTGAGGATGATTCCCTGAGTTTTGTTTAGAGAGATTTCCATTTTGGATTCTCTCGCCCAGTTGGTGATCACTTCACAAACTCTGTTTCCTGTGCCTCAATTTCCCTCCTCGAATTTCCTTTGACAGCGAAAGCTACGTCATCCGCAAACGCGACCACTTCAACTGTGTCTGGCATTTCCCCCTTTTACAGCCTGTCAAACGCAATGTTCCACAAAAGTGGTCCAAGCACGGATCCCTGCGGAGCACCTTTGCTCATCATCTTCACTATGGTTTCTCCATCGTTGTCTAGGGTGATGCATCTATCGCTAAGGTAGCTTCTAATGATTGAGGTGATGTCCCTTGGGACGTTGACGTTTTCCAGGGCTCGAATAATTTCAGGCCACCAAAGGGAGTAATATTTACCAAGATTGCTATGACGTATTTTTCATGTGCTTTCCTGATGGTTTGAACTATTTTGGAAATCGCATCAGTGGTGCTTCTACTAAAACGGAAGCCATACTGGCTTTGACTCAGGAGGTCATTGCTCTCTATGTAATTTGTCAATCTATTTCCGATGAGACGTTCGAGTATCTTGCCCCCCACAGGGAGAAGGCTGATGGGCCTGTAGGAGCCTGGATTTGATCAGTCTCTTGGTCCTGATTTCTTAATGGCTTTGAGTCTCCCAATCTTCCAGACCTTAGGGAAAATTCCAGATCTCCAACACCTGTTGTATAGGTTCAAGAGGTAAGTTCTATTGTCCTTGTATAACTCCTTGTAGACCTCTGCAGGAATCAAATCCGGGCCTGGGGCTCTCCATGATTTAGCTTTGCTTATTGCGTCTTCTAGTTCTATTGCGGAGAAGGGGGGGTTCAATCCCTGTTGAGTTAATGACTCTATCTTCGAAGTATTTTCTTGTGGCCTTTTGCCTTTCCGTTTCTTGTTCAGAATTATCAGAGGGCACCAGCACCAGCGTGTCAATAAGAATGGTTAAGGTTTCTAGGTTGTCATTAGTGTGTGTCAAACCTGTATCCAGTGTGGATAGTACTTCCTTCATTTTAACTTTAACCGCTCCAATCTTGTAGGTTAAGCTATATGGGTCCTCATTTACGCTTTCTCTTACAAAGGTTTTCCAACTTTGTTGCTTAGCTATTTTGATCTCTTGCTTATATCTCCTCCTAGCTAATCAATAAGCTGCAAGTTTGGCCAGTTTGACCCTGCACTCGCAGCATGATTGGTACTTTCCTTCTAAGCCTATTTTTGTTTTGCCTAAGATGAGTTAGGAGCTGCGACCTTTCTCATCCTCCTCTCCGGAGAACCAAGCTGGTGAGTGGGCATTTGCATCTATGCTGATGATTATCATGTTTTCTCGTTCACCATCAATAATTGCTTGCCTATGTTTGAGTTTGTTTTGATTGTAGCGTTGCTATGCACTCAGCAAAGGAACGCTGGTGGCGCTGCCTACGAATTGACAGGCAAAGCTCTCTCAAAGTACTTAACGCTTTTTACCATGCGGTTGGCATTCTGGGTTATAGTAGTATGTTTTCTGTGGTAGAAGGCACAAATGTCTCCAAATTCCCTGACTATAGTCAATTCAAATAGAACTTGCGGTTGATTAATACCAGCCGGCCTATTTAAAAACATTTACTTGGCCCCCAGCTTTATTTCCTTTGACTAGTCACACTCTTTGGTTCAGACAGAAACAAGCCAACAGAAGACGGTTCCATAACCCTTGGTTTTAGTGAGTAGGCCACCAGCTTCTGGGTTACAATTTTGCACCCCAGAGGGGTTGGTTTTGCGATGTCCTGACACAGTTGTTCTCAAATCATTAACAGGACAGGTCTAATGAGTGACATGTTATTATAGATTACTGGAAATGTCATGTGAGTTGTGTCATTGTCCTTTCTGACTTAATGGGTTTAAACTTTGATATGGTGAAACTTTTTAATTTTAATACAGTAGTAAAATACCCCGCCACAGCAAACCTGCAGACTAAGCAAATTTCCAACGGCCAAGTTGGATTTTCAATAACTTATTTTCTTTTAATTGTCAGATTTATTTCTTATTTTCTGAACATTAAAATCTTTGATTACTTCAGTACAAGCAAACATAGCGCATATAAGAGTATAGGATTTATCTATAAACAATCAAACTACAACAGTTTATTTATTCTCTTCAATAATAACTTATGAAATTTTAATATAAATTTTTTTAGTTCCACATACGATAACGAGATAAAAGTTAGTGTATTCAACAGAACACCCACACAGTCCACCATCCACATCCACCAACAATCTGTCGGTGGGTCACATCAACTATGGTATTGATTAACTATACTGGTGACAACTTTTAAAATAGGGATGGAATGTCTTGTTTCAATAGTCTAAGGTCTTACCATAAGCCTATGGTAATAGCTTATTCCTTGCATGAGAAATTCCCGAATAGCTTAAAAAACACCCACACTGCAGCAAACCTGCAGACTAAGGGAACTTCCATTTACCCGATTTGATTTTCACTTAAATCTATTTAAATACTTACTTACTTTATACTTTAAATACTTTTTTACTTTCAATGAAATGGCGACCATACAAAGTAAGTATTTTAAGCCAAGTATGAATGGAGATGAGTGGCGCCATCATGAAGTCTTGTTAGTGACTCAGGCCGACTTATTCCTTAGACACAGCTGTTAATTAATAGCCCATACAGCTAATGGCAACCAAGGGACCTACAGTTTATAGTGGAATCCGAGCCACATTTTTGCCTTGGTTTGGTATATGAGAATTGGTATAATTTTCAGGATAGTACTGCGGATAGTTGTAGTATTCACTCGTGCGGACGTTAATCCACACTAGGGAGTAACGCATTCATAGTGCATGCCAATAAATATCCACAATTTGTAACCTCCTAGTGGCTGGATTACAGGACGACGCCACCCGTCCCAGTTATATATTAGGTTTAATGAGTACCTAGGTTTGCTGCTAAAGGGAGGTTGGTAAAGTGTGTTTTTATTGTAAAATATTAATAGCTTAGAATAATATGAATTAATTTGCCAAGCTTGAACAAAATATATCAAAAAATCAGCCGCAAACTTGACTTATTCTACAAAAGAATAACACGGGAATTTTAATTAAGTTTTTTTCCTTTCTCCACAACCATAAACTGTACAAAAACACTACATATACTAAATAATTTGTTTTTTTGTACTCTTCAAAATAGTTTTGAGAGAAATTAGAAAAAGTTTTATGTTTTGAGGGTTAATAATGGGAAAGTCCTATTTTTACCCCATAAATCCCCATTCCCATTCCAATAAATCTGGTTTGCAAAATCATTTTAGTTTATCCCGTCCTAAATCTTTAAACCAAATTTCATTAAAATCGGGCAAAAATAACTCAAGTTATCGCGTTTACGAACACATACACAAATAACAATTTGAGCAAATAGTGTTTTCGGCCTCTGGATACATCAAAATGAAAAAGCGAATTGGTCCCAGGCCTGTTTCTTACCATGCCACCTACCGTAATAGTTACTCCCCTATAGGGAAATTTGCTAAAAACTAAATATAGCTAAAAACAGAATAAAGTTAGGAAGGGTTTGGGCCCTGTTATTTTTAGAATGGCTAGTGAAGTGACACTAAAACTGTCATTTGAAATTCATGGTTCATGGTATGGATGCTCTATGAACGTGGAATGGAGTGTAAAATCAGAACATGAAAAACTTTTTTGTGATGTTCTTTTTTTTGTGATGAACTTTTTTGTTGTTGTGTGATGTTTTTTGTGTTGGTAGAACATCACAAAAAAGTTTTTCATGTTTGTTTCCCTACACAAACCTGTCTTTTCAAAGACATCCAAATTCCATTTTCCAGAAAGAGCAATACTACAACATAGTCATCAACAGCTTTGATAACCTTGTACAGTAATTAAATAGGTTATTTAATTTACTCAATCAACATTGAAAAAAGATTCCATGAGTTTAACAAAATGTTGAAGTAGGTACAAAATGAGTAAGAAATAAAATCAAAGTTTTATTACAAATTTATTAATTTATAATAATTTTAAGTACCTAATATGTTATAAATGTTTGTAAGACAATTGTGACAAAAAAAAATTAACAATAACTGATTTTAAAAAAATTAACCTTACGCGAACAATAAGTCGAGAACGGAAGTGAGTTCATAACCTATTTACAATAAATGCTGTTAACGTGCACAAGGAAATAAAATAATACTTTGCGGGGTTAAGGAAAAAGCAATTTGATCTCAAACAAGAGGGCTGTTACAGTAAAGCGAGGTTAGTGTTAGCTTTGTGCTGTCTAGCAGTGGCCGCGGTCCTGCACTCGCTTGCGTGGCGCCGCCTTGATGATGTTGTCCACTCGCAAAATCATTTCGGCTGCCTCAGAGGCTGATAGCAGCACTTGGCGCTTCACCACAAATGACTCAGTGATGCCCAGCTGCTTCATACATCCGATCCTACCAACCTCCATATCTGCAACGACCAAACATAGTACTTAAGACTTTGACAATGGGTAGAAAACCAGGAATGGACCGGACATGTGAAAGCAAGGGAATATGAAGCTACAAGCTTTGGATAAAACAAACATGAGAGGAAACGCTGGGAGATTAAAGACTCCAAAGAAGAGCTAGAAAGATGAAGAAGCCAAAGACATGCGAATATAAGCCGCATGATGAAGAGGACAAACAAGATCCAGAGAAAAGTTAGTTGATGAGGCTAAATAAAATTATGGGTTAATGGACATAATAGTAAAGCAAGTACAAAAGTAAGAAAAATAAGAGTGCATTTTAATTCTAAAATTTTTTAGAGTTCATGGGCAGGTAACATACTACATAGCTTATAATACTGAAACAACACAAAATATTGAAATACTTATTGCAGAAGAAGGTTATGTTTTTAGGAAATAGCATTTAGCTTGGATTAAATAAATATATAGGATGGAGAGGACACAGCTAACTCACCTGATGAAAGGTTGCAGACGAGTCAAAGAACACATAAAACACACACATAATAATACTTGATATTTCGCCTCTTTCAGAGGCTTCTTCAGAAGTAGGCCTAGATGGTAGTTACAAGAACAACAGTTTAAAATAGGATGACACAGTTTTGAAATAACTTAACAGTAGGCCTATTGTTTGTTGATAAAGTATTAGAAATTGTGTGTTCAAATCAAATTAATTTAAACTGGTAGATTTTGATGTAGATCGATGCGCTAAACTTTGGTTCGAGCATTCTTCCCCTAACTTTTTTTTAGTAGCAAGGTTATGAAAACCACATGCACCACCTCCCCCCCCTGCCATCTCTGTAGTAAGACTACGCAGCTGTTGTGTTTTCGTCCTCCATCACTGTGTCATCCTATTTTAAACTGTTGTTCTTGTAACTACCATCTAGGCCTACTTCTGAAGAAGCCTCTAAAAGAGGCGAAATATCAAGTATTATTATGTGTTCTTTGACTCGTCTGCAACCTTTCATCAGGTGAGTTAGCTGTGTCCTCTCCATCCTATATTTATTGCAGAAGAAAAAATCATAAAAAAAGCTTTTTTCTAATAATACCATATAATTCATTTGCAAAGTATTTCTTATGTTATAGAGATGACAATTTATATAATAAATAGATTTACAGGTTATCTTAGAAAAGGTTAGTTTTGTTTAAGGAAAGTCTCTCTGCCAAGATTTTGATTAGTAGGTTAAAAGCAGTTAGCTTACCTTTAGAAGAAGATAAATTATGTTTCTTTGTACTTCTTTTAAGGTTAGCTAGCTGCTATCCCTTCATTCAACAAATCAATTACAGTCCAACCTCAGTATAACGAATCTAAAGGGACCGAACTGAATATTCGTTATATCAAGGATTTTGTTAAAACGAGGTTCGTTATATAGAGGTTAGGTTTGCAGGAATTTTGCTAAGTCGAGGTTCAGAACCAGCGTCGGTCAATATAGGTCGGGATTTGACCTCATTAAAATACAATTAAAGTAGCATAGGCTACGCTACAATACTTTACAGTACAGTGTTTACTTTACATTGTACAGTAGAACCTAAGTTATCCGGCAAAATAAAGGGGAGGGATCTTGAATATTGCGCAATCATGACAATGGCATTGACCTTGGTACAGGTTAAAAACTGTAAGTTTGAAATCACAGCTTGTTCTAACCCTCCTAAAACCTAGCCAAACACTGTGTATTGCGTAGTCATAAACCATGTAAAGAACAAAACAAAACAGTAGAAAGTTTTGTAAGCTACTGCTCGTGATAGGCCGGTAGGCTACTTACAGTACAGTACTGATTTATCACAACAGAGGAATGTCAATAATAATCATTAACTATAGCATTGGTATTGCTAGTTGAAACAAATCGTATTGAAAACATTAAATTATTAGATAAGTCATTATAAAAGTGTATAATCATAGCTAACTTAAGGATAATAAAAATACTCGTAAAAGGAATGTTAAGATAACGATGTTGCTATTCTTTCTCTTTGGTTTTGTTTTTATATTCTTTCTTAGGTTTCTCTTTATCCAAAAATTGTACAATTCACCATAGTTATCCCATATCGCCCAATCACAGCTTACTAAACATTACGTCGTCATCAGTCCTCAGAGAATGAAATCAGTTCAGTTCTCAGTCTCAGTTGCAACATAGCGCGCGCAGCGACAGCAGACAAAGATGTAAAACGGAGCAGACGAATGTTAGCGCAAGCGATGACGTGACCTTTCCATTTCATTTGATAAAGAAACAGATTTTCCCAAAACAATAATTGGGTGGGGGATTTGTTATATCGAGGGAAAGACGTAGACAATTCGTTATGCAGAGGTTAAATTCGTAATGTAGAGGTTCTGACAATGATAAATTCGTTATATTGAGGTATCTTATTTTAGCCGAAATCACAAACAATTCGTTAAATCAAGGTCGTTGTTATGGTTTGTTCGTTATGTAGAGGTAAAATATACATTGTGTCTTATGGAGAGTTCTAAGGGATTAAAAAAAATTTGTTATATCAAGGAATTCGTTATATCGAGGTTCGTTATATCAAGGTTAGACTGTACATTAAAATGTTCCGATATCCTATGACAGATAACATAATATTTGATTACCTAGGGGACTTTGCCAAGTAGTGCAAACACAAAAATGTTTAAGAATTTTTGCCTCACTCTCTTTGTCTTTATTTGACAAAATCCCCCAGGGAAGACAATATTGTGTGTTTCATGTGTCTTAAATATGTGTATTGGCCTACCTCCTAAAGATCACAATGCTGGCCAAGGGCCTTACTAGAAAGAAACAAAGAATAAACCAAACCAAAGTAGATGGACTATTTATTATCACTAACCCAGTCCAGAGGTGGAGTTGCCTTGTGCATGAGCCGCTCTCAGCTCACTGATCAGCTGGGCTGAGTCGTAGCCAGCATTGTCTGCTATGATGGTAGGCAGCTGCTGTAGAGCACGACCAAACGCCTCCATGGCCACTGCCTCCTTGCCTGCTGTCTTGGCTGCCTCTGCTTGTACTGCACACGCCATTAGCATCTCACTGCAGCCCCCACCTGTGGCAAGCCATCAACCTCAAGATAATATAACCTACAAACTATTCTAACTGATACAATAAATCAATGCTGAGTCAATCCTGTAAATATTTGTACCGAAAATCCATGATTATTTAAGTCTAGTCCACACATGGAGACTGAGTCGGCCGACTGCTTGCCAACTGTGCGCTGACAGTCGGCAGACAGTCTGTAACACAGTTTCGGATACAAGTTTCCGATGTGTTTTGCGTCCACACTAGCCAGCCAGTGCATGTTTGTTGGTATGGTGACCGAGGAGGACGTAATTATATCCTGAGCGGGCTTCATTTTACTGAACCACGGGCCTAATGAATCTACGAAGAGGCGATGATGGACCCAACATTTTCTCGAGCAAGGTTCGTACTATGGTCACAATATTCTATCAGACCTTCAGATTAGGTGGAGGATTTAGGAACTTCACGAGGTTGACTTCTAAAGATTTTGAAATTTTGCTGGGTTTTGAGATGAACAATTCAATATAATGTCATATAATGATATAAATCAAAACACATTGAAAACTAATTCCAAAGCTTTCAAGAAACTCAATACAGCTCTTTTATTACCGTCCAAAAATCGTAATATTACCGCTTTGCAGTCTAACTAAATGGGCTGAATGTTGAACACCTTCGGCTTGTATCCAGTCTCCTGTCTCCAGACACGTTTACACATGCAGACTTGAGACAAAAGTTTTGTCTCTTGTCTCCGTGTTTCCCATTCGAACGGGAAACAGAAAACACTGTATTTTGTTTCCAGAAACACCGAAATTTGTCTGCCGACAGTCTTACTGGAGAAAAAATAGCAACACTCCGGAGACAGTCGGCAGACAATGTTTCCGCAGACAAATCGCCATGTGTGGACGAGGCTTTAGCACTACATGGACAGGTCAGGTACAACAACTTTCAGCTGAAGAATGGTTGTGGAAGGTTAAAGAGTTAGTCGACAGCCTGATCTTCACTCGGGTTTTGATGCCATACATTATGTAAGGTATGCCTAATGTAAATCGTTTTGTTTCTGTGTGTATTTTATACTAGTTATTCCCTTGTTTTACCTGGGCTCTTGGTGTTGTAGGGAGTGATAAATTACAACATCAAGAACACTGGCAAAAGATATAATAGGCTAACTAATTTAATGTCAGCTTTTGTGATGTAAAAGGTATAGTTTACCAGTTGCGTCAATTGATCCTAGTGTTATAAATCAAATAACTACAGCGGTTTCGTACAGCTAAATGCACATCTTCAGGTTGGAACGTTAAAAAACAGTTTTATCATCCGTGAATGAGGTCATCAGCATTTGTACATTGCTCATTTAGGACACATTACACGAAACACATACAAAACAACATTTAGGTATTTACAATAAAAAACTTGGCCAAGTAGTCCGAATACGAGGTGGGTAACCAGTTGGTGATGAGTCATGACCCGTGTCGAGAGTTGCGACCCTCTCCCTTTGTCTTGATTCTGTTTTGTTTTAGTTGTGAATGTGGATGGCAATATTGTAAATGATATTGGATTTGAAGTACAGCTGTTCATTTATATTGCTTTAAGTAAAAAGAAATACAATAGGTAGAATTTCAATACAATATGAAGTATCAAAATAAAATAAACGGTTCCTTTATCTTATTGAATTATTAATCTAAATTACTTGAGAATACTCAAAGAAATAAGTAAAGCTAGCTTACCAAAGTAAATTAAACAGTTGCAAACTCATATATAAAACAGTAATTTAGCATAGAGTTTTGTGAAACATAAATGCTCCTGGAATCAACAACCAAAATATATTGTAGAATTAAATTGCAGTAATCCAGTGTGTGTGCGTACCATAGACGATGCTGCTCTCTCGCACAGTAGCAGCAAGTACACACAGGGCGTCATGCAGGGAGCGGTCAGCCTCGTCTATGATCTGCTGAGTGGCGCCTCGTATGACGATAGTGCACGCCTCTCCTAGCGCCACACCACTGAACCTCATCAGAGTGTCCTCTCCGATCATCACCTGTCATGTACATGTTGGTGGTGTTATACGGATAAAATGAAATACATTTTCTAACACTACTTTATATATTTTAACCTTTATTGCAATTACTTACAAGAATAAAAGACCTCATTCAAATTGGGAGGATGATGCTCAATGAGACTATTTGAAATATATAGCCAATACAACACCTTCTATATTCTGTATTTACCATATTGTATTATTGTAAATATAAGGAGTTTGGTTAGGTTTAACAGCACGCTTTTCCTATTGACAAAAATAGATGAAAAGCCAAAATAAACACAGGAATTAAATTTTATCAATTAAAAATCAAGTTTATATCATTTCTTAAAACATAAAGATTTCAATGTTTTTAACTTACATTTGATATAAACATTACACTAATACTACAGATATATTTGTATATGTCAAGTTAGTGACATATTGTTACCTCTTGGATGACATCACAACGTCCCAGTTTGACCTTGTCTGGTTGGTCGAAGGTGCTCACTATCTCTCCGCCAGTGACCAGTGCTAGCCTCTCAATGCCATCAAAGTCTGCATGTTCAATGGCCATGACACCAGCGTCCGCAAACAGCTGCTCTGGGTAGTTGTAGATCAGCTGTCTAGAATTCAAATAAACATGAATTACAATTAAATAACTTAATCAATCAAATAACCACAAACAAATCCTTAACACAAAGCAGGCTTCCCTTTATATAAGTCCATAGAGACACATGATCATCCATGTGTTTTAATGGACTTATTTAAAGGTAAGCCTGCTTTCTTGTCAATTTCCTAAACAATTCCTGGGAAACGCCCTATCTTTTAATCAGAAAAACACATGTTTTATGAGGATCTTATGATCTATAAAATTAGAACAAAGAAAAACAACAAACCAACAATTCTTGTTGATGGATATATGGAGGTGGACGTTACACACATCTCAGAGAGGTACAGTGGAACTTTAATGTAATCATACCACATTCGGATAAATTAGTTAGAACTTTGTCTAATTTCGGGGTATTCTATAGAAAATAGGCTGTTGAGCCGAGCCTTTACTATCTCGATCACAGAATGTGCCTGCAAAGACTCCACGGCCGAAAAATTCAAGCTTTTTGGGTTTTTTTAAAAAGGTTTATTGCAAACATTTTCCATCACGATGGTAAAAAACTATACGCAACGTTTCGGGATCTGGAATCTGATCCCGTCCTCAGGTAAAAAAACTTAACTAACACATTACAACTAACAATTACACAAATGCCGAACCTAAGTTGGAATTCACTACAGAGGGTACAGTAGACTCCCACTTATCCGGACACCTTTTAACCGGACATCGGTTTAACCTGACTACACTCAACGGAAATTACATCTCTTTAACCGGACAATTTTTATCAGCGCATTGGTTTAACCGGACTAAATCGGCAGGAAGTGGGCGGTAATGAAACTACTGTTCTCGTGGGAAAGATATGAAACCAGTGATCACATGTCTAAATACAATGCTCTCCTAAATTTAAGTCGAATAACACCATAAACGGTCCGTTTTAACGAGTTTTTGGGGACATTGGCTTAACCGGAAAACCCGTTATCCGGACTGGCCTTGGTCCCGAGGAGTCCGGATAAGAGGGAGTCTACTGTAGCAGTAAAAAAATATGCACTGTATAGCAGTCAAGTCATGATACAACATACAATTGACAACCAATCACAAAACACTATAGTCTATAAAAGGTGTAGTGTGATCAGCTCACACAATGAAACACTAATAGCACCGTTCGCAATGACTCCACCAATGAGACTGAAGCACTCTAGCAACTAGTTTTCTTTCTTCTCCCTTCTGATGAAGTCCCTAGCTGGGACGAAATATTAAATATTTTCTGTGTTGTGTCATGTATTTTATGTGTGTTACCAAGACTAATCTGTTCTCTGTCTACCAGGTAAGCTAGCTGATCCCTATCCTTGTACATAATAATCCTAATCAGCCAATTGGCCTTTTCTTAACTCCTAACTTATAAGAACATTAAAAATGTAATAGTGAAATAAAATAGTGTAATGTATAATTTTTTAAAGAAATTACTAAGTCTGAAGTGTGTAACATTCTTTTTATGTTGTGACTCGGTCCCTGAACACAACCATTGCTTTGCAGTTTTTTATAAATTTATTGATTGCTGCCATCGCTTAAGACAGTAATGATGTTTTCATGACAGCTGGAGACTATGATTTCAACATGACTGTTGAAGATGTTCAGGATTTTGCCACGATCTTGGCTTTTGCCTTCTTTAATAAACATTCTTATTACTATAGTGTTAGGTTTTAAGAATTACTTCTGCAAGTGTTTTGGATAGTTGGGAGTTCAAATAATTAGAGTTATACTGTAACACATGCATAGATATGTCACAGTTGGGCTCATCTTGAGTTGTAGGTAAAATCAGAAATTGGAAAAAATATTGAACTTCCTGGAATTTACAGTTACTTTGTATGTACCTGTATATTCTCTCTAGTGGTATTATCACACAAGTTATTTCTACGAACATTTCTACCCATATCGTATTTGAGAAAAAATCCTTTAACGGGAAATAGAATCAATACAACAAATCTATCCTAAACATAATTTAAATTATCTCGTGGACATGGATTCTAATCAGATTTCAACTAAACCTTTACTATAGAATGTAAAAGAATTGAAGATGGTTTAGAGACCTGTTGATGAAGACATTGCAGCCATGTTTGACGATTTTTTCTACTTTGTCCTTCATCTTCTCCTTCTCGGCGACCTCGAGTTCAGCAATCTTGGCCATGGAGTCTACTCTGACCCGAGAGCCGAACACTTTGATCTTGTCTGTGTCCATAGGAGTGTTTGCGATCAGAATCTTGGCATTCTCCACTCTCTTAGGCTGGTGCTGGCCAGGCTTTTTATCCAACAGGAATCCTGAAATAGAGTGGGAACATTTTTGACTGATGTATATAAAAAGAGGTTGGCGGCCTCTTTTAACCTTGCATTTGCCCGTCCACATAGACTAAGCGCCCGTGCGTGGATCGTTTACAGCAAAGCAAGGAGTGAGTCGGTACAGTACAAAGGTGATCTGTACTGATAAATTTAAGTGGCAGTGACCAGGATCCGAACCCATGACATCGCTGCCTTGGGCCCATAGTCCGCGACGCTACCGACTGAGCCACCGACTCACATAAACTAAAAATAGGAGCTATGGTATTTTGCCTAAGGCTTATGCATTTCATGTTAATGTCAGAGATAGGGGTTCAATTTAAATTGTTATAGGTGTTCTGCAAATGGTTTGCTCTAAAGTTTTGTTAAGATCTGGGGATGAGTGGTTTTAATAGGCCTATCTATAGCAAGTAATGAAACAGCACTATTTATTGGTTGAAGATTCCTTTACTCTGGAATATTGAAAAAATATTTAGGCTTGATTCCCATATAAAAACAAAAATACAATTTTTCTGGTTTTTAAATTAGTAGGGATGGATGGGTCCCAAAATTTCAGGAAAAAATATTTTTGATCATCTGGACGGGATTACATTTGATTCGGATTTTCCCGAGAAGGGATTTGTCACAACCCGATCGTCAGCGATTTCGCCAAGTCGTGAGTGACAATGATGATGTCTCCATTATTGCGAGGAGACGATGATGTATTCATAAACACAGGAGCTGTACTTGAAGGCACCATTACCTCGATACATATTGACGATAGCACCGTGTCTGCGTGACAATGGCATTGTGATTGCGGAAGATGTTCACAATGGTCTCTCACAGGCCTTAAAATCCTAAACAGTTATAAAGTGCAGTGATGCTCGGTTTAGACAACTTTTTTATGGTATTTTATAATTAGACTGTTAGTAAATTAGATAGGCATCACGTTTTAGTTGTCTGAGCATTTCAACAATCATTTGCTTTTATAGAACAGTGCCACAGGGACAAATTGATTTTAATTCCATAGTTGCTAAATGAAAAAAATGTTTTCTCAAGATATTTATTTTTGTACAAGGAAAACCCCTGTCCTGAAAATAGGGAAGAAAATTATAATCACGCCGTGACCTGAAGTATAAGTATAAGTCTAATCTCTTCTATTCCTAAAAATCAGATACAATTGTTTTATGTAGCTGAAAGGTTAGAGTGCTCGTATAACAAAAGGTCGCCTGTCCATTCCTGAGAAAAGTCAGTGGCTTTTTCATGGTTTGTAAAGGACCCAGCTGGTCTTGATTATTGGGCTATAAATGGTCCTAACTTAAGAAACAGCTGATCTTTGTCAGTAATACACACTTCTAGTCTCACTCCATTTCACACTCATCTCACTTTTATATTCAGAATAAAATATATTGTGTCTAGGTAGATTTGCTGATTCACAGGCCCCAGGCACAATACGAGCGGTGAGCGTCAAGCGTCGAGCGGCACCGCTCTGCCACAGCTCTGCAATCAGGCCCCTTATGTTACCGTGCAAATTTGAAGAGGGATGCCACGATAGACCTGAGTGGCGAGCGACAGTCGACGGCACTGCTAAGCGTCGAAAGCACCGCCAAGTCCTGCCCAATTACTTTTTGTAAGACACTCGACACTCAGACGAGTCATGCTTCTTCCCACGGTTTTCAGTCTAGATCAAGATGTCAGAGGAGCAAGAATCACATTGGCCTCAAGTCAAACTTAAGAAAAAGGACGTCGTTGCTTTGCAAAAGCTTAAATTGAAAGTTTCATGTGTGAAGTTAAGTGACGCTCATCATTATGGAAAGATAAGACAACAACATCAAAAACATTACGTTGATAAGGAAGCTGTGGGATGAACTGTGAGTGGTGTTTGACATGTCAGCTTTATTAATAAAATATTTTATATCAATATACATAGTATTTTAGGGACAGATTTTAAGCAAAAAGTACAAGGCGCTAAAAAAAGTGCTCCAACGCCGGGTGTACTTGAGGTGACACTCGAGTGCCGCTGGACACTCTGGTGACGCTAGAGTGCCACTGGACGCACAACGCTCGTATCACGCTAAGTAAATGATACAGATAATGGGCACAAGGTAGGTGTAACTGAAGATACTAGGTTTGATTCAGGACACCTACAAAAGCATTTATCGCATTTGGCAAATCCAAAGAACATTATGTTTTGATAGTTTGTATGTCATGCTGTTCAATAGTAATTAGAGAACTTTCACGGAAGGAAAGGTTCATAAACATACTCATTGTTCTAGCATTCCAAATAGGACCTACAGAGCCGGCCTTAGGCACGTGCGATAGGAGGCCCCTCTCTGGGTGCAAAATACAAAAAAAAAATTGTAAAAAGTCTGTGAATTTTTCATTAATAGCATAGGCAAATTAAAAAAGTTAAAAATAACGGGGGAGTATTAATATACTTATATTTTACATTGAGATCTTTTCTGTTAGGGATCTATTGTTGGGATAGGCCTACTACTTTTTTGGTAGGAAGGGCGCTCTGAATGTTCGCACTGGGCCTCGCAACACTGAAGGCCTGCTCTGCCTACAAAATAAAGAGACTCACCTTCATCCAAGAAAGAATCTTCAAGGACCCCTCCCTTCTTCTTGATGATCTGAATGGCTCCTAGGTTCCCACTTCCCTTGAGCCGCAGAACTGCGTCCACAGCAAGTTTAGAGAAATGTTCCTTGTGTTGAGACAAGATCTTGGAGCTCAGAGTTGTGCGGGCAATGTTCAAAAGGTCTTCACGGAACTTTTCAGAATTTGCGCTACATAACAGGAGAAATGTGGATGCAATTAGTTGAAGTGGCCTTGTACAATACCTTCATTAGTGTATAAATGTCAAGTAAAGTAAGAAGGTCAATAATAAAAATATAAATTAATTTCATGGAAAATATTATGTTTAGTGGCAATTTTGCATTGTAAATGTATTTGATTAAGTTATTAAAGCAAACAGAAACACCCACACCGCAGCAATTCTGCAGACTAATCAAATTTCCATTTGCCTGATTTGATTTTCACTTAAATATTTTTAAAAAACATTAGGTTAATATTTAATTCTGAAATGAGTACCTAGGTTTGATGTTACAGGGAGTGTAATAATGTGTTTTTAGTTAAATATAATTAGCTTGGTATAAAATAAATACATTTTCCAAGTTTGATCAAAATATATCAATAAACAACCAAACTACAATAGTATTGGTACTTACTCCGTATAGAAATAAATATCCTAACAAGGGAATTTTAATTTACAATTTTTTGTACAAAGTTACAATTGCCCCCTGCTTCCAGTAAATGAAACGATCAGCTGATCAAGAACCAAACTTGACGTCATCACCGAACAGTGAACACGTTAACCGGCAGTCTAGACACAACTTCCGCCCAATTTTGTTGTGTTCAGCTTACTAAATTGTGTTTTACTTTTTTCTCCTAACTTTGTAGGCTAGGCCTAGCCTATATGGAAAAAGCATTGTTTTCGAAAACTTTTGAGTTTGAGTTTTTGGTGGATATATCCATATTAACACGTTCAGTGCAGCAGGCATTCCAACAGGCGCTCGCCAATAGCGGCGAGGCCTGGGAAAAGCGCGGCACTGTAAAAGCGAACACAATTGGCATTCAAATATTTCAATCTGACGAATAACAAAAGAGCAGCAGTGATTGAACTACGTTACCCCGAGATTGCTACCTTGTGTGTGCTCTACAGACTACACTTACGGTCTGATTTTGATGAAATTTTATATGTAGGTCCATTGTATCTCCAGGCGTTTTTGATCTTAAGTGTGATTTCCCCAACCCATACAAAATTAATTTTATTCAAAAATGGCACAAAAACAATTTTGACAGTATCCGGTATGCAATAGTCTTTTTAACACTGATACCATACAACCCCAATCGGTGTACAAATTACGGTTTAAAAGTTATTGCAACTTAAAATAATTATGTTTTCCCCATATTTTTTTATGGTATAACCCATTTGACAGAAAAAATTTGATATTTTAAATAACGGCTTGACTGATTTTGATTAACATTCTGTACGGTCATTATAACTGATATGTTTTAACATTGTTTAAATTGCAGCTGACTTTTAACTTGTTTTTGTTATTGTTTTTGTTTCTAGTTTTTGACTCATGAATAAGTTCAGTTCTATTTTATTAAACTAATTTACCTATCAATTTATGTATTTACTTCAAACATAAAACTGGCGACGAGGATGATTTTATGGAAAACTTAGAGTGCAAGATAGTTTATTCAATTCCACAGTCTAACTCATTATAATGTCTGAAGATACATTACCAGCAACTCTTAATAATCCTATGTTGGTAAGTCAACCTAGATGTGAAAAATTTAACCCTAATTCATGCGACATTGATGTTTGGAATATTAAATTCAAGGCAAATTTATGTTTGGGCAATATTACAAATGATGATATTAAAAGATGTTTATTCATTGACTGCCTAGATAGTACAGTTCTTAAAACATTGGTAACTATTTGCAAGCCAAAAGAAATTAGTGAATTCACTTATGAACAACTTTATGAACTTCTGGTAAAACATTTCAAACCAGTAAAGTTTAAAGTTGCCGAAAGAGTAAAATTCTTTTCACTGAAGCAAGGTGATGAATCTTTGTCCACCTTTGCAAGTAACTTAAAAGAATTAGCCAGCAGTTGTGATTTCCCTGGTGACTTTTATCAAGATGCTCTCATTACATCCTTCATAATGGGTATTAATGAAGATTCTATTAGAGCTAATTTACTTCAGAAAGATTACACAGATTTCAATACTGTACTTGAATTTGCTAGAACATTAAGTTCAGTTTTTACTACTTCAGCAAAGAAAAATCTGATTTCATTTTCCGATAATGAGAGCAATGGAGAGGTTCTAAATACAAATTCAAACTATTTATGCTATTCTTGTGGTGGTGACCATTTTAGGAACCAATGTAGATTTAGAAATGCAATATGTAATAATTGTGGTACAAAATGTCACTTAGCAAAAGTTTGCAAAATTAAAAGGGGAACAGATTTTCAAAACAAAAAAATTGGTGGACATGGAAAAGGAACGTACAACCGACAAGTAAATTTCACTGACAATGAAACAGGAAGAAATTCTAGGACCTTTATCGACTCTAACATACTTGATTGTTCACCTAAGTTGACAAATGAAGCTATTTTTTCTCTTGGTCTTCAGTGTCATAACGTCAGTGTATTTTCTCCAATTTGGCTTTCTATCTGTATCAATAGTATTTTAATTAATATGCAACTAGATACAGGAAGTTGTGTTTCTGTTATATGTCAACGAACTTGGGAAAGATTGGGAAAATTTCCTTTGTTACATTCAAATACAAAACTGACATCTTATAGTGGCCATTGCATAAACTTGATTGGTGAACAAACAGTTCAAGTGGCATTCAGGAAAACTAAAAGAGAGCTAAAGCTGTACGTTGCTGAAGGTGGCACTCAGGATCTTTAAGGTAGAGACTGGATCGAGGAGCTTAAAATCAACGAATTGCCACTTAATTCATTACAAAGTGATTCTTTATGGGTTTCCAAGGAAGTTGATGACATTTCAAGGTCAGGGTTTCAAAGTTCACTTCCAAGAATGAGCTTAAGTAAATTAATTGATTCTAATAAGGAACTCTTTTGTAACAAAAGTGGCCATTGTACAAAATTCACGGCACACTTAATTTTAAAGGAAGACGCTTCTCCTATTTACAAGAAGGCAAGGCCAGTTCCATTTGCAATAAAGGACAAAGTGTGCGAGGAAATCGACAGGCTTGTAGAAGCTGATCTGATAGAACCAATTGACTATTCTGATTGGGCTGCACCTTGTGTAGTTGTTAAAAAACCTTCTGGTCAAATAAGAATTTGTGCAGATTTTTCAACAGGATTGAATCAGGCTTTAAAGATTCAGAAATTTCCTCTACCTACACCTGAGGAAATATTTGCTAAGTTGAATGGAGGAGAAAAATTCTCAGTCATAGATTTATCTGATGCCTACTTGTCAATACCAGTAGATAGAGATTCGTAAGACTTACTAGTGATTAATACCATAAAAGGACTTTACAGATACAAGCGACTTTGTTTTGGAATCGCATCCGCTCCAGCTATATTTTCTAAAGTTATGTACAACATGTTGAATGGGTTGCCAGGCGTAGCAAACTATCTAGATGATATAATTGTTACAGGGCACAATGATGAAGAACACTACAAAAATCTAGAGAATACTTTCAATAAAATCAAAGAGTTCCAATCAAGAGTTGTTTTTGTTATTGTTTTTGTTTCTAGTTTTTGACTCATGAATAAGTTCAGTTCTATTTTATTAAACTAATTTACCTATCAATTTATGTATTTACTTCAAACATAAAAATAACCGTAATTAAAAGTGGTATAGCCCTCATTGCTGTATAATTACGGTTCAAAATTTATTGCAATCTTTATGATTTACTTCATAAAATATAATAGTTACTCCCACCCCCAACTCATGATAAAGTTGTTGACAAGCCAATGGGAGAAAGTATGTGACAGATTACTGATACTGTTTTTTTTTTAAAGTCTGAGTGCGTATATATGTGTTACATCTATAACTAATGTTGACGACGTTTGAATGAAGGACAAGATGACATCTGTACTAGACTGAAGATGACTCCAGTGTTGTCATAACACAACATCAAAGATCATGTCATAAAAATGCATTTAATACCAGGGAACCAAGCATTGTTCATGTTGTTTAATTTGTTCAAGAGGTTAAAAAAATAAATCATAGGCGTACATTTCTAAGATTTCCTTGATATTATAAAATTCAGTAGGCTATAAAATATGTGAGTTGTATAATAACATTTTATCATGCTCAGCTGAAACATTTGTGCAATTTAAGCTCTCCAATAATTTGTGCACGACCTTTTTTTTTTTTTTGCTAGGCACGAGTCTGGGATTGTTTTTCACATTACTTCAGACTAGACCTAGGGGTTGCGGCATTATCACTTAGATAAAATCCATTGATGACTTGGCGGGGATCAAACCCGGGACCTCAGGGACTGAAGTCCCGCGCTCTAACCACTACGCCAGCTCGCTTCCCTGTGCACGACCTTGTCATCTCAAGTCATTAAAAACCATTTTAAAATAGCATATTACTATAGACCAAATCCTTTTTTAAAGCTGAATGACTTGATGTTGATCTCATGCCATATTTTATAGTTTATTGGCGTATGTTTGCATCATGTTTCCTCTGTCAAATAATTGACCAAGCTGTATAATTTTGTGCTAGGCCTATGAGAAATTTAATTAAGGAAATATTTTAGTGAAATTAAATCAGGCAAATGGAAATTTTGCTTTGTCTGCAGGTTTGCTGCAGCAAGGGTTTTATTAATGATAATCCTTCAGGTGGCTATATTACAAAACAAAAATTTAAACAAACTTGATTATTTTTCATATCCTTATCCATCCTATCACCTTCTTAGTGATGTGGAATTAATTGATATTTTTTTACATACATACACCTTACTTGATATAACCATTATACAGAAAATTAATGGTAAAACAGGTGAACTCTGTTCACTTGTTGATTTTTACCTATTGTCCATTGATGAGCTTTTCAGTGCATTTCTAGCGATTGTTGTGGCACGTCTCCAACCAGAAATAATGATCTGAGGATGGATCTTTTGGTCTATTAGCTTTTCAGCTTCTCTCAGTAATTCAGCCGCTAAAAGTAAGAATATAATTATTTACAAGAAGGAAAGTATATAAAAAACATCAGAACTTAAGATGGCTTCTGCTGGCTGGTCCTTAGTTAATATGACTATCTAAGGATCATGAATATGATAATTTATTTAATTATTTGTTCGTACATACGGCAATCGCCATTTACAAAATATGTTTGATTAAGTATACAGAATATTATGATACATTTTTCTTTCAAAGCCGCTTACATGCAATAGGGTAATAACTACTAGATTCAATAATAAGTTGATTCAGTTGCAGGTGCAATTAATATGACACAGAAATAACACAAAAATAGAGCATCAAAGACAAAATAGAAAATCATAGAAAATAGAAGTGAATTTAAGCGCAGTAATAATATAGTTCATGCTACATGCTATGAAAATCATGCTATGAAATAATATGAGCTTTAATTTAAATTACCTTTGTTTGGCATAGTGCCATCTACTGGTGGCATTTAGAGTGTTTTGAGAGAATTACAAAAAAAGTTGTCACCATACTTTATGAGGTTTGTTTTCTTAAATTGTGTACATTTAACTTATAAAAAGCATTGTTTTCAGGCAAGTGATCTACAATCAACTATCTCAAAACATTGCCAGAAGTAGTTGTTCGGGCGTTTATCGTTTGTCTTCATTTTCTACATATAACTTATCAGGCAGTTTTTGAGAATGCATTCTGAAATTTTCCTAAATAATACACTCTTAGCGAATAAGGTACCTATTTTCTTTAAAAAACAAAAACGCAAAAAATACTTTATCTTTCTTGGGCAGTAATATACCCCAAGTCGTTAACAACACAACAATATGACAAGTGTGTTGCCAAATCATGTGCATATTTTTACCCAATTATGAGTGAAGGATGAGTGTAGGATGAGTGGTGCGATCTTGTAGTCTTGTTAGTGACTAAGGCCAACATGTTATTTAGACACAGCTGTTAATTAATAGCCTAGATACAGCCAATGGCATCAACGTACCGATAAAATTAGTGTGATAACATACATGTTTTCTGGAGCAAAATCATCAATAGGCCTAATCAAATAACGATAAAAAAATACTTTTTCAACTTAAACTTCTAGGCCTTGGTTTTTCAAAATTTGAAAGAAGACCCTAAATTAAACAATAGGTCTAGGTACCAAGGAAATATTTATTCTTACCAAGCACTGTGACTGAAGTTGTACCATCACCAACTTCATCATCCTGTACACGGGACATGTCAACCAAAATCTTTGCAGCTGGATTGTCAACTCCAATTGCCTTCAAAATTGTGGCTCCATCATTGGTTACTTCGAGGGAGCTCTCATTTCGACCATGACCTATGAGAATCTTATCCATGCCTTTAGGTCCTAAAGTACTTTTGACCAAATCTCCAATGGCTATGGCTCCAATAAACGACGACATGCGAGCGATTTCAGCCTTTTCTTCTTCCGCCTCATTCTTTAGAATCCGAACAGGGTTAAGTGACGTCTGAAATCAAAATAGGTAACTTAGAGTTTAAACATCTAGCTTACTTTAAGATAACGTGATACACTGGAGGAATCAAGTCAACAAATTTGGGCCTTTAAGCTAAATTTGCAGCCAGAACTTGAGCTTATGTTATGACTTAGGTTTTAAGAGGCGGTCGGACAGAGATTCTCGGCTGCCGACACTGGCCGTCACTTTAACATGGAGCGCATATAATAATTCCTCGTTTTCTGGTCTATCCGTGTTCCAAAAATTATTTCCCACACTCAAAACATTGTAAATGTATGTAGGATTAAGACTGCACAATATAAAAATCATAATGTTTAATTATAAGCCGGATATAAAATAAATCATTTCTTACATTTCCCATAAGGAATTGCAATACTTTCTGCTAAAATATAAAATGACTGGCACTATAAAAAATTCTGGTTCGAACGCCATATTGAAGAGCATATATTCATTAGTGTATTGAGTGTGACAGATATTTATTTTTCGATGGTTAACATTAAGTTTTGTATTTTTTTGTAAAAGCTTGCAAAAAAGCCTTGCTTGCCGACTGAGTACTAGTTCGACGATGTCCCGGCCGATGGCAGCACAGTCGATTGTGGACTGCAGAGCACGTTTTCAAACCGCGCCAAATACAATTCATTTAAACTGGCCACAGATCTGTTTAAATAAATAAATAACGTTATTTCGTTACATCCCTGATGTGTTGTAATGCCAAGGAAATGATGATATTTAATTCACAGGAATCTAATATTTTCGGACTGTGTATTTACCGTATCTATTAAAATATTACTGTCATCAGAGATAAAAGTAGTTCTACAACACCCGGTTTGATACAAACTATTCATCAATATAAAACAAGTTCCGTTAGAATAAACGTCTCTTTTGGTCATACTTAGTACGTTAATTACGGACTTAGCTGTGTAAAGATATCTGCTGCAATACACGGTTTGATACAAGATACAAACTATTTCCCAGAATGAAAACAAGGTCCAGTGGAACAAAAGCATTTTCTGACATACGTGGTATATACGATTAAGGTCTTTCAGGAACCAAATCCACCCTCCGGACCAGCACTGCGTCGTAGCCAAGCCGGCTTCTGACTCATGGATTATCTTGGAATTGCGATGTCCCGTTTTAGGTCTATAATATTCGAGCTAAGATAAAACCCCAAGTGCCCATCCGAAATCCTAGTTATATATTAGAGGCACAGGATAAGGCAAAATCTAGAAAAAACAGCCAGAGCCAGATTGCAACTTTAAATGGCTTTGAAACGTAAAAATACGACACATAGGACCTACTGTTTTTATTTTTTTATATTTTTTTTATATTTAAATCGTTCCATATATCTATATAAATAAAATACAGTTTTGTCTGTAGGCCAACATTGCTTAGAATCATGCAGTTTCTGGTTACATTATGTTTCATAGCCTAAGAAAGCCGAAACGAGGCTTATCTCAATATCTGTCTGTCAGTCCATTCATTCATTCTGTCAGTGACGCCAAAATGTCATTTTACGCGGCCTACTCCTAGAAAACTAGAATACCGATCAAGGTTCAAATCATTTTTCTGTATTTACTGGATTAGTGAGTTTCTTTGGCTATAAAAACATGGCCCCGCTTCTTTGAAAACAAAACAACAAACCATCAAAAACCCAATTTTGTTCGATTTTTGTCAAATCTTCTTCCAATGTTTACTATTAAATTTTATGAAATAACGATCAGCTATTTGGATTAGTTCTCACTTCTAGCTGTCACATATGATATGTTTACATTAAATACTGTTTACAAATACCGCAACCATTTCCGATCAAGTTTTGTAAGCACATCCAAACCAAGTGGGATTAAAAACGTTGTACCTTACTTAGCCGGTTTAATTAATCGCAAGTGCAACGATTGTTCTTGAGTTTTGATAACCGGGGAAAAGGCCGTGAATCAGTGTTGTATAGTGCTCAGTGCTGGGAATATACCGATCATCGTTTAGAGATTACGTAATCTTTCAAATAAGAACCCTTTGTTTGGATAAGGGTTTTTTCTTCAAACTGTCATTAATATGTTAACATTAAAAGCTGCTTACAAATAATGCTATTAATGGGAAATAACTTTGATTTTCGAACAAAAAATCCAAAACCAAGGGAGATTAATAACTTCGATACTGTTTGAATAGGCGAAACATGTTGTGAGTTCTACTTACTACAATTGAACTGTTGACGTAAAGGTGCGTACCTCATATTAGTCTAATTAAACAGTTCAGGGGCTACATCATGAATTTTAATTTTACTTCGATACTGATACCAAGATACCACATCAAGTGAAAGATTTTTTGGGCAAACCATAATGAATTTTTAAAGCTTTACGTTGTCAACGTATCAATGTTTTGTGGACTGTGTATTTATTTACTTATTTATATATTTGCCAACGGATTTACACCAATTTTACAGTTTGATTAGGATTAGGCCTAAATACGATTATTATAAAACTTGATGACACTTTAACAACTTTTAAATAAATAATTTTGTTTGTAATTTGCTTTGTTTAACGCGTAGCAAATCCCCTAATTCAATTCTGTATTTTTGTGAGTATGCCTGTTGATAACGCATTAATGTCCTTAATTCTCAGTGTTTCGTGGAAAAGACAAGAGCACCTTTGTAGATGAAAATTTCAACCTGAATAAAGTGTGCAGTAGTGAGGTTGATGTAGTATTTTAACTATTTTAAACCAGTGTGAAAGGTAAATTTCAATTACAGGCCTATGTTAGGGCTATGCCTCATAGATCTAAAAGAAATTCCTTCTATCATTAGATATAAAATATGGACTAAGACGATCGGGTGACATTATATTGCGAAGCATTCGTATTTTATATATATATTCAGTCTTTTAGCGAATTTCCCATATAGGGAATAAGCTATTACCGTAGTACTCATGGTAAGACCTGGACGCGGGACCGATTTTTTTCGTTTTGAGGTCCCTAGAGGCCAAAAACACCAAATGCATATATATATATATATATGTGTGTGTCCGTCAGCACGATAACTCGAGCAAAAATGATCCGATTTTAATGACATTTGGTACAAACGTGTAAACACCTACGTTTAATCGAACGAGTTCGCGATCCAGCATGATCGGACCATGGGAACGGGTTATTTTATGTCCACTCATACAAATCCGAAATTCACAACTATGCGAAACAAACTATCAATGTCTAGTGCCTCGACTGACCCCTGTTCGATTGGGACTACTGATAACAAACCCACGAACCTATGAACCTATGAACCGCCATTAAAACTTCACGTAGACGATCATCCTCGGCGAGCACGACGTTATCACAATTAATTTGTAGCTATCACACCTCTGGGTGCATCTTCTATATAATTATACGTTAAAGATCTTCAAGAAAGTTCTCTGATATAAAGTTAAACACTTTACTCACTATTTATTAGAATAACTGGTAAAAACGTAGGAGCTAACTAAACGGCCGTGTGCTTGAAATGCAGTCGGTACTGCCAACCAAAATCGGGAATAAATGTTATATTTTTAAGTAGACATTTCAGTGTAAATCCAATCAGTCAAATGGAAATTCGCTTAGTCTGCAGGTTTGCTGTGGCGGGGGTATTGTAAACATGTTCAGTATTTTTCATAGGTATTTTATTGTAGTTTAATTAGGGACAATATTTATAGTTTTTTATAAAGGTTTGAGCATATATTTTAAGGTTTTATTTATGCTATTTTAATGTATTATAAATTTTTTTAACGTTTAACATTTATTTTTACGTGATTTATTGTTTGTAGTTTGTGTAGGCTACATATACCATTTTATTTTTACAATCTACTAAACTGTGAATTTTCTCCGTAACCAATAATTGTACAAAAACACTTTGATACACTGAATTATTTGTTTTTTTTAAGCTCTTTAAAATGGCCTGGAGAGAAATTGGGAAATTTTGTGTTTAGAGGGTCAAAAATTAGAAAAACCAATTTTTACCCCATAAAACCCCGTTCCCATGGTCCGATCATGCTGGTTCGCGAACTCACTCAAGTTTATCCCGCCTCCCGCCTTCAAACAAAATTTCATCAAAATCGGATAAAAATTACTCATGTTATCGTGTTCACGGACACACATATATATACAAATTTGAACGAATGGTGTTTTTGGCCTCTGGGGACATCAAAATGAAAAAGTAAATCGGTTCCGGGCGTAGGTCTTACCATGCCACTTACGGTAATAGCTTCCTCATTACAGGGAAATTCGCTAAAATGTATGGGATAGGCCAAGTAGTTACATTATTGAGTTCAGTAGCATTAGTATATTATTTATAATTGAATACATTATCATGTATTTTTATATTTAAATTAAGTGTATAAATCAAAATGTCTTACTGAAAGTGCTATTTGTATCTCCAAAACATTTTTTGTGTTGAAAATTAGCATATTGTGCGGTGACGAACTGAGACCTGCTGAGACGCAAAGGGTGGGTGAGCGAAGGTAGCAAACCAGTGAAAGTGAAACATGCGGTGGGACAATAGACAAGGGCTAGGACACAGGCTGAGGGTAGTCGAGTTGATGCTTTCAAGTTTCTAGGTAACACAGGGCTGTCAACAATCTCAGATCCCGTTATGCGACAGCCACGAAACTGGTGGCCAAGGGTGGTACTATTACAAAAGTCTGTTTTGGGAGGACTGTGTTGTTGCTCGTGACGCCTGCAAAATATGGGATACGGGGCTCTATCCGACCGCCTCTTAAGTAACATAAGTATACATAGAATGACAAAACTTTGATATCTGACTCCAAATCAATTGTTACTACAGTAGACCTCCTCTTAACTGACCTCGTATTAACCAACAATCGGATTATCCGCCGGTTAAGTTAAACCAATGTGCTGATAAAAATTGTCCGCTTAAAGAGATGTCATTTCCGCCGAGTGTAGTCCCATTAAAAGGTGTCAAATCAAGTTTGTTGAAGCGAAACTTATCATTAGACATTCCATGTTAAGTGATGATCAGTATTCCGGGACTTATTGTACTTATTTCTATGAGAAGTTTCTCTATCCTTTTGTGTGGTTTTTGTTTTCTTGCTTTTGTATTGGTATGTGCAAGTTAGGCTAGGAGGGGTGGGGGTCTGGGGGAGTGTTCCGTTGTCCTATGAGGATTTTAGATTATTGTCGTTTTTTGAGTTCTGGTTTGGGTTTTGAGGTGTCTGGCTTTGTGTGTCTGGAGTGGGTGCAATAGGACTCACTGCTACATTTGTATACACAAATTACTTAATACTGATAACGAGTTATTTTAATTAAAAATAAATAAATATAAGGCTGTCTTAAAACCGTAGGCGGTAGTTCATTAGCATCACCTGCTCCTACCAAGTTTAATTAAGGGTAAACTATCTTTGTAAGTAACGATTAAGTTTTAAAAACAAACTCACCATGTTGAGAAATACTATTTAAATATCAAACCACAATAAAACAATATACTTTAACTCTGAAAATACAGTTTCAGATAAAATAATTAATTTGCACTCTTTCTACTACCTGAAAGAAATGCACGAGAACGAGAGGATTGGATTCAACACGGCATGTGCTCAAAAAAGGTTTTGTTAGATTAGTTTGACACCATGACACCGTCCTTCTGCTCCTCCAGTCCAGACGTCAAGCAAAACGGTGTACCAGCCTACAACCATAGATTAAACATACTCCCTTAGGATATATACTCATAATATATTAAACATACTCACCTAAGGGAGTATGTTTAATCCATGCTAAAACTTATTACGCTGAAACCAAGGCCACCTTTAACGGAAACACAATTGAGGAGAATTTATAATGAATATATTTATAAATTATTTAGCCTTTTGGTTGATGGATTTTCACAAAAAATACTAAATGAATCAGTTATCTAATCAAGTAGTTACACTAACAGGCATATCAAAATTGCTAAAATATGTCAGAGACAAAAAATGTAACACCATGCAATATAATTTCCACCATGATATAATATGTGTACAATAATATAGAAACAAACGTCCAAAAGTAATAACCATGCATATTTTGTTTCGAAATGTGATAATTTCATAGATAGATTAAACCATAGATAAAACGTAGCATATGTAATCTTTGATAAAACATACTCCCTTAGTAGATTTCTCATCCTTATGGAACAGCTGAAGACAATTTTATTGTTAGTTCATGTACGGTTTATATAGAGGTCGTGTTTTGTTTACAATTTGTTTCTCGTTATTACAGCCATTTAAAACCTCGTTTAACCAAATAATACGATCTAATCATAAGCAATAACTTGTCCCCTAGTTATATAACCAAACAGTAAAGCACAAATCAAGAAATTAACCCTAAAATAATGGAAGCAAAGTTTCATCGACACTAGCGCCTTTGTGTCACGTACATGAACTAGACACGAAAAACGTGCTTCAAAATTTACAATGGGATGAGAAGTCTAGATTAAACATACTTCCTTGGTAAATTGATAATCTTTATGGATCAGCTGAAGCGGTTAGTCTATGATTGTACAGTACCATACAGGGTGTATATAAAGTCCCGCGCGGGATTAATATTCTCTAAACGACAACAGATAAATCAATAAGATTTGGTACATCAACACCACACCTAAAAATCAACTTTTTCAAGGAACTATGAATTTTCTGTCATATCATGGGGGACGTCCCGCAAGGAGTCAGAAGGAAATCTTAAATAGGAGCATAGGTCAATATGCTTTCACATAATATGAAAGGTCGTTTTTAGTAGAATACAATGCCGCAAACCACACTTCAAAAGGTTGATCCTGCGCAAAATGGCGGCCGTTCAAAGTTTTCTTGAATACGCCATTTTGAATCTTTGAACGACTGCCATTTTTACTCAGGCGTTCTTTTGAGCTTGAATTTACGGCATTGTAATCTACTAGTGAAGACCTTTAATTTATGTGCATATCGACTATCGACCTATGCTTACGTTAACAATTTTCTTCCGATTCCGAGGGCCATGCCCCCTGAGGAGTAAGCGTATAATAGCAATGCAAATTAAATTAATCTTTGAACAACTGTCATTATTGGCTCGGTTGTCCGTTTGAGTTCAAATTTGCGGCATTATATTCTGCTACTAAAGACCTTTATATTAATGTACATGCCAAACTATGATTCTATTTAAGATTTCCTTCTGACTCCTTGCGGGGCGTCCCAATGATATGATGACAGAAAATTGATAGTTCCCTTGAAAAAGTAGATTTTTAGGTGTGGTGTTGATGTATCAAATCTTATTGATTTATCTGTTGTCGTTTAGAAAATATTAAGCCCGTGCGGGACTTTACATACACCCTGTATATAAATAATAATAATTTACACTTCTGCAACTAGAAAATCACAAACTGAGCATGAAAACAGAATTCATATTTTATAAGTGGATGAGTTTTCTACGTGTAGTATCCATAGTTAGCAATTAGATGTTTTTTCGATGACTAGACATCCTAAGTCAATAACGTTATTCCACATAACGCTGCACAAAAACATATAAACGTAGAGGAAAATCACCACTGAACCATTATATTGCGATCCATAGCACCAGCATCTCCCCTTACCACTAATGTGGGGTTTTACACTCAGTAGTGGGTAGGGGGTAGGCGAGTATGCCTGGTTGGTATCAGTATAGATAAAACCATAGACTAACCAACACATAATCCCATAGTAAATTTGTCATTCTTATGGATCAGCTGAAGACAATTTGATTGTTGGTTCTTCCTGGCACCGCTAAGGTCTTTTGACAATTTCTTTCTTGTTTATACAGCCAAACAATAAAGCACAAATAATTAAATTAACCCTAAAATAATAATAGAATCAAAACTTCATCGGCACTAGTGTCCCAGTGTCACTAACATGAACTAGTCACGAAAAACGATAAGCTTCAAATTTTACATTGGGATGAAAAGTCTACTTGTAAAACTATTCCAACTTGTGATAATATTCTTCCTATAAAATTAATATCATAGATACTCCCACCGCTAATTCATGATAAATGTTGTTCTCAAGCTAACTTAATGTGAGAAAGTATGTGTCAGATGGTTGATACCACGTATTTTGACGATGTTTACGATTATTTTGTCATAAAGTATGATTACTTTCCGGTGCCAAGAACATGAAAGATTATTGATTCATACACATTTATACGAGTTTTCTACTTGTAATCTAAAGAAAACGGCAACATCGCTTCGTTACTGTTCGATCTGACAACCTTGCAAAGACAAAAGCTGCGCAGCCGCAGAGCCAGCGGCTCGGTCGGCTCGGTCTGTCTGCTGGGTCTGCTGTGGCTGTCTGCTGTTGTCAAATTAAATTCAAATGTCATGGCCGATGTCAATTCATCATTTTTCTCTGTCAGTGGACTGGAAAGTTAACCTAGCAGTTTTGTAGTAGGCCTATGTAAATTTAAGGTCTTCACAATAGTGTAATTTAAAACTAGATTAAATGAAAGACTTATCTTGAAATGCAGTATTTCAATAAACCTGTGTTTTGACATCTTCGTGAATATCCCAACATATATAATATAGTGTGTTAGATATAGCTAAAGAAAATTTGGTCTACCTTCTAGTCTACTCTCAGCTAATATGAATGGTGGGATACATTTTACAGTTTCTGCTCCTGGTAAGGTAATTTTGTTTGGAGAACATAGTGTAGTGTACAAAAAGGCTGCAGTATCTACATCCATTAGTAAAAGGTTGTCTGTTAGTATAAACAGTCTTAATGATGAAGTAGTACTGTTGAAGCTACCTCAGATAGGTAGTGAAATTACTTTGAACATAACTCAGTTAAATGCTGCTGTAAAGGATAAATGCCCTGTTCAGCCACCTGAATCATCATTTTCAATTCAAAGGCCTGAGGAAATTGACCATGCAATCTATATTGACTCATTGAAAACCCAATTACAATGTATGGGGATGCACTTGAGTACACTTCCAGATAAAACCATTGCTGCTTATCTAGGAATACTCTATGTTATTCGAGGTATGTGTAATTCTTTAAGCTGTAAATTGGTACCATTTTCATTGGAAGTAAATTCTGAATTAGATGTTGGTGCTGGCACTGGAAGCTCTGCAGCCTTTGCGGTTGCAATCTCAGCCTCAATTCTACACTATCGAAAGTGCCTGGAGACAAGTAACATGAATAAGCCAATATACTTTACAGAAGAAGTACAGGATAATATCATCATTAAGTCTAACAACACAAATTCTGGATTTTCCGTAAATGAACTAAGGGTTATAAATAAATGGGCGTTTTGCATTGAGAAAATCATGCATGGACGACCATCGGGAATAGACAACACAACCAGTACTTTTGGATCAGTAGTTGTGACATGTCAAGGAAATAGCGAAAACGAAGGTCTCACATTTAGATTTTTAGAAAATGTTCCAAAGATTTCTATTTTACTCATAGCTACTGGTGTAGCCAGGAACACAGCAAATCTTGTTGTAAAAGTGAGAAAATTAAGGGAAGAAAACTGTGCTGCTGTAGATGCCATACTTGGAGCAATGGATGTTATTGCAAGAGAAGCATTTAAGGCGTTAGAAGACCTCGGTTTGAATTATAGTGATCCTAAAAAAGGAGATGAATTGTATAAAGTTCTTGGTAGTCTCATGGAGTTGAATCATGGACTATTAAGAACTCTGGGCGTATCTCATGAGAGCTTGGAGCGCATTGTGAGCGTATGTGGTCACCATGGATTGGCAAGTAAACTGACCGGTGCAGGGGGAGGGGGAAATGCAATTACTTTAGTGCCAACTCAATTATCTAAAGAAGAAATTAATATCTTAAAACATGAGCTTGGTGAAGAGTTCAAAGTATCAGAAATCAGTATTGCTGACCAAGGTGTTAGATTGGAGTTAAGTAGTCTACAACCAAGATGTCCTGTTGAAACTTAAATGTCTGATGTTTTGGCATTAAGGCCCGTCCAAACCGAAGCGGGAAAGCGGCGGGAGCGGGAAGGTGGCAAGACGAGTTCCCGTGCGGGCTTTTAAAACACATGGTGTTAGATGTGAGCACCCACACTAGAGCGGTACCTCTCCCGCCGTCCCGCAGCGTTGTTCGATCGTCCCGCCGGTTTGAAACATGTTGGATTTTCCCGCTCGTACCGCCGCGGAACACATGGGTACATGACTTATTTGGTGCCGAGACGTTTGAGAAGATGGCTGAGGATGATTCCAGTGCGTTGTTCATTGAACAGTTCATCAAAACACGCGATGGTCATCCTAAAATAAATATAAAACCACCTTTCGTCTTTCTTTGGATCCGGCATAAGGGTATGGTACTCGCCAAATAAATGTCCATTTAGATTGATTTCATGAACCTAAACAGATCGCCGTCTTGCAGCTTCATCTTATCTTCAGCTGTTGCTAGCAAAAGCAAAGCTTCTTCTTCTTGTACATTACGATTCATGTCGTCCCGCTTCCCGCTGCCTGCAGCTTCGGTGTGGGCTACCTCTTTCCCGCCTCGTATCGCTGCCGCTGGTTCCCGCCGGTCATTCGCCCCCTTCCCGCTCCCGCCACTTTCCCGCTTCGGTTTGGACGAGCCTCTATGTTGTTATTTTAATCAAATATTTGTCTCTCTGAGTTTCAGATAATATGACAATGACAATTAATTGCTTCACAATTATGTTGGTACCTAACTTACTGAATAATCATATTTAGATGAACTATAAAAATAAAAAAAAGAAATTGATTACTACATCTACTCTCAGCTTAGTTGATATGAATGGTGAGATAAATTTGATCTATTTTAGAGAGATGTATTTTACATTATACAGTAAGCCTAATTATGAACATAACCGTTTCACACATGCAATAATATTGTACTTTGTAGCCTATAGTAGGCTACTCTTTCAATTTATTTACCTTAAGATACCCTTTGCTGTCAATTTATGTTCTATAGGCTACACAGTTTTCCTTGACCATTGGATTTTACATAGAACCAGCTAGTCTTAGAGCCCTTTCACAGGTGGCTGCCACAGTTTTTAAAACATTGTTATAAATGGGGGCCTTCAGACTCGTCCACTGCAGTTGCCCGTCAGGGCATAGTGGCCGAGCTGTGTCTCTTCGCACAACTGCGGTGGGGGCATTAAATTAGGGCGCTTCACGAGGCCACTTATGTTCGCCACCAGTTACCGGATGGTACAGGAAACTGACAAGCCACTCCACTACAGCCACTGAACAATGGTAGTTGCGAAAATGCTGTCGAACAATGAACATCTCCGTCTTCTCGCATCTATGATAAAGAAAAGAAGGCGAAGACACAGGCGTACTGTCCCAAATTCCCGGGTACTATTCAATTTTGCAAATTAGATCTTCAGTATTCACTTTGTCTTCTCTTTTAGCGAATTTCCCATATATATAGGCCTAGGGAATAAGCTATTACCGTAGTAGCCTACTCATGGTAAGACCTGGACCCGGGACCGATTTAATTTTTTGTTCTGAGGTCCCTAGAGGCCAAAAACACCATCCTTTCAATTCATATATAAAGGTTTATATATATATATAAATATATATATAAGTATATATATTATATTTATATATATATGTGTCCGTGAGCGTGATATCTTGAGCAAAAATGGTCCGATTTTGATTAAATTTGGTACAAACGTGTAAACCTACGTTTATTCCAACGAGTTCGCGATCCAGCATAATCGGACCATGGGAACAGGGGTTTATGGGGGGTTTTATGGGATAAAAATGGGTTTTCCCCATTTTTGACCCTAAAAACAAAAAATTTCTTTTTAAATAGTTTTTTAGAGCTTAAAAAAAGAAATAATTTAGTATATTGAAGCGCTGTTGTATGCCTAACGGTCACAGAGAAAATTAAAAAATAGTGCAATTTCAAATTCCCATGTTATTCTTATGGAGAAAATGAAAACTGTTGTAGTTTACTTGTTTATGGATATATGTTGATAAAATTTGGCAAATTTATTTATTACATCCTATACTATTGAAGAATGGTCAAAAAACACTTTTTACCTTCCCCGTAGCAGCCAACCAAGCACTCGTTAAATCTAATGTTATTTAAATAGGGAATAAATATGTGTTATTTAAGGAAATATTTTAGTAATAATGTAATCAGACAAGTTGAAATTCGCTTAGTCTGCAGGTTTGCTGCAGCGGGGTATTTTTGTTTAGTCTCTTATTCTGTTTTTCTTCCTTTTTGTCTTCTTTTTCAGCAACGTCCTCTTTATTTTTCTTCTGATCACTCATTTTCACAAACAAACAATTCAACATGAAAACACTCAACAACTACCACAGTGCGTTTGTCTCTGCAGTCTGAACGTGAACTGATCCAAAATAGTAGCTGCGTGCTTATCCATGGTAGCGGCCACTGGTTGCTTTGTGTGAAAGCTCCCATCTAATTCAATGCCTAACGTGACGAGGAGTTGCCGCCACTGCGGTTGCCAAGGAGACACTGCTCGGCCACTGTGTCCTGGCGGACAACTGCAGTGGCTGCGTGTGAAGGCCTCCATTTAAAATTATGTTAAAGCTGTGGCGGGCAACCAGTGTCAGCCACCAGTGGCCTCGTGTGAACGGGCCCTTAGTCAGCACCAAAGCAAAGCTGTCATTTAATTCATTCAACAACCATTGGTCGGTTACCCATCTTTGTCTGAAAATACCTGCCGTGCCAATGTATATTATATAGGCTATATATGTGTCATGTGCCTTGGTGTGCTGTAATCTAATCTAAGAGTATGAGGAAAGTGTTTAAACATTCTCACAAATTTGTATTTTGAACACTAGGTCCAAAATTCCAAATATTAGGCCTATAATTAATAGTTATAATGTGTATGAATTTTAAAGTGAGAACGAGTGCCTAATATTTTAAATACTAGTTCAGAGGGTCTGATAATTTTTTTAAAATTCTTCAATATTTTAATAATGTTAAAAGTTTATCATCTGTAGGCCCTATACTTTTTTATGTTATAAATATATACCTAGTTAGGAATTTAGAAATCTTTTACACTGTCCAGGTCTAGCCGGTTTTACGGTACCTTTCAATATACTGTATACAAAACATTATAGTGCATTTGATACTGAGACAGTAAGTTTACTTTTCTTTTATTACAATTTCAGATATTTACATTGGCCATTATTAGTGATAGGCCTACTTAATATTTAATCTATGGTGCTGGTTAATAATTTTATAGGTTTTTATTTTTCTATGCTTGAGAGAAATAAATTTGTTGTTTCAGAAATGTGTTGGCTTGTTTCTTGTAATCCTAGTAACATTATTTCTGTTTGCTTTGCAACACTTTACTTTGTTTATTAACTGTATCTTTATTAATCTGAAAATTGGTCCAAATTAACATATGCAAATTATAATTAGTCAAAACTTAAGTGTTATAATAGTTAAGCCAGTATCATACAATGAACACTTAATAATTAATTATAATGATAATAATAATTAATGATAATTATTATCAAGTAACAACAGAATTTAAGCTTTTTAACTAAATTTCTTATGGGAACTCCTTCAGGAATTATTGCAAGCTTTAGCCATAGACACCAAACAAACAAACAAGTTTACTCCAAATATCCTTATCAATTGGGACCCTAACACATTTTGATGATAACAAATTCAGATACTGGGATTTTTACCAAAATTTGGAATATTTTACAGAAAATAGGCTGAGCCAAACTGAGGTTTAACTATTGCCATTGCATAAGTTTCCCAAGCTTTCCCCACAATCTCGAAGGATGATTATGATTTCCATGACCGCAGGAGACAAAGATGATGTCTGCAAGACAGAGGAAGATACTGTTAAAGATTTTACCACAGTCACAGAAAAAGATTACGTTGTTTCCATGATCGCAGAAGACCATAATGATGTCAAAAAGACTGAGGAAACAATAATGTTTTTGTGACCAAGGGAGGCGGTTAAAAACAACCGTGTGTTTTTGGATTTTGCTACGATCACGGTTTCCCTTCTTTAAGGATTATTATAACTTTGGATTTGTTTTATTTTTCTATAAGAGATTAATATAATTGGAGTTCTAGTGCACTACCATTTAAAGTAGACATTTCATTTCTGTGTTAAAGTTTTGCCAGTTTTAGAATTAAAAAAAACGGCCTAATTGAGGCCATTGATGAACTGGCATGTTCACTTCTGCTATGTTATAGTGATGCTGTCAAATAACGCTTTTTCTGCATAACCAGCTTTTGAATAATGCCTAACTGAAAGGGAATAATTGTATACAAAAGCATATTTTTCAACTGTTATCTGTAATATAAAAAATAAAAAAAATATATTCTTATTGGATCACAGTCTTTGAGAGGCTCAAAAACTGGACACTGCTATCCGTGGGGTTTATTATAAAAAATCTATGGTACCTAATGAATATGTTTGTGGAATTCCAATGGTTGAAGAAATATCAAAATTTAGTGTAAAATACCTAAAAAGAAAACTTGAAAATCATCCTTATCACCTGGCTTTAAACCTCTTGGATTGTACCGCTACGTACAAACTAAAAATAACTCGTGTTTTAGACCTCAGCTCTTGCTTTGTTTAAATGATTTAATTTTATATTGTTATTTTTTCCTTCAAATATTTTAAAGTTAGGTCTGTCTTTGGATAGTGACCAACGTTTTATAAATTGTTCTCATATTTGCTAAATGTTCAAAAAGCTGAACAGATTGTAAATAAAATTGTGATTTAAAATATCAATATATTTATGGTCTTGGATAAACAACGGTTGTAAACAACAAATAAACAAAATTAATTTATATATCTGCAGTTGTACTGCAGTTTTTATTTATTTTTTACAATACAAAATATAATACAATACAGGCATACGGGGAGGCTAAAACACCTTCCTACTATTATGTATATTAACCTTAGAAGATATATTTATATAAAGAATCCACACATTGAGGAAATAGGAAAGCTTTAGAATGGTTTCTTTGCCAAATACATTTTACCTACTAATTTACAATCTTTTATTAATCCTAATTAAAGCATTAGGTTGTATTTTCATACAATTAAATTTCCTACTTAATGTGCTTAGTAAAAACCATGCTCTAATTTGTAGTAATATTTCTGTACATTTTTACATGAGTTGTTTACAATAAATATGTAAATAAGTACAATTTTGTACCAATGAATTCCAACATAATTTAAGTCAAATCACAATATATCTATAGTAAATTCTATTGAGGAATTAATATTTCTACAAGGACAATGCCTACTAATACATACATTTTTTCTCCTTCTCATATTGACTGACGTCTATCAAAATAAATGTTAAAAGATTATGTGTACAGTAGACTCCCCATTATCCGCAATAACTACGGCTGAGGGATTGTGGATAATCAAAATCATGGATGATGCAAACCTAACCAAAAAAGCAATGAGAATAACTAACATTGACTTTGAATGCATAGTTAACCTTCAATACCGATTTAAGTAATGTGATACATTTTAAATTTAGTGTAGAATCTTTTGAGCTTTGTTTCACAGAAGCATAATTGAAAAAATAAAATTGGAGAGCCTATGTATAAGCTTAGTAATGACAAAAATTAAAACACACAAAATGTAACTTATCTTATTAGATGTATTCAGCGACTCCCCGGTAGTCAGTGAAGTAAAAACCAAGCTACAGGCCCACCTCACGCAAAATATCTTGGATGTCACCATACAACGTACTTATTATTTAACTTGCGTAGTATATTTTTTATTTTAGATTTTTATGATTGTGGTTAATCCACTTGTGGATATATATGTGAGTCTACTGTTCTCGAAAGGCAATAACCAGGTTTTATTTGAAACAAGGTTTAAAAGCATAAATAGTTTTGCAATACAAATCGATCTAAAACAGATACTAAAAAGAACAATAAAATAAATAGATAAATCTTGGTTTTGTAATACTAAAAGCTATACATACATAACAGAACAATAAAAACAAAAAACAACTCTTAAAATATTAGTAAAACATTTCAGTCTAAGTTAGCTTATTTCCTTACAACACTTTTAATCCAATACTATACATCTTTAAAAACTAAAAATCCAATTTTTTGCACCAATTACCAATTACTCAACACAATGGAACAAAATAGCACAAAGGAGTTATTAAAGTATTACAATTTACAATTCTTATTTAAAAAATTGCATTGTACTTTGTTTTTGTGTTAAAAAATAACATATCAGCCCAAAGATTTGAGTATGGGAGTTTTAGTATTAATTTAACATTGTCTACAGCAAACTCAAGGCATCATGTGGGAATTGGGAATCCATTAAAACCTCATAATTGAGATGAGGTGAGATGGTTTTAAATTTAGGTAATTCAGGGTGTCCTATGGAGAGCTTTCTATTTTGGAATTATATACCAGACGTATGAAAAACGCTACAAATTTGAAACTCTATACTCTTAGGATTGCTTTCAAGGCAGTCAAAGCCAGTTGAGTGGATCAATCACGTTTCATGGTTATTAATAAAGCAATAAATTAAAACAATGTTTATAGATGATGTAATACACATATTTAATCAATTTTATTTATCAGTTTGTCTCAGAACTATCAACATCCATAACAAGTTTCATAAGTAAAGTGGTGTGGATATTACATACATATCCTTTGTATTTCTAAAATGTTTTTATTAGCTCGCTTTCTTGTCTGTTCGGTACAAATGTTGCAATCGATATTAAACCAACTTCCCGATGTGCTAGAGACTTGAAACTTTAAACATAGCTTACAAATGGATGACAATGCAATATTATATCATTTTTCAGTTGTTGCAGCTGTGGAATTTCAAGCTTGTATGATGTTCAGTTCATCTGGTATATTGTTTTTAAACTAACAACCTCTATGAGACACAATACAGGGTGTTCAAAAAAGGTGGGGACAAAATTTACGTAGCTATTTCTTGGGTCAAAATAAAGAGAATATCAAGAATAACCTTTTTTTCAAAATTGCTTCGTTTACCAGATATGCACAATTTTGTATTTTTTGCATAAACATTTTTATCTTCGAAATTTTTTAACTGTTCTTTATGAAACTTGGTACGTATGTTAAGGTAGAAGAGACCCATGTTAGAAAAAAAATCATTTTGATTCAACTTAAAATTTCAAAATGGCTGCCATTTAAAATTTTTTAACTTAAATTACTCAAAAATGGCTGATAATAGGAAAGAATGTCAAAAACGCTTTTATTTAGCATTTTTAATTCCCTATCAGACGATACCATTTTCAAAAAGATTGAATAAGAAATAGCTGAAAAATATTACAATTTTTAGTTGTAAAATGGGGCAAACATGACTAGGTTCTGCCTTATTCTACCCCATTTTACAACTACAAATCATAATATTTCAGCAATTTATAATTCAATCTTTTTTAACTGGGTAGTGTTGATAGGGAATTAAAAAGTTAAATAAAACTTTGAAGATAAAAGGTTTACGTAAAAAAATACAAAATGGTGGATATCTGGTTAACGAAGCGATTTTTTATACTTGATTTTTTTATTTTCTCTTTATTTTGACCCAAGGAATCATACGTCCCCACCTTTTTTGAACACCCTGTATATTAGCCACCACATTAAATATAAATAGTTTTGAATAATGAATAATTTTATTTTAATCAGATATAGAATAACCATCAATATTTGTCATTATTTAGTAAACTGTATTACAAAAAGATAATTTGTCTGCAATCAAAAAGGACTAGGGTGAAAAAAGGTGTTCACATTTCAAACAGATACAAGTCGAGATACTGATAATGATGAACTACCATTTGGTTTCCCCTCAGCTGATAGTATTAGACTCCCTTATTCCCAAACCTAATAGAAATACCTATCACTAAACTTGTGATCAAACGAGTACCAAATTGAATTTTTTATTTTTGCAATCTCCTTTCTTTTACATAAACAGCACAGTCCTAGTAATCCAGATCCCACTATGTAAACATCCAGAAAATCCATACAGGACTAAGACAGAAAATTTTAACATTTCTGAACAGAAATCAGTAATGATTGTGTAGTTTTTTAATAGGTAAAGTGAGTAATAACTAATAACAGAAAAATATAAAAAATCTAAGTGTAATACAAATGTATTACTCTAGCATATTTTTACCATTCAAGAAATCCTCATTTGTGTAATTTTCCACACAAATTTTGACAGCAGCTTAGTATTTAATTTTTAACAAATTTAAATTTTCTAATAATTTTTTCCTCCTGAGCTTGTCTCAATTTCTCAAGCTCGTCTAAGGTTTCTCTTGATACTCCACAAACTTCAGAATACTTGCAAATAATAAAATTACAGACCCCATTTGGGGTAATAAGAGAAGTCTGTGGGGTAATAGAATGATTTTCCTTCAGAAATTAAGCAAATCATAAGCCTCCGCCTCCAGATTAATTGTTCAGATTTGGACCAACCACTATTTGCATTATTTTTTTTATTCTTCCTATTAGATTAAGAGATACAAATTCGTGCTTCTCTCATTAGCCCTGTTTTCTGTCATTACCCTTGCTTTCTCTATAATGTACATTTTGATTGAAGTAGGTTAAGGTATAGGCAGAAAAGGGGGCTCTATGGAATTTACCTTCTATCAAAGTCACACAACAGTGCAATTTAAATAGCTGTCTTGTAGAATATATAATCTTTTTTCTTGAATTCTCACCTTTATCTGTTTAATTTATCTCATAAAACCAATTGATGGCATCATAACAAAAAACTGGGGGGAGCGAGTTTGTCTAGTGGTTAGAGCGTGGGACTTTGGTCCTTGAGGTCCTGGGTTCAAATCCCGTAAAAATCACCAATGGATTTGATCTAGTGATAATGCTGCAACCTCTAGGTCTAGCCTGAAGTAGTGTGGGGGCTTGTGCCTAGCGTCCTAGGACAAAAAAAATTATAACAAAAAAAATCCTAATCTAAAAATAAATTTTTGTTGATCCGAACAGGGTTTGGTTCCTATTAGTGGGACTCAACTGCACCTTCACAACGAGTTTTAGCTCAATGAAATTTGATAAAAGTTGAGTCTTTCTAAAAATCCCACATTTTAGCCTACACCACACTTTCAGAGATACTTTCATCCTAATCCAACTTTGGGATTGCTCCTTTAGAGGGAATATTGATTGACTATACAGAAGTCAATCACCTTCATCGTAGTACAGCCAAAGTACTAACTAGCCTGGGAGTAAAAGCACAGGACGTCTGTCAAGGAGACATAGGCTTTGAGTAAAGCAACTTATACTTGTTCCTGTTGCTTGCTCTCCTGGTGCTATTCATCAGACATCATTGTAGACTGAGAGTTGGGTATCCATAAAAACACTGTCTCTCTCTCCATGCAGTCCCGGTACACCAGAGTCTCGTCAGAGTCATTGCTGCGGACGTTGAGATTCAGAGGACTACAGTCTGGCAGAATCGTCTCTGCTTCCACATCTGATAACTCCTGTTGTAAGTGATCGTCCAGTAAACGCTGCAAAAGATGCATTTCATGAGGCCAAAGGAAATAGAAGAAATTGTTGTTTTACAGCAACTAGGATTCACCAAGAGGCCTAAGGCTGATGATGATGATGATAAACTGAATCGTAGCACACTTTGATACAAAAACCGCTAACTTTGCTGCTAAATGTTATTCAATAGATAAAGAGATCTTGGCATTGACGAGGAAATCCTACAAACATTCGTTATGCAATAATTGAACAAATTAGAAAATTGTAGGTTAATGTTCTTTCCCATGACCGAATCTTTTTGAGCGAAGCTCACTTTCCCTCACTTTGTAACTTCTTTGTAAGAGCATCAGAATGTAATGGCTTGACCAATTGATACGAAATTTGGCCAACAGCTAAAGAATACTGAGCACAATGTTTTGGTAAAAAAATATTTGCAAATTTCCTTCTGGATTTTATTTTACGGGTCACGTAATTTCGCTTGTTATTTTAATGTAAGTTGAAAGAAAAATTGTATTGGGTTTATGACATATGGGTTTATCTCGTTTCATTTAAATAAGATAAACATATGTTAATTGTTTGTAACTGTTTTGTTTACATTTCAATGTTTACTTTCATCCTAGGTTAAAGTTGGAATGTAACAGTTTATCAATGGAAGTAACAGTTTTGCTATATTTGTTTTGTGCATGCCTCAAAGGCCACGTCGTAATATTGGTCGTCGCACCAATAATGCAAATATTGTAAGAGAGTGGCGTCGTGAAAAAGAAGAACCAGATGAAGCAGTGGCGGAAGAAGCTGATAATGATAGGCAGATAGCTAATCAATTCCAACATGAATTAGATGCACTAAAATTTTACACTTGCATTAACTGTCATCGCCAACAACTAACAGCTTCAAACCAATCACTGATTTGTTCGCGTTGTCGTTCAAATGCAACTAAATTCACGGCGTTAAATAATATGGATGTGTCAAGTGTCCCGAACGAATTAACTGACCTGACGATTGTAGAACAAATGTTGATTGCACGAGTACATCCCACTATGCGCATTTACAAAGTACAAGCAAATGGTCAGGATGGCCAGTTTCACTACAAAGGTAACATCATTAATGTTGAGCAAGATATTAATGAAATAGCATCTGTCTTACCTACACTGCCCGAAAACTTAAAAGTCATCATTGTCCAACGTCAAGGCGTATTTGGCCATATTGATTTCAAAGTTCGACGTGAAAAACTACAGCAAGCACTTATTTGGCTGAAGGCAAATGACCCATTCTATTTTGACATAACCATTAGTGATGAAGCGCTACGCCAACTACCAGTCAATGATTTTGTTTACATGAGAGTACCGTGTGTACGTGAAAATCAAGACTTGATTGTTTAAACGAAATGTCAAATACACATGTCTAATAACCTTTTATCAATTCTTATTCTTAACTAAATAAATGAACTATCAGATAAATTTGTCATTCTTTAGAACTTAAATAATATCGGACAAACAAACGGTAAATCTATTGAAATGGAACATATTGTAGGATGTTAGCTGCTTTAGCCATTGACAATCTTTAAATATTGCTTCGCTCATTTATGCGTCTAACGTGTAACGGCAGACCACCCTAGTTAATTTGGCTAATCATGTATCAGGAGTCATAGCAAAGCACAGCCAGGTTGGCTACTCGTAGCTAAAAAATCTTACTTTTACACTTAAGACATTATTTTGGTCAAGATAGTTTTGAGCCAGGGTTTTTAAGGATTTTGTGGTGGACCTATTCTCCACAAAATCTGTCCACTTAAGCTCAATAAAATAGTAGAGATTTTAGGGTAAAGTTACCTGAGCTGCATTTGTACTGTGGTTGGGCCGTTCCCTCGGCTTCTTCTCGCCAGAATGTGTGGCTCGGTGTCGTTTCATGTCTGACTTGACACGGAACGGCTTACCGCAAACGTCACAAGAATGGGGCTTCTCACCTGAAGCAAATTAAAGAATAATGTTTATTTCACAATAATAGCTGCAACTATTTGAAACAAAGATACAATACAATTATTGTAGAAATTAATTTTATAAAAGAAAAAAATATGTAACTCTTTAACTCATGCTCAATGGAGAATCTGCTTAAGACCTGCCTAATTACTGGGTTACCATAACAGCATTTTTGACCGAATGAGTGGTTAGGGATTTCAGAAATTATTTTATTGATTCAATTTAACAAAAATGGAAATAAAGTAGCTCAGACAAATTAAATGGTTTGTCTTGAAACACTTAGTTTGTAAACTACTGAAGTTGATTGATAAAGTGACAACCCCTATTCACTTTATAGCTCTGTTATTCAGATGAAAATGTGCTGTGATGAAGTAGAAAACATAAGTTATGCACGATTCAATAACCAAAAGATTTGTTCAAAATACAAGATACAACTTTTTATAAAATATTGTTCAAAATTATGATAAAATCTAACTCTTGTAATTAAGCAAGACTTTCCCGTTTTAATTTTTTGTTTAGGTAAAAAAGTATTTATATTTAATGGTCTTGTACCTTCTCTGTTCATGAGATTAATCTAAAACACAAATAGAATGAGAACAATATTACATTATCTCCTTTAAATGGTGATGCAGTGAACTTATTGTTCTTCTACAAGAATTTCCGCGGTGAATATTAGTGTAGATTAATTTTTGTACCTTACTACTTGACCCATATTATATTTAGGAAATAACAAATCACTTATTAGAATATTGTACTAGGTATAGATCATGGTGTCCAGCGTCCCATCAAAATAAAATTCAAAGAAAATTTATTCCAGGTTTTCCAGGTTCAAAATTTTCAGGACAAAACTTGCCGCTCAAAATAAGCCTAACTTTCTTCTTACACCTACTAGTACATTAAATAATACCATTCGGCAAATTGTGTGAGATTTCATGCATTAGCAGCCAAATTGGTGATCATATCTTGTAATCGCAGGGAAATTTATAATGATCGCCCACAATCGTGTCAACATCCATCGAGATATTATTTCCTGCAGTCACGGCAACATCCGTAATGATCTCCCGCCATCGCAATAACATCCGTGATGATTTCCCCCGATTGCAGCAAAAATCTGTGACAATTTCCCGTAATCGCAGCAAAATCAGCGATAAGGCAACATCTACGTTTGTTTTCAGTGATTTTTGTTCAACTAACTGTGAATAATTTTTGCGATCGCAGCCACATCTGAGATCTATTTCCAATTGCGGCGGAATCCTTGATAATTTCCTGTGATCGTGGGAACGCCCATGATCATTTTTTGCTACGTAATGTCCGTTATTCGTGATAGTTTCCCATGATTTTCAACTATGCAAAACGAGAATAATCGGCAATTTCTAGCAGATTTTTCTGCTACCATCCAAATATTTAAATTTCCAGGTTCTTTGCAAAATTCACAGATTTTTACCTCGTCATCAAAATTTAAGGATATAAAGCAATGGATGGATGGATATAAAGCCATTCTCATTTTAAAACTCATGTAAACTTACCTGTAAATAAGGTTGACACAGTAAAATTTGTTTTGCCTACATCAAGGTAATCTGGCTAGGCTGATTCCAAGTTTAGAACTAACAGCAAAACATCTACTACGACTAACTATGAAAAATTATCTTTGAGAAGGAAAATGTGTTCAAAGAAAAACCTAATTGATATACCTGTGTGTATCCTCCTATGGTTCTGCAGATAAGAGCTGGCCCTGAATGTTTTGTTGCAGAATTCACACGTGTAGTTCTTTTCCCCAGTATGAATCCGCCTAAAAAACATTGTTAGTCATGAAAGAGGACTTGGTGCTCAATGGAAAATCATATACAACAAGTGAAAGACAAGGAGTTTTATTTTAAAGAAACAAGTAGGGAAGAAGTCTAGTGATGGGAAAATTTGAAATTTTCGAATCTCGAATTCGAATTCGAATTTTGTCTTTTCGAATCTCGAATCTCGAATTTTTCGAATTTTTAAGGCGATTCATATTTTTTTAGCTTTTCCTCTCTCAGTCATTAAATAATGTTGCATTAATTTGTGATAATAAGCCAAAGCCACAATAAAAATTAGATGCATACAAATAATAAGTTTCATTGTAGGCCTACATATATACAGTACATTTCATTATTACTTTATCTGTTACTTTAGATTTGGTAACCTATGTAATATAGGCTATGAACAGTATGAACTTTATCAATGCTATATAAAATTGTACAAAGTCGAATGAGAATAATCTTTTAATTTTAGGTGATAATAGAAGCACTGCTCATTTAGACGTTTAGGTTAGATTAGGCTAGTGTATGTGCTATTTGTTAGTCAACTTAAAATGATCAGTTAATAAGAGTCTATTGTTTAATCAATCTTCTAACCAAAACAAACCTAACCTAACTGTCACTATAAGAGTGACCAATCACTGACTGATCTTGATCTACGATGAAAAAATACCAGTTACCAGTACTTACATACATGGATAAATGAGTATCAATTAAAGGGAAAATAAAAATCTAGACCAAGAGACTGTAAAAATACCCCCGCCGCAGCAAACCTGCCGTCTAAGCGAATTTCCATTTGGCCGAATTGATTTTCAATTGATCTATTTAAATAACATTAGGTTTAACGAGTACCTAGGTTTGCTGCTACAGGGAAACTAATAAAGTAGTGTGTTTTTAGTAAAATATTTATAGCTTACTATAAAATAAATAAATTTGCCAAGTTTGATCAAAATATATCTATAAACAAGCAAACTACAACATTTTACAATATTCTCCATAAGAATAACATGGGAATTTTAAATTTACCATTTTTTTAGTTTTCTCCGTAACCAATAACCGTACAAAAACACTTTGATATACTGAATTGTTTGTTTTTTTAAGCTCTTTAAGAAGGTTTAGAGAAAAATTGGGAAATTTTGTGTTTTGAGGGTAAGAAGTGAGAAAAACCAATTTTTACCCCATAAAACCCCCCATAAAACCCTGTTCCCATGGTCCGATCATGCTGGATCGCGAACTCATTCAAGTTTATCCCGCCTTACACCTTCAAACCAAATTTCATCAAAATCGGATAAAAAATACTCAAGTTATCGTGTTCACGGACACATATATATATATATAAATCTATATATATACCTATATATATATATATATATATATATATATATACATATATAAAAATTTGAACGAATGGTGTTTTTGGCCTCTGGGGACATTAAAATGAAAAAGTAAATCGGTCCCGGGCCTAAGTCTTACCATGAGACCTACGGTAATAGCTACTTCCCTATAGGGAAATTCGCTAAAAGAAGCCTATTTTATTTATACCTACAAAAAACAAGATAAGACAGACATACAACTACTTAGGTATCAGTTATGGTTAAGACATACAACAATATAAACCAAACCAACACAAAGTAACAAAAACCAGAAAAATAATGAATTACATAGGATTAAAACTGTACAACATCTTGCCTAACAAACTTAGATATAAACACGCTCCCTATCTTTAAAAAACAGCTCAAACAATATTTCATAAATCAACATTACTACAACATTCAGAATATCAGGAAGAAAATATATTTCCCATAAAGTAATGCTAAAACACAAATCATACATTCACCCTACAACACTACACACAATGAAGAAGCAAGTTAGAAGAACGATGAAAAAAAGGACTGCGGTGAGGATTGGATGGTAGGCCTATGTACACATCAATATTCAATAAGTTATTTTAAGTATAGCTACTTTATCTTGATAGTTGGATCGAATTAAATGCAAATTTTAAATAAGAGAAATAATTCTTAAAATAACGTTTCCTTTAAACAACTACTTTCACTCAGTCCTCCTAACGAAGATTTTTATTCAAAAAAACCAGCATCTTAACCCGTTCGGGATCAAGCCGGTTCCTCTTCTTGTCGCAGACAAGTCCTGCAGTGCTGAAGAGTCGCTCACTGAACACTGTTGCTGGCGGTATACATAAATATTTCATAGCAACTTGTTTTAATCTAAAAGAGCTGCTGATATCCCAATATTCGAATATGCTCTTCTCTTCTCCTTGTAGGTGTATCAGGCCTTCTTCTAAATACTGCTGAAGTTCATTTTCCAAGGTACGCTGAACTGTCGAAGAAATTGGGTTTACATTGGCAAAAGCCTGAGCGTAGTGGGACCAAAAGTTGAGCTGTTTTGACTCATCCAGAGAGTGAGACGTTTCTTCCTGCTCGACGGATGTGTTAGAAGATCCTGGACTTTCCGCATCCCTCATTTCTGTCAATATTCTTATCTTAGCCTCTTCCAAAGCTTCTTTGTTCTTGAAAGGAACTGCTTTAAATCTTGGGTCAAGTATGGTGGCCACTGCCAAGTTGACATTTGTTTCAATATCGGCATATCGTCTTTTCAAGGACGAGACAATATCATTCTTAACGCCCATCAGACCAGAACCCGTAACATCCATGTTGACCAGGAAATTCTCCATTGTGTTTATCAGAGGAATTACCTGAAGAAAAAAAAATAGGCTTAGAACTTTATAAGGAAAACAATTTGAGTTTAGGTACTTGCGTATTATACGGACCACAACCTTACAAAGCACACTACGGCGGCTAGGTTAGTTAGTTGTGTGGTCTTTATTCACTCATTTACCAAACATAACCTAGCCTAACCAAACCCAAAAAGGTTGTGGCCCGGCTAATGTAAGTAGCCTATAACAATTTAGTTTAGTGCAAAAAATGTTGTTGTTAAAGTTAGTTGTCTGAGTATGCCTAAAGGGTTTTTATGCTGTTGTTAAAAATTGTTATTAGGTTCATGTAATCAAATGTATGTTTGGCGAAACTTTCACTAAGTTGCATGTGTTTAGTTTTTACATTACCTTAATCTGATAAGGATTTGATGAATAGGCACAATAAATAACAACTGAAATTATAATCAATAAAACATAATTTCAAAAAAGGCCTAGTTATTTTTTTTAGAATCCTATTTATCTTTCCCACATTTTTCTAGCTTAGCTTGATTACTAAATATTTCCTAAGCCTAACCAATGATAACTTACTTCAGAAATTGTAGAAGCTTCCTTGCTGACTTGTCTGGTTGCAGTTTCGAAGATTTCAAGAATATCAACAGCCGCTTTCATGGTCTTGAAGTCATCCGAAGTTAGTTCCACTGTGAGATTGATGTCCGCCCGTCCAGATATTAAAATTAGAGCATCTTTTTGCTCAACGAGTCTTTTGAGCATATAGTATGTCGTATTCCACCTCGTTGGCTCCTCTTGAATTAGTCTATGCTCGGGTAGCTCTAGTTGTTTCTGGATAGTTTTTAGCACCTTCGTGTTTTTGGCTGACTTTTTGAAGTTGCCAACAACTTTTCTTGCTTTTTTGATAACATTGCTTATCCTTGGATTGTCCAAACAGCCATCTTTTATTACCAACTGCAGTGTATGCGCTACACAGGAGTACGCCTGGTAATCACTACCATTCAGTGCAGCTGTAATGTCTGGTCCGTTATCACGAACAACTCCGACTACTTTCGTTTGAATCCCCCATTCATTGAAAATTCTTGTTAAGAAGTTCCTTAGGTTAACTGCCGTATGGCTTATTTCCGGGAAGGGAACACATTCCAGACATTTATGAATCATTTTTTTACTCCTGTTGCTGTAAAAATGAACTGTGAATGCCATAAAGTCACAGTTGGCAACAGACGTCTACATGTCGGTAGTGATGGCCACGTGTTTTGCCTCTAAAAGATCTGCCTTCAACTCGCCCATCACACGGTTGTACATTTTGACTATAATCTTTTTGGAAAATGTTTTCCTAGAGGGCACTTGGTACCTTGGCTCGAGATGATTTAAGAGCTTCAAAAAACCTTTATCTTCAACTATAGACATAGGCTGAAGGTCAATACATATCATTTCTGCTATTAAGCAATCAATTTTAGTAGCCCTGGGGTCATTTGATTTAAACTTCAATTTCCTTTCATATAAGGCTTCTATAGTAGGCTGACTAGTCGCTTGAAGTTTAATAGTCCTAGGGACGAGTGGAGATGTTGAAGATTGTCTCTCTCTAGGTTCAGGAGTGGATAGAGGACAGGAGGAGGTGGACTGAGGTGATATTATATTTGAAGCTGGGGAGGTTAGATCTGCTAGGCCTTCTTCAGAATCAGATATAGTTTCAATGGTTAGTGGTCCAAAATCACTATTTAACTCAACCTGCATCACATCTCCACCACTTTCTACATCAAATTGGTTGGACTCTGTAGGCCTACATTGGTTTGAAGTTACTGTGGAACTAGGCTTAGTTTTTTGATTAGGTTTGGTAAAAAAACTCCTTATTGTACTCGTGGCTGTGGCTGGAGAAGTTATGGATGATGAGGATGAGGAGGGGGAGTCAATATCAGCGGTTGATCTAGGCCTACCATTATTCCTACCAGTACCTTTACTTGGTTGATGTGGAAATGACTTATGTATTTTCTTTAAATGGTTCGTCAGGTTGGATGTAGTTTTGCTAGCCCCACCTCGCGAAAGTAACTTGTTGCAGAGATTGCATTTTGCATAGTTTGGATTAGCACTATCTATTGTGAAGTATTTCCAAACTTCAGAACTCATTTTCACATACGCACAGTCACTGATTCACCAAAACACTGATACAAGTCTAAGTTACAGTTACTCACAAAACTAAATAAAATATAATAGAAAATTCAGCTCAACTAATACAGTAAAAATGTAGAAGTTTTAAGCAAGCAGTACCGAAAACGTTAACGTAAACTAAACGCGTGAAGCAAGCTAGCTAAAGCTTTTGTTTTGTTTTACTTACTTTTCTTTCAAGATGACGATCGATAATCGATGTTTTCGAAACATCGATATTTTTATATCGATGTTCGATGTTTTTTACTTCGATGGTTGATTACCGATGTTTTTGGTACATTGACTTTTTTGTCGAACGATGTTTTTGGCCAAGTATTGAAAAATCGATGTCTTCCATGACTGAATTGTATTAGATGTAGGTTAATTAGTTGTTGCAGGACAGAGAGCAGACGGGAAAACTGAGAAAAACATCGATGTTTTCGCGACTATGCTATCGGTATATCGATAGTTGACCTATCGATGATCACCCCTACGTTGTTTGTCTCTCTCTTAAACCGTTAAACAAACCCTCTGCATCAGCCGGCTGACTTTTTTCCTTTTGCCGCCATGTTGCCAGATTGTGCACACACAGTGTTGCCAAGTCATTAGAAGATGTTCCGCTGGGGTACCTTAGCTTATAATCTCAATATCTGAATCTCAAAATAAAACCTTCGTGATACTATTCTCCAGTTATCATAATGACGATTTATTTTACTTCTGATAAATAATGTGACTATATTTTTTGTTGTTAAGTTTAAACCACCAAACGGGGAGTATGTTTTATCTAGGGTTTAAGTATCCTCTCTGTCGCTATGCTGTGCCATGTTGTATTGCAGTAAATCTTATTTAATCTATAAAAATGAAACACCGGTATCGCGGTATCGAAATTGGGCAAAAGATTTAATTTTGTTTTCTACTGAGTATACAGTTAGATCTGGAGTATGTTTTATCTATGGTTCTATCTTAGAGAATAGTTGTTTTCAATGAGTTATAATTTCATCAACTAAAAGTGGCGTATGAATGGGTACTAAAACGAAACGGCGGTAATTCAGCTAACGATATAATTATGTTTTCAATTTCTAATTTCTACTAAATATAGTTATAGGTTAGAGTGGTAGGTAATAGCCTAAAAATAGTTGTTTTCCGTGAGTTAAAATTTTACAACTAACAGTGGCATTTGAATGGACGATAAAATCAAATACTTTATTGATATGCGTGAGGGAGGGAGAGGGAGTGCTTGGACTGAGATAGAGGTTTAGATTAGATTGAAAGTTGACAGACAAGAAGTAGACGACGACGATGACGGCGGCATTAGTCCTACTAGCCTAGGTAGTCTGTTCTTCTCTCTCTCTCTCTCTCTCTCTGTAGACTGTAGAGTTGAATGGTTTCAGTTTGGTTTCGTGACGAGTGACGACTGACGACAGCTGACTGTTATTGTCTTCTCTTGAAGCTCTTGCTTGCCGTTTGCAACGTCACAATACAAACAAAAAATGTTTTCGACGTTTTCGTTTATTTTATAGTTTTGTGTTGTACTATTGAAGTACAGTAATAAATTCAAAACCACTAATATTTGTCAACAAATAATGTTTGTTTTGTAACCTACGAAGTTCTATTTCTTGTCTTATCAGTTAGCCTACATCATTGCGTGGTTTTCATTGCCGCCGACGCCATTTGGCGGATAACGATCTTTCCGATTTTGCCGTAAATTTGAATTCGAAAGTCGAATTTCGCCGATCGAATTTCGAATTCGAATTTTTTCCGAAAATTTGGTGGATTCGAGATTCGAGATTCGACTTCGACCCATCCCTAGGAAGAACACTAGGCCACCATGGCAGCACCCCCCTTGACATTGAGTTATATGTACAATAGCACACTGGGTCAGGCCAGCGTTATGGGTTATGAGTATTGAAGTGTACTTGAACAGAGACCTGAAGCGAAAGAGTTGGTTGGAATTGGTAGAATTATTTATAGTGAAGGAGGATTTTTAACTTCTGCCAGGAAATATTTCTTCTGAATTTTTGTCCTTTCATTTTACAAATAAAAAACATAAATGCTAACCCACAAGCTTCTTCCACATCCATCATGATCAATAGAAAACAATAACTGAGCAAATGTGGGGGCTGATGGTAACTTACCACAAACGGTTACTCGCCATTAAACGTGCTTCCAAAGTGATGACATTAAGGTGGCCTAGTGTGCAAAGGTAAGGGTAATGTGTATTTTATTATAGAGTGAACTTATATCTTGATGACATTAAGGTGGCCTAGTGTGCAAAGGTAAGGGTAATGTGTATTTTATTATAGAGTGAACTTATATCTTGATGACATTAAGGTGGCCTAGTGTGCAAAGGTAAGGGTAATGTGTATTTTATTATAGAGTGAACTTATATCTTGATGACATTAAGGTGGCCTAGTGTGCAAAGGTAAGGGTAATGTGTATTTTATTATAGAGTGAACTTATATCTTTTAAAGTATTAAGTTTAAAGTGGTTTGAATGAACAGTAGAACCTGAATTATTTGGGGAATCCTGGCAGCAGATCATCTGTACTAGAGTCAAAAGTTTTGATATAAATACTTTTAAACATGAAAATCAGTGATTCATTGATCAGTAGCTATTACACTGTGATCTACTCTCAGAACCGGTACTTTTGTTTGTTTCATACATCATGATATTTAATTTTTAATTTGTTTTATTTTTTATGGTATCTGAAATAGTTTATGTTATGCAATACCGGTAACAATCTAAAAATTTTCCATTGAAAAATCTTTGTTAGTGCAGTAAATCAAGCAAGAAAAAATTTCTCAACTATTATTTTGAATTACCTTTTGAAACAGCTGAGTTAACAGTTCCTGACTAGTCCATGGGACTTTAACCAAATCGTAAAGATACTTCATTGTTTAAGAAATCGCCGAAATACCCAGGGATTTTTCTTATGAAATTAGTTACAACTGTGTCATTAACCTGGCAGTTATGTTACCTCATACCTGTGTACAATAAGAGAGTATTTTCTAGCAAAGTCCTTTCCGCAGTATTCACACTGAAACTGCTTAGTGTCGGAGTGTAGGGATGTCAAGTGATATTTAAGGTCTCCCCATTGGCGGAATACTTTCTCGCAGAACTCACATTTGTATGGTTTGTCTCCACTGTGCAGCCTCATATGGACCTGGAATACAACATGGATGTCGGTTTAGTAAAGTAATCACAATAGAAATCTATGACCTCAAACTATGCCAAATACTCTACTATTTGAACACCAGGGTCTGTTTAAGTAGTTCTAACAAGGCTCTGCAGGCCACACTTAGGTTACTTAGCTTTGGGTCCACACTGGTCAAAGATTTTGGTCTATTGGTCTCAGGCCAAAATCGGGTTGCTTTGGAAAGTACTGATTTCAAAAATATTAATTGTAACAATACAATTTGTTATACAATAATGTAAGTCATCTCTCAAGTTCACGGGGAAATCGTGTACATCTTCTGAGTCCACGGAAAAATCGCGAACACTTCTGCCATCACACAGAGAAATTATGAGCATCTGCGGTCACGGTAAAACCACGAACGTCTTCTGCGGTCATGGCGAAACTGTAGATGTCATCCCCTGTGACGGCATAAAGAAAATCGTCTGATCGTCCATGGTCACGGCAAAATCGAAAAAACTTTTGAGGTCACAGCCAAATCAAAGTCATCTTCTGCGCTCATAGTGAAATTGTAAACCCCATCCTTGGTCACCACGGATAAATAATCTTTGGAACTCACAGAAAATTCATGATTATCTTCTGTTCTCAAGACAAAATTGTAAAAATCCTCTGTATTCACAGTAAAATCGAGAAAATACTTCTTGCAGTTACTAAAGTAAACAGTTAGTGTATGCAATTGTGAACACTTTAACGGTCATAGCGAAATGCCAACTTCTTCCTCAGTCACAGAAAAATTGTGAACATCTTCTGTGGTCGCAGCAAAATCGTCAACGTCTTCCTCGGTAACAGCAAAGTCAAAAATATCTCCCGTGCAAGGCAAAATTTAGAAAATTTCAGAATACCTGTAAAAGTTAAAGAACGACATTTCCAATGTATAAGGCGTAGTGGTAGTGTACCTTGAGAGCATTGGCAGCAAGGAAACCCTTGCCACATATGTCACACTGGTGAGGTCGCTGGCCACTGTGTCTCCGCACGTGGTATAGAAGAGAGTTGCGGTGGTTGAAGCTGCGGTCACAGTGAGGACATGTCAGGGTCTTGGCACGAGGTGACGTAGACTTGCTGCCTCCACTGCTGTTGCCGTCCTCTCCTGGTGGAGACACCAGACACACGTCATGCAGATCCATCCCCAGCTCACTGTACCTCCACTGTCTACAAACACAACATTCATCACAAGTGACAATTGGCTGAAGAGGAGCACTAGTATGGGAATACAGAAAATATTTTCCGCTCCTATCTTTTAAACCTCCCATTTAAAATAAATTTGCTCCGGACTCTACTTTGGCCTAATACTAACTGATCACCTCTTAAGATGTGTTCATCAGCTGAAAAAGAACTAAGTCTAAGACCCAACAACAACAGTTGGTTTTTTGTAGCCACCAAAGATTGAGCTTTACTGAACAGATATTGGGACGATTGATGTTCACATGTTTACTAGGTTAGTTAGCTCAACTCTACAACCCAGTTGAAGTTGCATAACTTGGGTAAGAGGGCTACATCTGGATTTGTAATGACTGGACTTATTTTTGCTAACAGATTGTTTAATTCAATTCAACAGAACTGACAGGGACCATTTTGCCACAGATATATGAAAAGCTGAGCAGATGTTTAACTATTTGCTTTAATTAAATGTTAAGGAACTGATACACACCACTTTGCCGCAGGTATTTTAAATTCTAAAAGATTGGTTATTAGTACCATTTGTTTCATAAATATAAATTGGTGATGAAGTAGTCCTTATCTAGTCACTAAAAAGACACATTACAATAGTCTGTGGTCTTTTCAAAATTCAAGGCAGGACAGCGATTATTTTCACTCAAAGTCATGACAAATATCAATTTTGGGCAATGATGGTATCATTATTCAAAGTACCTGATTTTATCATCCACGTGCTCCTCGTCGCCACTGCCGATGTTGACGACGTGTCGGATGCCCTCCATCATGTCCTCCGGCTCACTGAACTCCTCTATCTCGTTATCCCGAGGATGTGACACACTCATGTGACTGTCCAGAGCCTTCTGTCTACGGAACTGCTTGCCACACACTCCACACGACATTCCCCCACTTCCACTCTCATCTTTAATCCCCGCCTGTACAATCAAACCATTGGTTATATACCTTCATTATTCATTCAGAGATATGTTCCAACAACCAAATCATTTAATATTGCATTACATTTTCCCGACAGAACAATTTGGTCTGTTATCTCAAAGATATATCAAGTGTCAAATGTAAACAAAGTGATAGGCCTACATCTTTTATGAGCTTAACTACTTAACTCTGTTTACTTGATCAACCAAAGTTTTTCAATTTTCAGTTTAGTTTTTCTCTAAAAACCACTAGAAACAACAATGGCAACAACCAAAATAAACAACCAACCCACCCTAACTAAAATAGTAATTTTGTACAATTTGAACTGAATATGCAAGATAAATTAAAAGGTATTTTCCAAAGGAGTAAGTTATCTTATTTATGTTATCAAGTTAAAGCATCTAGGAAGTTTGGGCAGTCTAAGGATGATGAAGACCTCTGCTGTTTTACTGCTAATTGCTACCAATAACAAATGTGAGCGGAATCACCCTTGAAATCTAAGTGGGGGACAGACTCTTTACTGGGGGGGACAGACTGCAGTTTACCAAATTCTAAACCAGACAACAGGTTGTGCAAAGAGCACAATCATGTTTTACTGCTAATTGCTACCGATAACAAATGTCATCAACAGATTAGTACACTTCTGCCCACCTGTGGCTGGAACTCAGTTTTGATACTGAAGGAGTCTTGTATTGTCGGTGTGTGAGATGATCCACTTTGGCTATCAGTCGGGTGTCTTGAGTGAAAATGAAGCTCCTTATTACTTCCAGGCTCGTAATGGACTTTCAGGTGTTCAAAGAATTTGAGTTGTGTCGGAAACTGCTTGTTGCACAGTTCACATGCAAACACTGCAACATAAAATATATGTGAATAATAAAAAAAAAACTATGTTATAACCATTTAACACAGATTTTTATTTAATTACACCATTCTTTGTTAGCCTTCCATCTGGTCAAAAGAGTTATCAATTAGCATTATGTTTAAAATATTAGAACATAGTATCTGAAGTTTAAAGTTCCAAATGATTTCATTCACCTGCCTTCTTCTAAGACCTAAACACTGTTTTGTTGTAACCAATTTAAAAGTTGGAGATTGCTGTTTGAAATACTTGATTGTGTTAATGCACTAATGAGTGAGACTAATTGCTTCAATCCAACAAAGATTTTAGATTGACACACAGCATGTTAGATACTAACCAGGTCGTTTGGTGTTGCCAGGAGTCGAGTGAGTGGTCCTGTGAACAGAGAACGCAGCCTGGCTGTTGAATGTTTCCCCGCATTTGTTACACTTGTAGCATTTTGCATGAATGTTGCGAGCCGGAGGTGCCTAAAAAATAATATATAGCAAGGAAAACATAAAAAATCATACTTTCAGTTTTATAACCAATTAAAAATCAATTGAATTGAGTTTCAATTTATGGAATTGAACTTTTAGTTAAATTTTTAAATTGAAAATGTTGTTTTTGATTTCTCCCTCTAATACGGTTCAAAAGTTATTAAAACTTTTGTGATTTTTCCACATAAAATATAGTTTACTCTTATTGCTTGGAAAATCATGATAAGGTTTGTTGACAAATGACAAGTTAACACGTTCGCTGCAGGCCACTCACCACTGAGTGCTCTAGTTCCTTTCTGCCACGCTGAAAACTCACCCGTAAGTACCGGCATCGCCTACATTCCATTCAATTTCTGCAGTACACCTGGAGGAACAGGTATTTTTATATCTGCGTTTAGCTATGTATGGGTGCTTTACTGTGGTGTAGGTTGGTAGTAAATTTCTCCGTAAAATTCCCTTCTGGCAAGATTAGAAATCAACTTGTTGTCCCATCTTTTCCCCTTCAATTGTGAATACAATAGGACCCTCTAGTTCCAGACAGTACTGCTATCTGTGAGTGTTTCAGGCAAACCACGTTGACTCTTGTCGTAACGCAGCACATTACTCCTTGTCATTTTCTACTTGTCAGACCGAAAAATTTGAAAGCCAAACGGGTCCGCTCGACGCTGCGCCATGCCGGGGCTACGCCTGCCATTGGTGGGCTGCAGCGAACGTGTTAATGGGAGAAAGTATGTGTCAGATTGCTGATAACGTTAATGCTGAATATTTTTAGTTTACCTTGAGTTTGCGAGGAATCCGCTTTTTGTGAGGTAAGCTACGATGACTCCGTCGACTCTCTACATCGTAGTCAGAGTCAAAGTCTTCCAGCATCTTACTAGAGGAACTCATGTCTTGTGTCCTCACAGAGCCTAGTTCTGACTGAAAATTGTATAGTACTGTAATCACCATGTAGTTCAACAAGTACCAGTATCCTAGAGTCAACGGTAACTTAAAAAATTAGTGGCTAGCATTATTATGCAGGTAATTTTAACAGAAGGTAGAGTATTGCTAATTTTCAGCTTGCAAACACCTTAGGCCTAAGACGGGCAAAAATTATTAAATGAAAAAAAATAAATAAACATAACAAATGACTTCTTAGTATGTAATTTGTAAATAATTAGGATAATAGAGCCATAGTGGTGGGAATAGGCTGATAACCGTACAATAACACCAACAGTTTGTAGCCTACAAGAATTAGTGGAATTACAGTATCTGCTTTCTGAAAATCTACATCCGCCGTGTCTGAGAAAGTTATTATCGTTAAAAAAGCAGTTTTTCTTGTAGTTTTTTTTGTCCTAGGACGCTAGGCTTGAGCCTGGGATTGTTTTTCACATTACTTCAGGCTAGACCTAGGGGTTGCGGCCTTATCACTTAGACAAAAAAATCCATTGGTGATTTGGCAGGATTTGAACCTGGGACCTCAGGGACTGAAGTCGCACGCTCTAACCAATAGACCAACAGCGAGTTATTGATAGCTGAGTAACCCCTAACAGTTGGTTGTACTAACAAAACTATAGGCCTAGATGTCATCTTGCTGTATTTTACACTCATCCACCACTCAAACCCAGCTAAAAATATAATTTTGTATCACTGGCTATGAAATACTAAATGGTAAACCCATGTTTGTTGTATCATAAAATAAAATTTAAGGAGGGTCTAACTCTATCTAGGCCCAACTGTACCTCAGATATTGTAGTTACAACACTATAGTATCTACAACGTTAAGTTGATACTCTGCTTTTGCCAGGATTTAAACTGATTCAAGGTTATGGTTAACACTGTATTGAAAATTATTACCTCATTGGAAGGTTTCTCTTGAACCATAGGGACACTCTCAATGACAGTTGATATGCCAGTGTTGTGGGAACCCTCTGTTGGGCGAGATCCATACTTGTTATCCACCATCATTGACTGGCTAGACAACACCTTCTTCAGTGGAGGTAGAGGTTGTAGTTTTAACTCCTAAACAAACCATTCAGTTGATGTTTTCTAACTGATTTAGCAGAATTAAACATACAAAAGATACAAAGAGAAGACTATTAGCCTATCTGAAGTTTGGTAATACTGATTTTATAGTAATTAATATTTTATACTAAATTATATTATCACCCCCCTTCACAAGAATACAAAATATTTACCGGTAGTAGGAATGTGGACATAGCCAACATGAACATTTGTTTTATTGAGTAGGCTGCTAAGGAAATTTTAAATTTTAAAAGGGTTGTGACAGACACAACTGCTTTGTTCCCAACATAAGAACTACAATCACCATAGGCTACAATACTGTGAAGACCACAGAGAAGGAAAAGAAAATGTGATTAAAAGAAACCCTGTGTTGAGATGCAAATTTAGTCCAAACAGTTTATTATTTAACAAAAATTCATTTCCAATAATTTATTAACATGTTAAAGCAAGACAATTCTAAATGTTACCCATCCAAGCCTTAAAAAATACTGACAGATCCTGATGACAACAGCAGGGAGGGAAAGAAAGTGTATGATCGCAACCGTGAGTTCCCAATTTAACATCCTACCATCTACCACCCTTAACCCTTGATCCTCAGTTTGGTGGTCACACAATGGTCGTACCCACCCAACCAACTGAACAAGATTTAGCAATTCCTGTACCGATTTGCTTTATGATACATAGAATAGAAATTAAAAACATAACAAAATTACAAAATAATGCTGGCTAGTGGAGTGCATCATGTTTAATCTGATTAATTGCTGACAGAAGTGGCCATGGCTGAAATTTACAATTGTGACCTCAGTTAGTATCTACTACCTATATTTAAAGCTGTTGCTAAATTAATCCCAGACAGTCACAATACAACAATTTAAAAACAAAGCTAACCTAAGAGTACACTTTGCTAAAGGCTTTAATAGGCAAAGCCAGGAAATAAATTCCATATTGTTAGTCATATTTTTATTCATTCTTGACAGCAGACAGTCTCAGCAATGGTGTACCAGAGTTCTACATTTTCCATTACCTTCTTTAAAAACGCTACTTGCAAAGATACCATCTCAAAAATACCCCGCCGCAGCAAACCTGTAGACTAATTGAATTTCCATTTGCCTATCAATTGATGTAGTTGCGCAACCCCCACTATATTAGTTCAGTATGAGCTCAGCCATTGCCGGGGAACGTTAAAATCGTCACTAGCCTGTAGCTTAGAATGTGACCTTTATTTTGGTGTAGTTTGGTACTAAGATTTTCCGTAAAATCCCGTCTGACAATGCTTTTGTCTCGGTTTTGGGGATTTTCTCTCGTCAAGCCATATTAGAAAGCCACCGACTACTGATCCAGGCAGTGCTGCTACCTTTGGGTGTTTGGTAATGAGTAAAGAAAAATCCAATAACCCTAAAATATTATTGGAATCAAAAAGGATTTTTAGCAAAAATAACATTAATGGTTTTATAAAAGATTTAGAATTTGAGAACTGGACACAACTTTACCAAACCCCTATTGATAAAAAATTTAAATTTTTTTACAATATTCTAAGGTTTTACTTTGATAAGAATTTTCCTGTGACTAATGTTCGTACAAAACATGGATTTAAGAATTGGATAGATAGAGAGATCAAAGAAGAAAGGCAAAACTTATTAAATGCTTGTAAAAACAAAAGGAAAAATAAAAATATGACAGTTAAATTGAACATAAAGCAGCAAAAAAGAAGGTTAAAAAAACTCATAATTGAAAAGAAGAAACAATACTTTCACAATAAAATCACTTTATCTGAAAATGTAGCAAAAACTACTTGGAATTTAATCAATACTGAACTTGGAAGAAATTCTGCTAATTTACCATCCCAGATTATTTTAAAATATAATGGAAATTCTGTTACTGACCCTGTGGAAGTTGTCAACATAATGAATAATTATTATGCTGACTTAGTTGACAGCACAATAATTCCAAGTTTGAATAATAAAGATTCCTTTGGGGATAGCCCCAAGCAGGCCAATGCTGTTATTGCTGATAAGTCTAGATTTAAGTTTCATACTATATCTGAGGAACAGTTAGATAAAATAATTAATTCAGTAAAGAACAAGTGGTCATCTGGATATGATGACATCCCAACAAAAGTCATTAAGGCTTCAAAAAGAGCAATTCTTAAGCCTCTACTGCATGTTATAAATGCTTCTATGATATCTGGAGTATTTCCCACAGAATTAAAAGTATCAAAAATTATTCCAATATTTAAAAAGGGTGACAAGAAGGATCCTGCCAACTACAGACCTATTTCAATCCTACCATCATTATCAAAGTTTTTTGAAAAGTGTATGTTGATGCAACTAACTGATTATTTTGAAAAAAATAGCTTATTAGATTCGGAACAGCATGGTTTTAGACAAAATAAATCAACTATTACTGCAGTCATAGCTTTTGTTGAACATATTGTGGATAAATTAGACAAAGGTGACCATACTGTTTCTGCATTTCTAGATCTGACTAAAGCGTTTGACAGTGTATCCCATTCTATTTTACTAGAAAAACTAACTTCTAATGGTATAATTGGCAAAGATTTAGCTTTATTAAAATCATACCTAATAGGTCGAAGGCAATATGTGGAAACTAAACACCTCAATGGCAATAGATTATTTAAAATAAAGTCAAAAACTAGATTAATTAAATATTCCGTTCCCCAGGGATCAGTCCTGGGACCATTCCTATTCCTTGTGTATTTAGGAAAGTTACCAGAATGTCTTTCAAACCTAACATTAAATAATAAATTTTGTATTTTTGCAGATGATATTAATCTAACGATAGCTAGTAGCAATAGAAGTAATGTTTTTGATCAATTATCCCTAGCAACAAACAAAGTTAACGAAAGACTAAGTAACTTGAACCTTTTAACTAATAAAAATAAAACAACAATAATTAAATTCTCTTGTAAAAATGGTAATTCAAGGAATGACACAGAACCAACAGACTGTCTTAATACTGTTGACCTTGCTGAAAAGTCAAAGTTCCTTGGTATTTTACTGGATAGAAAACTGTCTTGGTCAGATCATGTAAATGAGGTCGGTTCAAAAGTTAGTTCAGGAGTCTTTGCTCTGAAGAGATTGTCCTCTTTTTGTGACATCAAAACATTGCAATAAATGTATTTATCAATGGTCCATACCCATATTGGGTATGGTCTTGAAGTATATGGAGCAACATCAAATTTTAACCTCAAAAAAATTTTACATCTTCAAAAAGATGCAATAAGATCAATGCTTAAATTGGATTTTGATGCACACTGTAAAAAACATTTTATTGGATTGGGTATCATGACAGTTTATAGCCTTTATATTTACAAGACTGTTCTTCATGTTAAACGTAATATTTCAACATTTACTAAAAACGTCGATAATCATAATTACAACACAAGAAACCGATATAATTTCCAAATTAATAAGCATAAAAAAGAAATATTTAAACAAAAACCATCATACATTGGAATACAATTTTTTAATCAATTACCAATAAAAATAAAAAATGAAACAGATGACAACAGATTTAAAAACGCTCTAAAATTACATTTGACACAAAATGCTCTCTATAAATTCAAAGATTTCTGGGCTAAGCAATAACAGCATTGACTTAAAATGTTTTAGGCCTATTGCTGTTTCACTGAACTATTTTTGTTTTCACTGAAGTATACTTTTGTTTTATACCTACTTGAGAGATGACTGTATTGTTTTGTTGTTTTGTTCTTGTGTATTGTATTTGTCTTTTATTTGTGTTCATATTTTATGTAACGATGAATTTGACACCATTCTTGTATATACAATATATACTAATGAATAAAGATGTTTTGAATTGAATTGAATTGAATTGGGGGAACTACGTCCAATCTTGGGGTAACGTAGTACAATCACCGCTGCTCTTTTGTTATTCGTCACATTGAAATATTTGAATGCCAATTGCGTTCGCTGTTACAGTGCCGCGCCGCCATTGGCGAGCGCCTGTTAGAATGCCCTGCCGCACTGAACATGTTAAGTCTATTTCAATTACATTAAGATTAACGAGTAGGTACCTAGGTTTGCTGCTACAGGGTGGGTAATAACGTGTACCTACATGTTTTTAGTAAAATATTATTAAAATAAATTTGTCAAGTTAGACAAAAATCTATATTTATAATGCTTTAAACAAGCAAATTACAACAGTTTAGCCTACTTATTCTTAATAAGAATACCATGGAAATTTTAAATTTAAAAACCAGCTTGGTTTATTTTAGTTGTTACAGTTTAGACATTTTAGATTCGCGATTTAATCTAATTATATGGGTTGCCGAGTGGTTTTAATGCTCGCCTTCAAATCAGAATGTTGTTCGTTTGATTTCAAGCGAGATTGTTTTTGGACTCAGATAAGTTAGATAGGTTGATACCATTATCAGTGGAATATAAATTAATGATGCTATCTAACAAAAGGTCAATGTTAGATTGAAACAAGGCCAGGGTTTGAATTCCTCTCTAGAACAAAAAAACTTTAATACTCCACAAGCGGAGTTCCAATTGCCTGATTGAGTTTTCACTAGGCCTAAATAAAATATTTCCTTAAACAGGTCAGATGTATTCCCTGTTTAAATAATACCCCCAACATGGGGATTTTCAATTTAAACCTTTTAATAATTTTTTTCTAACCGTTTCTTAGGCATATTACAATGTTTCAATATAATAAATTAAGTTATTTCTTTTTTCAATCTTTAGTCCACAAAATGGTTTGGAAAGAAATTACAAAATGTTAGGCCTACCTATGTTTTGAGGATAAATTATGGGAAATATGATTTTTTATCCCATAAAACCCCTATAAATTCCCGTTTCCATTGTCTGATCGTGAACTCATTAAAGTTTATCCAGCCCTACATATTCAAGCCAAATTTAATCAATTGGACAAAAATTATTCAAGTTATCGGATTTACATAGGGCCTAAATAAAAATCCCGGGTCTAAGTCTTACCGTGCCACCAAAGATATCAGAGTACATCAGTAGGCCTACTTCCCTATAGAGAAATTCGATGAAATTTTAATTTAGTCTATATAAAGTTTTATCAAAATATGTAGGCCTACCTGTAAAGAGATTATTATTGAAATTGGATCAGTTTTACTTTTACATGAGTTATTGTGCTAAAGGAAGGCTAGTAAATAACTTAAAATGAGGTTACTAACCTGTCGTCAATCAGTCCTATATTGTCGTTGATGACTAGTTTCGGGGCTAAAACCCCATTTTCAAATCTTCTCTCCAGTCGTCGTATGTCAAACATATCTTCTTGCACAAGCCGTCGTCATTATTTCACACATACACATATAACACATACGAAAACGTTTATAATATAATACAAAGAAATGTACATTCGCGTGTGGCCGGCCAAGGACAAAACTAGACTGCCTGTCTGGTTTTGTCCTTGGCCGGCCACACGCGAATGTACATTTCTTTGTATTATATTATAAACGTTTTCGTATGTGTTATATGTGTATGTGTGAAATAATGACGACGGCTTGTGCAAGAAGATAGGCCTATGTATGACATATGACGACTGAAGAGAAGATTTGAAAATGGGGTTTAAGCCCCGAAACTATTCATCAACGACAATATAGGACTGATTGACGACAGGTTAGTAACCTCATTTTAAGTCATTAAATCAATCCTAGAGGCAAATTATGCATAAACTAGTAAATAAGCAAGTTAGCAAGTTGCAGGCTATATACGGCAGGGTAGGTATTAAAGTTGGTAGCCTACGTATTTGTACAGATGGCGTTTTTGGCCTCTGGGAACATTAAAATAGGCTACTGAATAGCCATGAACAGGTTCGGGTCCAGGTCTTACCATAACACCTACGGTAAGTTAAGTAATAGCTTTTCTCTATTTTATAGCCTAACTTAGATGGAAAATCCGCTAAAATGTAAGTTGTAAGAAACAGGCACAGTTCATTTAATTAACAAATACCCCCGTCGCAGCAAACCTGCATACTAAGCGAATTTCCATTTACCCGGCTTGATTTCTACTAAAATATTCCCTATAAATTTTCAGATTTATTTCCTATTTAAATAACATTAATTTTAGTGAGTAGTTAGGTTTGCTGCTACGGGGAAGATGTTGAGGTGTGTTTTTTCAATTGAAATATTGATAGCTTAGTATGAAATAAGCCAAGTTACCAAATTTGATTAAAATATATCCATAAACAAGCAAACTAGAACAGTTTATTTATTCTCCATAAGAATAACATGGGAATTTTAAATTTCCAATTTTTTAAATTTTCTCCGTAGTCAATGAACATTAAAAAAAAAACTTCAATATACTAAATTATTTGTTTTTTTAAGCTCTTCAAAATAGTCTACAGAGAAATTTAGAAAATTAAAGTTTTTAGGGTCAAAAATGAGAAAAACCCATTTTTACCCCATAAAACCCCCCATAAACCCCTGATCCCATGGTCCGATTATGCTGGTTCGTTTGAATAAATGTAGGTTTACACGTTTGTACCAAATTTCATCAAAATCGGATCAATTTTGCTCGAGTTATCGCGCTAACGGACACATATATAAATATATATATATATAAATATATATATATATAAATATATATATATATAAATATATCTTATCTTACTAATATTATAAATGTGAAAGTTTGTGTGTTTGTTTGTTTGTTTGTTTGAAGTTCAATCACGCATTAACTACTGGACGGATTGGGCTGAAATTTTGCATGATGATACCTCATATTCCCGATTAACATATAGGCATATTCTTATCTCAAAAACCCTTTCGGGCTCCGCCCCAGTGGCTCTGTAGTTCCCCATGTTAACCTTATGAGTATTCATATTTAAAGGGAATTAAAGAATTTAGTCAGCTGTTTCAACTAAAAAAGTTGGTTCTATGATATGGAAAGTATTAAAAAGTTATGAGATTTACCAACAGGGTGCAGCACTATTATTTTTTTGCATTTATGAAAACAGCTTATTTGAACTAAGTAGCAACAAAAAACAGTGATTGGCAATGATAACTAACTGTCAAAGTAGGATTGTTTACTGTTAGGCCTATTTTTATGTTTTTAATTGCATGAATAATTTGTGAATAATGTTTTGCAAAGTTTTAATTATTTATTTTTCTCTATTGTTTAGGTGCAGTGGTAGAACATTATGGCTATGGTAGATGTGTAATACCTACTATAGTATAGCGTAAATTTTATTATAGTAAACAGTTTTGTTCAAATGTGTCCTACGCCATTGCAAAAGCTAAGTTAGAGTACAACACTGCAATAAACATTTTGCACTTATATGCCAACCCCGTACGAAGGACGGGTACTCAGCTAGTATATATATATATGAATTTGAACGGATGGTGTTTTTGGCCTCTGGGGACCTCAAAACAAAAAAGTAAATCGGTCCCGGGTCTAGGTCTTACCATGAGACCTACGGTAATAGCTTATTCCCTATATGGGAAATTCGCTAATATTCCCTATATGGGAAATTCGCTAAAAGCCACTGATTTTCTGACTGATAAAAAGGCAACAGAAATTTTGTGTCCTTTTTGCCATTAAGTTAATTATTAGCCTACTAATTCTGAACTAAAACACAACCCTTAATCCTAACTTGGCCTTAAACATAAGTTATCTACCTCATTGGAATAAATAAACTTATGCATTACAATTAAATTTTTCTAGTTTCAGGGCAACTTAACTTATTCTTACAGGTAGAAACCGATACTTAGGAACTAGTGCTTAAAAACCTATTGTTGGGTGCAAATTTATATCTATTTAAGTTACCCAAGTTCAAATTGTACCCTATATAAGTTAGGTCTGAGCTACCCTTACCTGAGAAGAATTTTGATACATCTTCATCATTCGTTCTTGGTTGTGTTGATCGATAATTTGTTGATGAACTGATTCATCTGGTATATAGTTAGTCACTATTGTATTAATTGGTTTATCAACAGGTACATTTGGAAGAGTAACAATAGGCCTCGGGCCTAATAAATCTGTAGTTGTAAGTACAGTTTGTTGTTGTGTTTTCGGCTGATGATGAACAAACTGGACTGCTACTAGAGCAGCGGCAAGTCGACGGTCATCCTCAGTCAATTCTTGGGTCAAAATATCTTCTGTGTCATAGTAATGGGTTGGGACGGTATGTTGAACAAATTCTGTACCAGCTAAATCTACAACCTGATGGGTTAGAAGTTCACCATTTGATGATAGAGATGGTTGTACATTAACTGGTATGTAGTGGGTTCCCATTAGGTCAGCATCATCTTCTTCTGTGTGTATACCCACTGAAGCTGGTGTTAACTTTCCAGCAAGCACAGTATGCATGGGAACTGATATCATTTGACTTGTCCGTTCAATTGTATTTGTTACCTCCATTGTTTCGCTCCTAGGATGAAAAGGAGGTGAGCACCAAAAAAAACTGAACTTAGACTTTGTTTGTAAATGTCGGTGACTTCACCTAGCCTACAGTAGATAGGCCTATGTTCCTGCTTTAGAGCCTATTTGGCATAAGTCAAGCCCTAATCAAGCTCATGTGGATTATTTTAATTTGGAAACAGGTTATAGCTTAGTACTTTGTCTTGCACCAGTCTGATATTATTTTTGACACTTTAATTTTAGGCCTTACACAACTTCGCGTGAATAAACTGTTCTAGATCATTCAGCGTTCAGTTAGGCCTAATGGCCTGGCTAAGAAACAGCCCGTGGTTTAACTTAGTAAGTTACAAAGTTACACATATCATCCTTAGTCCATTCTACCCTTGTAAGTTTATTCATAGAAAAAGTGACATTAGAGCCTGCAACGCTATGTTATCCAGTTTATTGTTTAACCAGAGCCTAGGCCTTACATCTTAAATAATTTTTGATATGTCTACCTCCATTTCTATTTCTTTTGTCAAAGGAATTAAGCATAGGCTTATTTATTTAGTTACTGGTAACTCAGGCCTATAAGTAGTTTTTGTCCAAACAAGAACTAATTTTGACATAGGCCTACGCCAGAAACAGTAATAATTAAGGTATATAATATTTTAAACCATCACAGTTTCTTCAAATTTCGCGGCATGAAAATTTGAGTTACATTCCTTCTTTTGTGAACTAGACATGGAAGCCAATTCTACCTAGCCTATAAAGTAATGGCGCTGCAAGGTCGCTCCGAGCATCTAAATTTACACATAAATATGAGATTATTGGAACTACGCACATTTAAATTAAATCACTTGTAACACTGGTACCACAAAACAAGGTTCAATGCTTTATATAATGTAATAATTAAGATAAAGACACTCCCTCATTACACTTGTGTGGAAAACAGTAAATATGACAACAGTGGACGATTCCTTTTTTCCTTCTGCTTCTGATCTCTCGAACCGGATCTACGTGTATTGTGTAAAACTTGTGAGTGAGTGTAGTAAAGCAGCTGGATCCATATGATCAGCTGGTTATCTAGTGCTGGATTGACAAAAAAAGCACAAACAACAGTCGTCTGTTTATTTTTATTATTATTACCTAGGTTATGTAATGTCAAATCCAACCAACTGTCATGTGAATGGTGTACCACCATAGTAGTTTTTAAGATTTTAGGAAACTTTTTCTAATATTTCATTATCTATGAAAATGAATATCTGTAATTTAAAAAGGATAATCCATACCGGTTGTGATCAGAAAATTACTTAAAACTAACTTAGGCCTAGTTTATAACATTCAGGATTCTTTGTTAGTGAGGCTGTAACTTAATCTTTACTTGTTTTTTGTTAACAATGCCTAGAATATCACTAACTGGTAACGGTTTGAGAAATTCTTTCTCTAATACATTTTCCGACGTGCTTTCAAAATGGAGAAATTGGATAAAGGCCGCTGTTATGGTTATTTATGGAATATTCATGTTACTCTTGATACCTAAACTTATCATTCATTCATTTGATCAAAAGAAGAAAAATCCTGATCCTGCAGCTTACATTGGAGGTTTTTTTGCTGTACTGACTATTCCGATATCTCTCACAGAAATAATTCAACATATGATACATTATTCCAGCCCTCCTCTTCAGCTTCATATTATCAGGTAAAGTTTTTAAAAAGATAACTAAACTGGTTTTATAACTAAGCAGTAGGCCTACTGACTAAGCCGCTGATCATTCAACATTCAATCACTGTCTAAAAACGTCCATATGCAATGACAAACGGCTCTCTGCTGTAAGAATTTCTTGATAATTAAAATATGCCTAACATAAGTTAAGTTATATGCAAAATATGTAGGAGCCTACCTAATAATAAATCTTAGTTATAAGATGTTTTATTTTCTGATTTGTGATCATTGCTATTGGCATTTTTTATATTATTTGTAAGGGAACGGTCCAAACTCTAGTTTTTAGCCCATTTACAAATTGCACTGTGTTCTAGAATCTATTCTGCTTGGAATGTAACCAGCCACCTCCAGGTTTTAAAGGAGGAACAATTTAACCACTCGACTACCCAGACAATTTTGTCATTGGCCTGGAATAGGCTAGGTTTTGTGTTGCATCATCACCATTTAGCATTTTTACATTTTTGTATAAGACCGGTCCAAACCCTGGTATTATTACTAGGTACATACAGTATTCTACTTTGAGTATCAAGATGATTTTTGAAGAATAACTTATTGCAGGCAGATCACTTTATTTTGTGTCTTTAATATGACTTGAAATTGTTTGTGCAGCAGCTCCTCCACTAAGTACTGGACAACAAAAGGCATATCATCAATGCTATCATCTGGTCATCCATTCATTCTCACACACCTTATGCTTGAATAACCGTTACTGGTATTATGTAGATATTGCACAATTGTTTAGATATGACCCCTTATGTTAACACTAGCTGGCCCGACAGACGTCGTCCTGTCCCAATGTGGTTTTATGTCAATGCTCGTTCATTTTCAAGATGAGCTCGTTCGCATGGCTCAATCACGTCCTGTTTGAAGTTCGTTTGCTACGCTTAGTCACCTTTAGGTTGGAGCTCGTTTGCTGCGCTCACGCCTTCAGGATAGCTCGTTCGCTATGCTAACTCGCCTCCAGGTTAAAGTTTGTTCGCTACGCTCACTCACCTTTTGGTTGCAAGTTAGCTGTTGTCATAAATAAAAAAAATAATAGTCCTGCATCCTGTTGGTAAACCTATTAACATTTCAATGCTATTGAACATCACAGAATCAAATTGTTTGTTGAACCAGCTGTTAAGATTCTTTAATTCCATTTAAATATGAGTACTCATAAGGTTAACATGGGAAACTCCAGAGCCACTGGGGCAGAGCCCTTTTGACGGATCTGCACCAAACTTTAGACAAACCATCCTTGAATAATGCTTAATAATGCGTGAAAGTTTCATTACAATCTGTCGAGCGGTTTCGGAGTCCATAAAGGACAAACAAACATACATTGGATTTTATATATTTAGAAGAAAAAAAGATAGATAATGTGTGTCTCCTAATGTACCGTACTATAATAGTTTTCTTGCACTGAGTCTGATACTGTCAAAAAATGAACTATTATAGGGTGAGCCTATAAATATTTTTTGAACAGGGTAAGTTATCTATTTAAAACGATTAAGTGATACAACCACCTTAGTGCTTTATTCCATTGGCTTTCACCCTCTTTTCCCTGGGCACTGCTGTAACGGGAAGTAGTACAGAGGCCTTGTCTCTTAGTCAAACCCCTGACAGCAGGCGGGGATTAGTGTCAGGCTGTAGAATGTCTTCAACACTGCACGACACAAAGCCAACACATTTGTTTAGTTAAGAGATTGGCAACCCCTTTTTTAACCTTCATTTTTCTGTCTACATAAGCCTAAAACGTGGGGCGTGAGTGTGTTGAACATGTAAGCTAGACGTGTGCTGGTACTATAGAAGAGGGAAGAGGGGGCTGTGCTGATCAAATTTCAACAGGACACATACCCACGACATTACTGCCATGGGTTCCTACTACCAGATGTATTTGTCATTAATTTCTTATGCTTTTATTTTTTCAGGATTTTATGGATGGTACCTATTTACACTCTTAATGCGGTAAGTTAAAAATATTTGTTTGACTAAGAGCTTAGTTACCACAGATATTTTAGTAGAAACAGTATGGATCAAACATAATTTCCATAAATGAATAAATATAATTTCATCTCATTTCATAAACAAACGTAACTGGCCCACATCCTATACGTTACCAATAACTTTAACATGTTATGGTTTTGGACAATGGGCAAGTCCATTAAGTTAAATGATGTTTACTTTTGGGCTACATCATTCACATAATTTGTTTATGTTTATGATCCATACAGTTTCTGTTCTAATATTCAAGTTAATTATTAATCTCACCTTCCCTTCCAGCTATCACACTCCTCTATATGTATTGTCTATCACCACCGGTAGTGAATGTATTAAATTGATATTTTTCTGTCTCAGATGTTTGAATATTTCAGATAGGTACAATTTAATTGCTATTGAGTAGACTAAAGAATTTTGTTATAGGAGTATTTATTTCATACAGTAATTGAAAAGAAGCAATATAAAGGCAATAGGAACCCCCAAATGCCCTTCGTCACTAAGGCTAGCTGTATACTGACTCAATTGCTCCTTTTGGGCACTGATGTTTCTCACACATATCTTGAATGACAGTACAAAATGAATCTGATCAAAATTACATTGGAAAAACAAGACAATTTATTATATTACAAGTGATAGCTGAAAAGAGGAAATTACAAGTAAAGTAAAATCAGTACACTTTCATTAAGATAGACCACTATTATAAAATCTAGATTAAAATTAGTGATTTAGATTTGGTACAAAAAAAATAACCATATTAATAGGCACAAAGAAAATTGTTACTTCATGTAGTACTCATTAAGTCATACAGGGCTACCTAATATACCTATACTCATACTGTATATATATATTTTTTTTAGTGGATGGGAATAATTTATCCGGATCAGACAATATTCATGGATTCATTCAGAGAGTGTTATGAGGCCTACGTAATCTACAACTTTATGATGTACCTGCTGAACTACTTGAATGCTGAGTCTGATTTTGAGACTCAACTAGCTACCAAGCCACAAGTAAACCACATTTTTCCTTTCTGCTGGCTTAGTCCATGGAAAATGGGCAGGTAAGTTGCAGCAGCATCAAATAAATAATATTTGACATAACTTACCGGGACATGAGGAATTGGTATTTCAGCCCCAGTTTTGAAATACATTCTTTTAATCATGTTTTCCCTTATCTCGGGAAGACAAGTAATAACCCTAATAATTATGAAACAAAGTTTGTGGTGAGACCACAGATCACAAGAATTAGTGAAAAGTAACTTGATAATTCTTGATGAGATGCAACTTCCAAATAATCCATCCTATCAACCACTACCTCGCTATCCATCGCTAAGTGGGCCTTCCCCACCGAACTCTCCCACAGAAAGGTGACCTCATGAGTTTTACATCAGACCTGAGCAGCCGGTATTTGAGCCCTCGATCTGGCTGTGGAGGCAGCAGGCCTTAGCGTAAGCTTAGCAGTTTTAATCTCCACCTCCAGCTCCGGCACATGTCGGGCATGGATTACAGCTGTTTTTGTTGAGTTATGCCTGCATAGATGAGTGTAGGAGAAAGTTTGATTATGCTAGTAGCTGTTATATTGGCCTTTGGGGCTCGAAGGGTTAGCCAACGTCTGCTATGTTCTACTATGTGTATTGTACTTAGTATTGTTATTGTGCTTCGTTATGAGTAATTTGAAATTGAGCACTTATTGTGATATTGAGCCAATGAATAGTCTATCAATAGTCATTTATTCCATCTTTAAGCAATACAATATTGTGATGGATTTCATAAAAAATAACAATGATGGTTTATATTAACATTGAACAATGGCTCTCTTACAGTTTAATGTCAAGCTTGTGGAGAGGGTTTGGGACATCAGTGTAAGCCTATTGAGGTTTATAAGTAGTGTTGTGATCACAAATCCATTTTGAGTTAGCTGCAATGTTTCTACTTCATCTTAGTTGGTATAATTTGGTACCGTAGTACATAACGGTAAAAAGTATTGAATTTAAATTCATAAATAAAACAAATGATCACTTATTATATTTTATTTGTAGTAAACATTTAATTTAATTTTTTGTATGATTTTAATTTAATTTCATTTAGTTGTTATTAAGTTCCTAATGTTTATCCAAACACTGTGCCAAAAATGTGCCTTTCAAAATCTATATAATTAATATGCTACATGAAACTTTGTCGGTTGAACTCCTCCGCCATTTCTTAACCGATTTTATCCATTGACGTCTCATTGGAAAGAGCGTGTCGCATAGATTTGCAAACTGGTCTTACATTTTTGAAAAAGTCCCTTGGCCTCTGCCCCAGTCTTTTTTAAAGTTCCCATGTTATCCTTATGAAGAACATAATTGTTTACATTTTGATCAGCTGTATAATTTAATTGCTGTTATTTATTTTTCAATTCAATGAAACGCATTGAGTACATTTATTTACTATTTGAACTTGTGTAAACATAATCCCAAAGACGGATCGTGTTAGTATGGTTGTATCTTCAATTTGTGTTTTTATCGTTGTTTTGTGTCGCTATGACGGATCGTGTTAGCATGATTGTAACTTAAATTTGTGCATTTATCGTTGTTTTGTGTAGCTATAATTTTTTTATTTGTTGTTATTTTCTTTTAAATGCCTCCGACGCGACGATAACGAAACATAGACAGGAGGCGTAATCGTGATAACGACCGCAGCTACAGAACAGTGGCGGGTAATAGGCTTAACTCATCACAGTCTGCACCTGACCCTGGACAATCTCAACTATTAGGTTACAAATGCGTCCTAACACTACCCCAAAACGACATTTTGTTCTCAATTGGCCCTCTATCAATGACCTGTGTTGCCTGTACAGCGAGGCATTTTGAGAAGAAGAAAACCGGCCGGAATGCTTTAGGTTTATCAATAACGGAGATAAACATGGTCTAAGTTACTCACCGGTAATCTTTGAGTTGACTCTTTTAAACTCATTGTAAATATGACTGTTATTCGTTTTCAAATAACTCCCTGTAATACTTTGCAATTGCTCGAATTCGAGCAACATGTACACTAGTATTATATAATATTAGCCTGATAGAGCAGACTACTTAATAAAGGAAATTTTGTAGTTAATTCTATTTACGTTCTATGTAGGAAATGAATTAGGTACAGTGATCATTATCACAGTTTTTCACATATTGTTTGTTCTGTGTCTTTTCAAGAGAGCTGGTCCACAACTGTAAACATGGGATTCTGCAGTACACAGTAGTCCGACCTCTCACCACAGCAATTGCATTGTAAGTAACTGATTCATTTTATTAATTAAATATAACGAGAGGACCCATACGCAAATTGTGCGTTCTAATAGGGATCAAAACTTGTTTCTCAAGCAAAAGGAATAATACAACACCATTTTCTATTTTCAAAGATTATTAATACCTGCAGACTGCCTATAGCGGTCCTCGATCATCCAACAGGATTACCCGTTTTGGTATTATTATACCACCATCAGATCCTTTACAAAACTTGAAGTATTTCGATACATTATATCATGTCACAGTTTTTAAAAAACACAGTCACAAAACATGCAGGTGAGTTTTAGTTGCTTTATATATTTCATAAACTCGTCCTAATGAATTATTAAATTATAAAAGCTTGATCCAGTCTAATATGTTATTTAAAACAATAATAAGATTAGACAGAGACAGAAAGGAATTATAAGGGAAGCCGGGGGGACAAAGTACAACTAATAGGACAAGATAACCTCCATTTGAGACTCAACACTTGAAATGCATGCTTTGCTTCTTTTTTGTCTCTCGTTGCCTACTGTAAATAGTTTATTCGGGATTAAATGTTTTGTGACTGTGTTTTTTTAAAAACTGTGACGTGACATCATATGTTTCATATGTGTTTTACTTCAAGTTTTGTAAAGGCTCTGATGATGGTATAATAATACCGAAAAGCGTAATCCTGTTGGATGATAGAGCACCACTATAGGCAGTCTTGTTAGAAATATCTTAGTTTTAGGTTAAAAACAATATCCATGCTAGGCTGTTCTGGGAAAATTTGTTTTTCGGTAAAACTTAAAATAAAATTTTAATATTTTTAACACTAGTGTAATGAACTGTCAAGTAGCTATGGCAGTTATACAAAAATGTAAATAAATAAATGAATTTTAATATATGCCTGTAAAAAAATCATCAGTAGCAAATTACTAAATACAGTACAAAAGAAAAGGACATGCCTAGGAATGCTATTGAACATTGATTATATGGGATAATACACTTGGGATGTATGATGTATTATTTAGCAATGTGATGATTACACTAATATTGAACTAAAAGTCTCGAGGAAAAGCCAAGGACGTTTTGTAGTTCTCGACGATGCGCCACCGGAATTGACGCATTGTTCCCACAATGAGTTGTGATGTTCCACGGTCCCAGTGACTAAAGCATTAAACTATAAGATATGGCATAAAATTAACCACAGTATTATATAATCAAGTCTTGTACAATGGCCCAGCTTTATTGAAGGACTATAGTGAAGTGAGTAATTTAAAATGCAGATTTTTTAAATTTTGCTATGTCAGCAATGCGTGTTTATTTCTAATTATTTTCAATCACTTGAGACGACAAGGTTGTTAACAAAATGAAGTATAGCATATATACAGAACCAATAGTTGTACATAATAACATATTATAACGTATACAGTAGGGTCCCGCAAACTCGGCACTCGATAACCCGGCAGTCTGGATAACTTGGCCATCACCTGGCTCAGAAAATTAGTGATTTTTTGAGTCCAAGTTAAACATGGACTCAAGCCAGCTTAAGTCATATCATTCGCAACTCGTAAAAAGGATTTGTTGTACTATATCTGATGACTTAATACTGACTTGTATTATAAATATAAATAAAGAAGGCAGGTAAATGGCTTACAAATTTTATTGTTTTTATTTTTAACCCTAGTTCCCGATAACCCGGCATTTCACAAACTCGGCACCCTTCCAGTCCAAACTAAGCCAAGTTTGCGGGAATCTACTGTACCTATAATATATTTTATTCCATATCTTAGACTGTATTTTATATACTCTCATGGAAATCGTACATTTGTAGGCCTATATTTTATTTATTTTCCTCTTGAACAAATCAAACACCACGAGCAATGCTTGGTCCCCTGATACTATTTAACAACTGATAGACTAAGGACAAGGCCCACCCCTTTTGTAACCTGTGTGGTGTGTATGGTGAAGGGGAGTTTGAAGGAGACAAGGCGTTCCCATACATCATTGCAGTCAACACCTGCTCACAGTTCGTTGCTATGTATCGTCTGATACAGTTGTTCATGTGTTTCACAGGCTATGTGACCTGTGTGGTGTGTATGGTGAAGGGGAGTTTGAAGAAGACAAGGCATTCCCATACATCATTTTAGTCAACACCTGCTCACAGTTCATTGCTATGTATCGTCTGATACAGTTGTTCACGTGTTTCACAGGTTATGTGACCTGTGTGGTGTGTATGGTGAAGGGGAGTTTGAAGAAGACAAGGCATTCCCATACATCATTTTAGTCAACACCTGCTCACAGTTCATTGCTATGTATCGTCTGATACAGTTGTTCACGTGTTTCACAGGTTATGTGACCTGTGTGGTGTGTATGGTGAAGGGGAGTTTGAAGGAGACAAGGCGTTCCCATACATCATTTTAGTCAACATCTGCTCACAGTTCATTGCTATGTATCGTCTGATACAGTTGTTCACGTGTTTCACAGGTTATTGTGACCTGTGTGGTGTGTATGGTGAAGGGGAGTTTGAAGGAGACAAGGCGTTCCCATACATCATTTTAGTCAACATCTGCTCACAGTTCATTGCTATGTATCGTCTGATACAGTTGTTCACGTGTTTCACAGGTTATGTGACCTGTGTGGTGTGTATGGTGAAGGGGAGTTTGAAGGAGACAAGGCGTTCCCATACATCATTGCAGTTAACAACTGCTCACAGTTCATTGCTATGTACTGTCTGGTCCTGTTCTACAAAGCAAATCGTGACCAGCTTCGTCCAATGAAACCCATCGGAAAATTTCTGTGCATCAAGGCTGTGGTTTTCTTTTCATTTTTGTAAGTACTAGCCTACGTGCTAAGCTTAAAAAACAAGCTTAGAATGTACAGTTAAACGTGCAAAACAGTGGTTTAGTTGTTGTTGTGAGTGTAAATATAAATATGCCTTCAGTGGACAGATTATCTTTAAATCGTGTATACAACATTTGTGGACATCAGATATCTTTAGAAAGAGTGACATGTTTTCTTTTATCTACAATAGACTTTCCAGAACATAAAAAGATGGAAATATGAGAATGTAAAGAGATACAAAAAAGGGCTTTCAATGTTTAGACCACAAACTAACCTCACCACCTTCTTTTGTGAAGTAAAGAGTCTCTTGTTTGTACAAGAACTGTTTGAATGTTTGACAACTTTATTTACTGCCTCACTATTTGATTTTGTCTACAGTATTTTTCTTTCCAGGACTTTAAAAGTTTGACACAGTAGTTTTTTTTAGTTGTTTTCTTATGACAATGAGGTTAATAACATTTACATAGTTATTTTGACTTGAAAATGTGTGATGTTTATGGTGAAGGGGAGTTTAGAGGAGTCAAGACGTTCCCATACATCATTGCAGTCAACAACTGCTTACAGTTCATAGCTATGTATCGTCTGATACAGTTTTCAACTGTCAGTATTTTGACTTGAAAATATTGCATCAATAATTTAGCACTACACGTATATTTAACCAGTTTGCCTGTGTTCCCTATTGATCTTTTTTATTTGTTTCAGTCAAGGAGTTGTTATTGCTGTGTTGGTGTATATGAATGTGATTTCCTCAGTCTTTGAAACGGACAGTGATGATGATGTCAGAGATATATCGTCTAAGATTCAGGTATGAATCATTTGCCTTACTTATTCTCATAGACATTTTTTTTTTATTCTCAAGAAGGTATTTGGCCTCCTCAACTAACTGCCACTACTTCCTCCGATCCTGTACATCCTCTCCTCTTAATTGAAATGTAACATTTTCCTGTCTACATCATCGTTTTCTCCTCATCTTTAGGAATCCAGTGAGTTTTTTTCCCATTTGTTTAATATTTAAGACTTTCAAGATATGTTTTTACCATAGGCTAGTTTAATTTCCTTCCCATATTAGATGTCTATATCTTACATGTCTGACCTTTGCAACAAAAACCGCAATTGGTCTTTAAAACAGTCCCTTAGTTATTTATCTTAGCTTTTTGCTTTGTTCTCCACTTGCATTTGTTGGTCCAAAGATTTTCCTGAGTACTTTATCAAAAATTTATTGATTTTTGATACTGATACCTGAAAAATGGATTCTCAATTCCAATACCATTTATTTTTATTTTTCAAAATTGTTTATATAGATTGGTCATAGTACACCATCCCCTATTTCATTTACTAACTATAGAATGATAGAATATGTTATAAAGTGAAGAAGTTAAATTATGTTTAAGTTTAGGTTCAGGATTAATTGACTTATTTAATTGAAGAACTTAAAAATTTAATTGATTGAGTAAGGAGATACTAATGTACCACATTATGTATTTTACTATCAATAAAGTTCTTGTATCTTGTATCCCTGCCTTTATGTCCTTAAGTAAGAGGTGGGACAGGGGCTGGAAAAGTGGGAATGGGGTGTACTTATGTCTTCCCATTTGAGTGCATCCAACTGTGTTCCAGGCTAAGATAACTGCGGTCGTGTAGTGTGCTAGAGAGAACCTGAGGCAGAGCATGAACATTTCCATTTTAACAGAAAGCCATACTGTGCTTAAGGCATTTGACTCCTGTCCAAGTTGATCTGAGACTGCCCGATAACCTCTGCCTTGGGTAGGTGCAACCCCTGGGGTAGGACCCCTGGACACTCAGGGATAGAAGGGAACGAGGTGGTTGACAAGTAGGAAAATGTGGCGTCAGTGAGGAAAACTATGGTGAATTCCTCTGAATATAGCCTAATTGGTCAAGGAAGTATCATCATCTTCTGTGATTGTAGCAAAACTCTGAATATCACCCATGGTCATAGGGTCATCAATGGTAACTGGGGCTTTAAAATGCAAAATATGGCATTTAAATTCAAAACATCACGCTTTGTTGTAGTACACTGCACCCTACATCCGCTACTACTTAACCAATCGAAACGTCAGTGACCATTGACTGGTCACCTTCCTAACACTCTGTTTTCCAATCCTTATTTGGCACAGAATATTCCATTAGTTGATTGTTGTATTTTGTTTAAGAAATTCTTGATTTATAATATTAATTTATTGTGTTCTAATCTGTAAGGATATGTTTTGTTTCAGAACTTTTTGATCTGTATAGAAATGTTTTTTGCTGCCATCGCTCACCGCTACAGTTTCTCCCATAAGCCGTACGAGGACGGGATGCTGCAACATCAGACTCTGTGCGAGACACTCATGGCTATGTGGGACCTGAGAGATGTACATGACAACATCAAGGAGCACTTCACAGTTGTAGGTCTGTATCGTCTACTTGTTTTTTACTTTCTCCACCTATTAGTGGAGAAAGTATTGTTTTTGTCAAAATTTTTGAGTTTCAGTTTTGAGTGGATACATCCCCCTGAACCCAAAAAAAGTTTGTCAAAGCTTGCAATGTGACAAAGTTTCAAATTAAATAATTAGGCCTACATACATTACGACACAAATAATACAAACAAACTAGGTGTCTACTGCTAATTCTGAGAACGTTTGGTTTGATATCGCTATGTTTTTTCACTTCATGTTTAGTTTACGCATTGTTTTGTGTTATGTGTAAAGATTTTATTTTGAGGTTTTGACATGTTGCAAGCTTTGACAATGTTGCACATGCCACTAACCTAGGCCGCAGCATTTTATTGATGGATATTTGGAGTACAGACAAGGAAGCCAATAATGTTTGTTTTAGTGTAAACTTGTTAAAGCAACAGCTAAATAAACATCGGGTATATAAAGCTCCTGTATCGTTAGTGTGTGCTGGAGATTATGAAATAATTCTTCTTATCTGTAGGCAGTGGACTGGAGAGTGGTCTAAACACACTGAAGAGAGCGAGGTCTGAGACGAGTCCGCTGTTGGCCGATGTGTCTCGCAGCATGGAGTCTGGCTACCAGAGCTTTACTGACATCCTCAACACAGCGGTACGCAACACGCTTTGTCATACATCCTTGGAAATTAAATTGTTACCATGAAATTTACTTAACTATGTTTCAATTAGTGCTGTATTAATTATGTAATGTGTGGTGGGGGGGGGGGGGAAGGGGCACAAAAATCTAGCTTATTGATTGTCTTTGGGATATCAAGTTTATCTGGATGGATAAGGGTATCATCCTGAGATAAGAAACAAAATAAATCGCTCTAAAGGTAATAATCAAAATATATTACTGTCATTCACAGTGTTTTCAATCAAGGGAGGTTTGAGTTTGGAAGAAAGATGTCTTAATTAAGATGCAATGGTAAATTCAAACAAGCCTTGCTATTCCTACAATCCTTGATTAATATGAATTTGATTATTCTGATTGAAATCCACACAAGCAGCCCTAATCAAAGTTAACCAATACAATATTAAATACCCCTGGCGCAACAAACCTGCTGACTTAGTGAATTTCCATTTGTCTGAATTGATTTTCAATCAAATCTATTTAAATAACATTATGTTTAACCTAGGTTTGTTGCTACAAGGAAAGTAATAAAGTGTGTTTTTTAAGTAAAATATTAATAGCTTAGTATGAAATAAATAAATTTGCTAAGTATGAACCAAATATATCAATAAATAAGCAAACTAACACATTTTACAATATTCTCCATAAGAATAACATGGGAATCTTAAATTTTTTTTTTTTTTATTGTCTCTGTTACCAATAACAGTACAAAACACTTTGATATACTATTTTTTTTTCTAAGCTCTTTAAAAAGGTCTAGAAAGAAATTGGAAAATTTTGTGTTTTGAGGTAAAAAAATGAGAAAACAATTTTTTACCCTATAAAAGCCCCCGTAAAACCCTGTTCCCATGGTCTGATCATGCTAGTTCACAAACTCAATCCAGTTTATCCTGCCTTACACCTTCAAACCAAATTTCATAAAAATTGGACAAAAATTACTCAAGTTATCGGATGTATATATAAATCTATTATACATATATAAAAATTTGAACGAATGGTGTTTTTGGCCTCTGAGGACATCAAAATGAAAAAGTAAATCGGTCCCGGTCCTAGGTCTCACCGTGCCACCTACGGTAATAGCTACTTTCCCTATAGGGAAATTCTCTAAAACTAAAAAAAGTACTTTATGTCTACATCCAAAAAGTACAAATATACTGTAGCAATATTACAACATAGTTGTATGGTGAGCAATGCAATTCAAAATGTATAGTTATTTTATCTCGCCACACAACCAGGCATTTATTTATTCATCTAGATACAGCAGTCATCAATTTTTTTATAGACTACAACAATGATGCAATAATGAAGTGAAAATATAATATTTACACACATTAATTTTCGGCATTGCTGAGGTTACCAGTGGTATTATTCTCATCTTTTTATTAAAGAACTCCCATCCCCCATAGATTTAGTTGTCTGTGTGTTGTCCTAAAGACAGTGAAGTGAAGTACCTTTGCAATACTCAGGCCACATAGGCAAACATCTGGTGTCTGAAGTGATGGGGGTCTCGACTAGCAATGTCTGGCGTTTGTAAATGTTAGCACTTTGACTAAGGGTGTCTTAATTATACCATAATCAGAGCTACAATCTGCACTCAGAGCTATTGAGGGTTCAAGAGGAAGTTAGTGGGATATGATGAACTTCACCTTTTTTACTATTTGTTATTGCAAGTGACAAAAAAATCTCACTTGATCAAGTGTCCAAATGTATGTCTCAATGCTCTCTAAATTTTACCATTTTGAATGATGGACACAATGATTTTTTTTTTTAATTTGAATTATTGTGTATTCTAGTGCAGAGTTGTTGTGTTTCTTGTACCAATGTAGGCCCGAGGTAGTAGTTTGTTGTAACTGTGATCCTACACAGGAAGGAGCTGTGGTGGAAGGGGCAGCTCACAAAGACGAGGATGATGATCCCGAGGCGGAACTACATCCAACACCTTACCAGGAGATAGACTCTGATACTGCCATTGCCTAGATACAGCAGTTGAACTTCTTCCAAACATTCCAGGTATGCCTCAAACCTGTTCCTAGTAAATACTCTTCGTATCATTTCAGGCAAATGTTTTTCACCAGTTGGCTTGTGTTTTGCAAGTGTGATGAGCTAGAAAACCCATTTTAAATTTCTCGCACTTGATAGAATTGGGACCTAAGGGTGACTGATCTGTGCTGTCTACTCCACTGTGCTCTTGAAAAGTATGTCCCCAAGCACTGCTAAGTAAGTACAGGATGTTTTTAAAAGAATGCCGGGATTTAAAATGGTATTTGCTTGGATACTATTCAAGGTAACTAAACGTTTTATACGTCAAATTGAAGCTAAAATTATTTAGTTTTGTTTCCCGTGTAGCAAGGGAGGAAACTTTGACCTTGGCACGCTTAAAACAGGTGCGGGATGATAGGCCGCTATTGTGACTCATACGCCTGACGTCAGTCACCAGTACGACTTTTACGGCGCAACAGAAGGCACAGATTGTAATCTGTAGTTCGCCGAGTTTATATCAATTGCTAAATTAAACTAAATTTAAATCTACTTAATGTTATAGAAACTTGAAGCTGGTTAAATGAGTTTCGTGGCACCGAAGTATTTTGAAAAGACATTCACTTGGCCGGCTAAAAACAAGCGATGACATAGTTGAAGAAATCCGACAATTCTGCACCAGAAACCTGAATAAATCGATTGCCTCTACGAATTCTTGGTCACTTTATGATGTTATCTATAAAATATAGAGTGCCGAAAAAGATTCAGTTAAGACATCAGATAAACCCGCTGATTGCCCTAAGCGTACATACTTTGTTAGTTTTACGCTCATCTAAGATTGATCATAAATCATTCCAAATTGTATGAAAGAATGAGAAAAAAACTTTATTCTTTACCCTTCAATTTGACGTTTAAATCGTTTAATTACCTTGAATAGTCCCCGAGCAACGACCGTTTGAAATCCCGGCATTCTTTTAAAAACACCCTGTATTATGATGCTGAGTATCTGCTGGTAACTAACATAGGATTTAAATCATTTATGCACACGTAAAGTATGATCAGTAGTGATGTGTCAAAACTGAATCTCAGATCTCCACAAAAACTCTGGAAACGTTTTGGCTTTAAAATTTGATTGGCAAGTTTTGAGATTCAAAACTCTAAACCGAAACTGCCAACATTTTTATTCACAAATATTGACAAAAAATAAATGTTTGAATGGATCTCATACACATTTTATTATGTTAGTGTCAAGAGTTAAGTTTATGTTTTTTATGTGTTAAGTTATGAGTAGTTGTTTGTAAAAAAACATATGATTTTGAGGTTTTAAATTATGTTAGTAAAATACCTATGTATGTAACTTTGCCAGGGTCATGAGCCCACTTCTGTTCAATTTGGATTGTATGATAACATTTTATTACTATCTGAATTTTTTACCTTGTTCTGCAGGTTTTCTGTGGCTGGGCTTTTATATTTTTAAATGATCTACAGCTGTGATAAATATATATAATGCCTGAATTTGATAAAATGTAATTCAAAGTGTTAATAGATATTTTTGTCTTTCAGAAATGACTGCTAGCCTGTATATATTTGTCCGCTGTTATACAGTCTCGTCATGTACTTTTGACACATTCAGCTCTCTTCTTATTATAATTTTTTCAAGAAGAGAAATATTATAGATAAGTATTATTTGTTAAAGCTTTAAATTTTTTATTTGTACAATTAGTATTTTATGTTACTATTTGTATGATTTCTAGTTACTATCTAATAGTACCAATACACTTTCCTAATAGGCCTGAACAGTATACCTTACTCCATAAAATATTAATGAGTACAATTTAGTTAATGAGTACAAAAGCAGTTAAGAATAGTTGAGAGTATTTTGAAAATGTTTGCTCTTATTTTCTAACTGAAAACAAAAATTGAAGTTATTGCAATATTTCCCCTTACTCTAATTAAAGGATTTTAGTTAATCTAAATTTCTATTTTCAAACCTTTATCCTAATTTAATTTTGCTTACATTTTACACATTAGCAAATTATGTATTTCCTCCTAAGTAAAAACTTAACATATATTTGTACAATCTTAGTTAATTAATTGTTTGAAATTAAAACAGAAAACTTCTTTAACAATTAATATTAAATCAAAAGAAGCAAATAAGGCAGCGCTTGTCAAGAGATTCCATCATAAAAACTCTAGAACAAAAAAAGTTTACAGGATTCCTTCTCGTAGAAGACACTTAGAATTGAATTATAAAATGTGTGTGTTAAAATAAAATACACTGATTACAGTATATTTACAAACAATAAAAATATGTATTAAATTCAAATTCAGCCTACTTTTAAACATGTACAATCAAGTATACACGAATGGTGCACAGAAAGCCATTATTACATTCTTGACACAGTAAAAAAAATAATTTAATACACCTTTGTGCTGTAGTTTTTCTAAATAAATAATTGAATAGAAATAACACTCTTCACAAGAAGAATTTGTTAAACTGCATAGCTCTTTATTAACAAGAAATATGTTTAGCTTTATTTCAAAACCTTTACTTGCTCTCATCAGCTTTTATTCTGTCTCAGAAATGGTATAATACTTAAACCAGAAAACAGTTGAATTTTTGTTTGATACTGCTTTTATAGTATTATTGATTTGGAAATGTTCTCCATTTCTAGTATTATATGTATGTTAAGTAATATTAAAACAGATCATACTTAGGACGGAAATTTTACTGGCACTTGCAGAATGCAGAGTGCCATGTAAATAAACATTTGTATCAATGATGCCAACTATAACATAACATAAGATATTGTTTATGGATTGTTTTAGTTGTAATAGCCTAATATGAATCTGAGACCAAACTTCTGAAAAATTAGTAAAACAAAATCAAATCTTGAAATGATTTTTATCTCAATGAAATAATATTAGGTAATACTACATGCATACACCACTATTTTTCTTAAAACTTAATATTTTTAGTTTGTAAAAAGTGTAGCCATATATGTAATATTTATAAGTCTGCTGAACAATTAAGTTAAGTTTTAAATTGTGACTTAATTTATTCAACTGATAAACTACAATTTACCATTGATCAAGTGTTCTTCCTCTTATGGCAAAGTGTTTGTTTAAACATAATTTATTTGGCTTTATTTGTTTAATAATTCGTTTACATTCCTTTATTTAGAGGTTATATTTATATTAGGCTACTATTATATTATTTATTAGTGTTGTAGAGCTTTATTTTAAAAACATTCTATTAACTTGTTTTGTTACTATGAGAGAATAACATTGTTGTTTACAATTTTGTTAATAGTTTTGATGATCAGAAGTACTAGTCTGTTATGTGTATCTATATTACTTTTTGTATGAAAAGTTTCTATAAGAAGATTTTAACTATAAAATGTGTGAATTTTTAAATTATTATTAATCAATATATTATACAAATTTTACTTTTTTGCCAAAACATACAAGTAATATTATGATAAACAATACCTTATTTTTAAGTATCAATAAAGTACCTATTCTAATATACGTTTAGTGCCATTGTCATCACATTGAATGTTTTAGCCACACAAGATTAGTTTATTTTAGAAATGTATAGTTTCATATTTTTATAGACAGTAGTGTTTTTAAAATACAGTATTTATGAACAAAACTTGTGAGCATTTTTTCAATCCGAAAAATAAGTAAAACCACCAACCCTAGGTAGCTGACATTTCACAGAGACTGCCTTGACTCTACATCCCCATTGTTGTTACTGTCTTTTAATTGTTTCAATGTCCAAGCTTGTAATATTGGTGTTCACATGTGTTCGTCAATAAACTGTATGTGAATCGACAACCTTATGATGAAGTCTATAACGCTCCTGTAAACGATAAGTATGATGTGTTCATCAATGTTTTCATGTATTATTTTAACTTGTGTTTTCCTATGGTAAAATGCAGACAGACTTCCAAAAAAACAGGCTGGATGAACCAACACATTGTTCAGAGTAAACAGGAAATCGACAGACTAAGTAATTTAAATCGGCTTACCAGGGACAAAAATGTTAAATTGGCCTTGAAAAACAAAAAAAAACTGAATTAAAATCCCAAATTCTTGGAGCTAAAACTAACTTTTTCAGTGATAAGATACACAATGCAGACATGTTTGCAAGACAACATGGAATATTATAAATAAAGAGGTAGGCAGCAGTTCAATCCGCCAACAAAACATTACTTTAAAGCATAGAAACAGAGACGTCAGTGATCCCAGGTTGGTAAGTGCACTCCTAAACCAGTACTATGCCAACATGGTTGAAACAGAAATCATCCCAAACATACCCAACAAAGCTACAAGTATCCAAACACCCCTTTTGAGCCACTCAAATAAAAGTTTTCTTCTTCAACCACTATCATTAGAAGAAATCAAATCAATAGTTTTGTCTTTTAAAAATAAATTTTCTTGTGGTTTTGATGAGATCCCCATGCCTATTATTAAAACAGCAATTGACTATCTAAAATATCCGTTATGTCATCTTGTAAACTCTTCTTTTATTACAGGCATTTTTCCTGACAAATTAAAGATTTCTAAGATTAAACCAGTCTTTAAAAAGGGAGACCCCGCTATACCTTCAAACTATAGACCTATATCTTTACTACCATCCTTTTCTAAGATCTATGAAAAAGCTATGTGTATAAAACTAACAGAATTTCTGGAAACGAACATCTTGATAGATAAAGAACAACATGGATTTCAATCCGGCAAGTCTGTGATTAGTGCTAGTGTTCAGTTCATTGAATCAGTAATAGATTGGGTGGATAAGAGAAATAATGTTACTGGGGTCTTCATGGACCTCAGCAAGGCTTTTGGTAGTGTGTCACACTCCAAGCTGGTAAATATCCTGTTTTGTTTGGGTGAACCAAGGAAGAGCTTTAGATTGGTTTAAATCATATTTAAATAACAGACAACAATATGTAGAAATAACTAATGTCACAAACAACAATAAGGTAAATTTTACTTCATCATTGGAAATTTTAAAATATGGAGTGCCACAAGGATCAATCCTGGGACCTCTGTTGTTCATATGTTATACAAAGGGTTTACCAGATGTATTAGATGATGCAAAAGTCTGTTTATATGCTGATGACATTAGCTTACTTGTATCTGGTAATACCTATCAAAAAGTAGAGTCAATAGCAAATAACCAATTTCCACACGTAAATACTTTCTTAAACAATTTAAACCTTTTAGTTAATATAAATAAGACAAAGTGCATATCTTTCTCAACATATCAAAGTAAACCAGCTCAACACAGAATTTTGATGGAAGGAAAATGTTTAGAAGAACTGCAACATTTTAAATTCCTAGGACTTGAACTTGACAAAAATTTGAATTGGAACCTTCATATTGAACATCTTGGCCGTAAAATTTCATCAGGGATTTTTGCTCTGAGAAAAATGTCTAAATTAGGTCCTTTGGAAACATTAAAAATAATTTACTTTGCTTTTATTCACTCCCACGTCTCCTTTGGCATAATTTTATATGGTGCAACCTCTCATGAAAATTTGGAACAAATATTATTATTTCAAAAAGAAGCACTTCGTATCATGTTAAACATTCAAGATTGGAGAACCTCAGTTAAAGAACAATTTTCAAAACTTGGTATTCTTACTGTTTTTGCCCAATATATCTTTGATTTGATCTTGTTTGTAAAGAATAATTTACCAAAATTTGAGACCTTGGGTTCATGCCACAGCTATGGGACAAGGCACAGACACAAAATCAGTTTTTCAAATCACAACTTAAAATTCTTTGAAAATAAACCTTCATATGCTGGGATTAAATTTTATAACCTTCTACCAGATAATATTTTACAAATAACAGACAAAAATAAATTTAAAAAACAGCTAAAAACTTTTATGTTATCCAAGCCCATTTATTCCTTAGATGAATTTTTTGGTTGAATGTGTTGTAAATTATAAGCTTTTGTATTTTTGTTTAGCCTTTTTATATAAGTTAGGGTTAGTTCTAACAATATAATTTAATTGTATAACGCCATTCTGGTGCAACATGTTGTACTCCTGAATAAAGATTATATGACTATGACTATGACTATGAAGTGATTATAACATCCTTCAGTGCCTGATGATAACTCAGGGCCGAGTTAAGGGTCAGTGGAGCCCTGGGCAAACTCAAAATCAGCGCCCCCCCCTTTTTTCCTAGTGCAGGCGGGCAGTAGTAGTACGGCACCCGCCAGGCGCCCCTCAACCACTGGTGCCCCTGGGCATATGCCCAGTCTGCCCGTTATTAAAACCGGCCTGTGATAACTTAATGACAATTCTAAACTACCTGTGGCACCAGCAACATTTTGGTTATAAAGAACAGTTTTTTAAACCAGTTAAAACGCAAACTTTTACTAGGAACTATTTTGTGTGAAAATTAAAAGTTATTTTAGGATTCTCTTACCATGTAAATCTACCTTAGGGACAAAAATATTCCTGCATCATATCAGAACAACCACAAATCAGATCAGGACGTAAAATACAATACAGAACTATTAACTCCAAAACGTTTGTATAAAATAACCAATGATAAATAACGTTCAATGGGTTCTGGGAAAGTCCCATCAGATTAGAAATTCAAATAAAAAATTATTCTAGATATACAGTAGTTCATAGAAAAGTCAATAAACATTTGAGTGTAGTTTAGTTTGAAATCAATTTTTATTGGGAATACCGATATTGTTTATATGATGGATAATGCACAATATCTATAGGTCATGTAAGCTATCAGTGTAAGTTGTGACACCCATATTGCTTTCGCTTCACAGATCACAACTTATTACTGGACTCAGTGCTTCTCTGCATCTCACGGGTAAGCAATGTAGTTGTAAAGTTCCAATAGACTATGATCCCACTTGAGTGACTTAATGGAACATTAAAATGATTAACTTAGTATCTATTTATTTCATTAATTAATTTTGAAAGTGATTTGGAAGAGTAGATTTTTAAATAACAAATGGATTTACAACTGTTCCTGCTTTTATTCTATTCCGCCCTAAAGGTTTGAGTGAATGGGTCATGTTCATAAACAACTAGCAAGCGAGTATGAATAATTAACTATGAAATACAACCAATTTATCTGAGAATACTTATTTAAGAGTTTTATTAGACAAGCAATAGTGTGTACCATATATAATCAGTTGATTTGAAGTTTGTTGTGCTAACCGCCCTTTTATTCCAATTCCTACACGTCAAGAGAGGTTATAGTTGTTAATGTAAAAATCTGATGATGTTTTAGAATTTTACAAAATGAATGAATAATATCCAATACTGTATGAAAATTTACAAGGTTTTTAGTTAAATTTCTTACTCCAATCACTTGCAGTATATCAATTGTCTGTTTTGATGTTTGGAAAAAATCTTGAGGACGTTTCTGTTTTGTTTAGGTGGACTGATTAGTCAATATCACAAACCAAGATGGTGTATAGCCCCCCATACATTATGCGAGTTGGTCGCTTGTCGATGGGCGATTTGATGCTGGCGACCATATTGCCTAGATATCGTCCAATGTATGGGGGTGTTTGGATCGGATTGTCAGCGATTTTGACATTGCCACGCGACTTCCTGATTGATAGTTTTTCCCTGGCAATCCACCAGATCGCCGTCGATTTGGAGGTTTTGTTCACACCTTCACAACTGCATCACAAGTTTCTGAGATTATTTTTCCTAAACTCTGTAGAGGAATTGCAGTAGAAAACTTCATTTCTTCAAAACTCCTGCCTGTAGCTAGAAAACGTGATGTAGCTACAATGCGTTCTTATTTCGCTGATTGACTGCATTAGGCAAGTGACTCCCTTCTTGATGAAAGGCTATACTAAACATATGTTATATGTTATAGGAGGTGACGTAAATTATCTTCAGGAATTCTAAGGTAGTTTTTTTAATCGTCTGGATTACTTAATGTTCTTAAAAGGAATATGTCACTTAACTTGGTGCCTTTTCTTAAACCCCTTTTTGCGCCAAATCCTTTTTTGTCTCTTTCTTCTTTTCATTTTCACAACACTGAACTAATAATATTACAGCAGCAGCTACCGCTACAAGTTCCATTCTCAAACTGATCAGCCAAATCTTTAAAATGCCACATGATATGACTTGACTAAAAAATGCTGCTTGGGTAATAAATATGTTTTGACTGGCGATATGATTTCCGACAATCTAATCACCCACCGACAAGTGAACAAATCGCCTAATGTATGGGGGCTTAACTAATGAAAGATTTAAGTTACCTGTTTTGCTGTCAAAACAATATATTGAATCTATCTATAAAATAGACTACAGCTAATATTAATAATTAATTAGCTATAATTAATTTGTTGTTGTAAACAGAGCACATCGTCAGTGTTGAATGCCTAGCTTTTAATGGTATCTAATACTTGTCCCATTGCTATGTACCTCCAGCTCATTGACATCCCTAACAGTTATTATTATGGTGATATCGTCTGCATAACCAACTAGGAATCCCATTGTGGGCGATGTTCCAGGGATCCTAATAGATCCAAGAATAGAGCCCTAAGCAGCACCCCCTCTCTCTGCAGAGGTCCATCTAGCATGTTAAAAATCAACTTTAGATCTTATAGGTAGCTCTGTTATTCTGCAGCCTCCTTAGCCATGTACAAGGGGATTGCAAAATCCGTCTTCAATGCACCCAGCATGTCAGCATAGCGGTTGTGGGATCTTCTTGGCCCTTGGCAATCACACAATGCAATACAAGCATTCTAACCAATAATGACTGTACATAATTATTCTGTATTATTCTTGTTTTGCTATCTCCAAACCGCTTATCTAGGTATTGTGTTACAGTCATGTTCTGGTGGTGGACTCTCCTGTTGATGACTCTACTGGGACTATCAGTAGGGACAGACATTTGTCCATCTGTCTGTGTGTGCTCCAAGATGGAGAACACTCGAGACAGAGTGAAGGTGAACTGTCAAAGTAAATCCCTCACTTCACTACCAACCAACCTCAGCAAACAAACAGAACTGCTGAATCTCAACGGAAACAAACTGACAGCTCTTCCAGCAGAGTCGTTTAGTGATCTAACCGAGTTGAAAAACTTGCGTTTGCGTTTCAATGACATCGCCACTGTGCATAAGGATGCTTTTAAAACACTCAAACACTTGAGAGTGTTGATGTTGGATTACAACCAGATACCTTCTCTTCATTCGGACACATTCAAGTTTAACGAAGCGTTAGAAATAATATCATTAAGTAACAACCCATTGGTGAAACTCGAAGACGGTCTTTTCTCAAATAAACCCGAACTTGCAAGTGTAGAGGTCGAAAACTGTGGACTAACTTATATTGGAACTAAAACATTTGACAATGTTCCCAATCTCTACTACTTGTATTTAAATGGAAACAAACTAGTCAATGTTGATTTTTCGACACTCATGCCTCTACGTAGCTTACGGATGATTCTGGACAGGAACCCTTGGAAGTGTGACTGTAAGCTGAGATCTCTACGAGACTGGATGTTTAAGGAGGTCCACGCTTCTGGTATAGAGTGGTACAAAGAGCATTCACCTTCATGTGCTGAGCCTGCAAAGCTAGCAAACAAGACTTGGCTGGATATCAAATCTGAGGAATTTGTGTGTTGAACTGGACTAAAATAATTGTCATGTGACAATTGTATATAAACTATGACAGTTATGTTTCCTAGAATAAGGGTTTTTTTTCTTAACCAAGTAATTCACAAGTTCAACTTGTTAGACTTTTAAGGTATACCATAAATTTAACTTTAGGTCTTGGGAAAAAAATAATGGGCAAAAATATGAGCAAACACATCCTGATACAAAAATAAGTAATTTTTATTTCATACATTTAGCATAAGCACACAAACTGTATAAATATACACAATATCACACAACAATAAAGAGTTACGTAATTAACAATTTGAAATCAGTCATTAAAAGGTAAAGGAATGTGATTTTAAAAGTAAAACAAAGTCCAGTAGACTCCCTCTAACATAGAACTTCCAGTTCAGACTTTGGATATTATTGAGGTGTTTCTTAATTATTTAGATTGGTACTGAGGTGTTATAATGTTGCACACATATTTTGTGGTTTTGGACTCCAAAAGAAAAAAAAAAGATGGAGTAGCTAAAGACATGAGGCCGAGGCCAATGAAGAAGACACACAGGATTGGAAAAAGTGGAGGCAGATAGTTATTGAGGCCAGAAACCTTCTTCTTGGGGTTTAAAAACAGCAAAGACGTAAAATCCATTACTTTATTTTTCATTCCTTCGTTTCAAATTTTTTTTTACTTCTGAGGGTCCACACATTTTATTATTATTGTTTTGACAAGGGTTTGCCCTGAGGTGTAAAAAAGATAGGGGGTCCACGATAAATACTGCACAGTAAAAACCATAAAATATTACTGTATAATGTTTGAAATCAATATCACAGTGAGAATATAAACTACAAGATTCTAAATCACAGCTATTTTAAAAGGCAGAATGAGAACAAATAATAGTCCACTAAGCTATCTAATGTACAGTATAAAATAGGCAATCAAGAACATTTTCTGAAGTTAAAAGCTCAAACTTAGAATACTCTTAAACAATTCCGCCGCTTTAGCCGCTTTCACTGGCTTTAGCTATATTTGACATACATGGAGTAAGGGAATAAAATATATAATTGACAGAACTTTGTAATGACTCATTTAAATGGAATTTCTTTTAAATAAAAGTTAAAACTATGCTGAATCACAGGAGTTCTTCCTTCTTTGTACCATCTTACCTGTAATAAGTTACAGTTATAATGAAAATGTTGGTAAGTATAAGTAAACTCATGAGTATAAGTTTACTTGTGATATTGCATATTATTATAGACTAACCAATACTAAGGAAGTATGTTTTATCTATGATATTATCTATTGTAAAAATCCTCATTCTTAAGTAAAATCTGAACCTTGTTTTGTAGTATGGTAATGATTTTTCTAAATACCAAATGATTATGTATTATTTTAGTTATTGAAAACCTTACATATTTCGTAAACGTAAATAAAGGTAACAAAATATATAATAAGAAAAATAAAATCACATAAAAATGTCAATACTAAAAAGCTGATAATATTTTAATGGTAGTGAGTGCTTTTTATATTGTTAGGTAAGTTTGGTGTAGTATGACAAAAGATATCATGTCTCTTTTCCAAAATTTACTTTACTGTAATACTCGTATGGTTAACATCAAAGAATGATTTGATTTGATCTATATTCTATTTCCCGGACTAGTAATGTATACTCTAGTCTATTACATCAAGGTAGAATCTCAATTATCCAATTAAAACCGGCCATTCTAAGAGGAGAGGTTGTTACACGGAAAATAATATGATTGGTGGTAAATAACACAAGTGACAGTACTAGGTGTGTTGCGAAATGCAAAGAGTAAATTATCCAATTTATGCTGTAAATTAATGGTCTCAGAAACATTAGCCATAACCTGTCTTTAAAAGGTGTTTCTTGACTTCTTGCACAAATCTTTCTGCAGCCCCATTCGAGGCAGGATGGTACGGGGGTGACAGAGTAAACTTAATACCGTTGTTGCTCAGAAACTCTCTTAATTTACCACTGACAAAATTGGGACCGTTATCACTAACCAACTCCTCGTACACAGCTTTTCAATGGTCTTAATGCAATTGACAGATAACCACCAAGCGCAAGAGTTTTAATCCCACCTGTATTTGTTGAGTGTTATTATTTTAACAAGTCACTTATTTTTTACCATTTTATCTTCTTTACCATCAAAATAATCTCGTTCTCATTCTAATGTTTTGTTGAATAAAACATACTCAGTGGAAACATAGTGGTACAGGTAACACAGGTTGGGAAACACTGCTATAGGACAAATATATTACAACTAACTTACTATTTTGAATGTAAAAATGGGGATGAATGATGGGAATTGTCTGGAATAATGTTTTAGACCAAATAACATAAACTCACCATCACCAAAAATGAAATTCAAACAAAGAAGGAGTGGCAGTTAAAGAAAAATAAAACTAGACGCTTACCTTTAATGAGATATTGTAAAAGGCAATCTTCTTCGTCCCATATCTTGTGCTCCAAGTTCAAGGAAAAGCTGATAGAGACATAACAGTCAGCTTAAATAAGCACAATTAAAAAAATAAAAATTATATCATCACATAATTAATTCAGCAAAACAAAATAAATACCCATGCTAAAATCATTAAAACAGACAGAAAGAAGGATTTAAATACTCTTATAAGTTTCATAGTGAACTAAACAAATAGAAGACACCACAAGGCCAGGAAGTAGGTGAGCACTTATGAGCGGATAGTTCCGCAGATTTCATGCCAGTACCGTAAACACCTTCCCTTATGAGTGGTGTACTACACTCTTAGCCGCACTACCAGCAACATATATACAGGGTTAGTAAAGCACAACCCATACCTAAAATTTGAACACTACAGTATTTAACACAACTTTTGAACATAATTTTCACCTTTTTTAAAGCAAAGGTAACGTTTTTGAGCCTTTCCAATATATTTATTGTGTAATAGCAATGTGAATGTCCAAAGATGTATAGGTAAAATTTATGGTATGGCTTCATTTAGGTTTAGAGGCTAGGTACAGAAGAAACTCATTCATAGTTATGTCTTTCTGAAAGAATGTGGTAACTTTACTGCTAGGGGTCTCATTCCTGGGGCTTTAATACAATCCTGGGAATTCTGGAGTTTCCAAGCCGAACCCGGGATTGTATTATTTTAACTTTTAAGCTATTTTAAATGAGCAGTGCTCTAATGTTTAAAACTGGCCTTTCAAATGTTAAACTGTGCAATTGTGTCGTATTTCTAAGTGAAACTAGGTGTACAATGCAGCAGGCCCGTTTTTGACCCTGTTAGCGCCCTAGGCACAACTAGTAGTAGCGCCCCTTTGCAATATATATATAAGGGTGTCCACCGACCGGGATATCCGGGAATCATGCGGGAATTTTATGAACCGCGGGAATTATGTGTGAATTTTGTATTTCTACCTGGAGTTTTCAAATTACCGTGATCGTGCATGACAACAGTTTCTGTGACCGCGGGAGACGATAATATGTCTACACTCGGCCGCGAAATATTCAGAATATTGCCACGATCACGGAAGACGATGATAATGTCCACACGACCGCGCGAAACATCAAGAATTGTACCGCGATCACGGAAGACGATGATGATCTCCACACAACTGCGGAACATGATTAACATTTTGCTGCAATCGCGGGAGACCATTACCATGTATACACGACCGCGGGAGATGGTTACGATGTCTACAGGACCGCGGGAGATACAATAATGATTTACACGGCCGCGAGGGACGATCGGAATTATGTCACGATCGCGCGAAAGAGTGATAATGTCCACATGACCGCGGGAAAAAATCTGAATTTTGCCTCATTCACGGAAGACGACGATCTCCATATGTCCACAGGGGATGATTACAATTTTTCCACAATTGCAGGAGACGATTACGATGTCTACAGGACCGCCGGGAATACAATAATGATTTCTACACGGCCGCAAGGGATGATCAGAATATTGCCGCGATCACGGAAGACGATGATAATGGCCAAACGATCGTGGGAAAAGTTCAGTACTTTACCTAATTTGCGGAAGAGGATGATGATCTCCACAAGACCGAGGGAGATGATTACCATTTTGTCACGACCGCGGGGGATGATATAATGATATCTTCACGGCCGCGAGGGGTGGTCAGAATTTGACCGCGATCGCGCAAGACGAAGATAATGTCTTACGACCGCGGGAAAAGATCAGAATTTTGCCTCATTTGCGGTAGACGATGATAATCTCCTCACGACCGCGGGATATGCTCATATATTGCTTCGATCATGGAAGACGATAATTATGTCTAAACGACCTGACCGCTGAAAATAGTAAGAATCTCGCCGCAAACGCGGGAGACGATTACGATGTCTACACGGCCGCGAGGGATTATCAGAAGTTTACCGCAATCGCATGCAAACAACCACCAATTTTATTTATTTTCCAAATTTTTGGCGCCCCCCAAAAAGCCAATTACCTCGCGCCCTAGGCACGTGCCTACCGTGCCTATTCGGTAAATCGGCCCTGCAATGCAGTTGTCTGCTTGCACTATTGAGGGGAGCAAGCATATTGATCCAAAGCTTTTCCAAAGTCAATAGTAAATCTGTTCCTCGTAGATTAAATATTGCAATATGTAATCAAGTCAATCCCAGGATTAAAAGATGCTAATCCCGGGATTTCTAGGTATCAAGAATCGATTGGGATCCCAAATCCAGGGACCCTTATTTACCACACTTCGGTTGGTTTTACAAGTACAGAAACCATCTAATTGCTGAGTAATGTGAAAAAAGTTATTTTTAAAATGACTATAGTATCCAAACACAGTATATCTTCACTCATATTTTCAAGATTCCTGATTGTATGACTGAAACCAAATGAAAACCAAATATCTAACTCACACTAACACATTTCCTTGCGAAACATCCAGATAGCCTGAGAAATATTACAAATGAACTTTTCTTAAAGGAATTTAACTAAAACATTGCAAAAAATGCATCGACAAAGTTTTTACATTCCCTAGATGTAAAAAATATACTACAATCAGAGAAATGATCTTAATAAATTGTATGAATATTTATTGACTCATTTTAAAATATCTTATTTAGTATGATCTCAAAAAAAATTAAAGAAAAGAATTGGCAAGGTATTTGAGTAGACACAATTGAAATTTGAATCTGAGTTTATTAACGTCGATTGGTAAACAGGGAAACAGTACAAATTATAATTTATGATTGTTAAATCTTAGTTTAAGAAATAACTTTATTAAGCACTAATTAAATGCTAAATATGAGACAAAATTAGGTATTATTTTAAAAATAACAAATGTTTAAGAGTTCTGATGGTCTAAACTTATTGCATCACTCTGATTAGAATGATAAATACACCCATCAGATTGAGAAAAGCTACTTCCTAGTTATAAAATCTCAATTAGTAATCAATACATTGCTTGAATAACCTGTAAATGGTAACTCTTAGTCTAGTATTAAAATATGCTCTCACTTAAAACATTAAAGCGTTTGTTTCCATAGGAGATAAGAAATACCTCTAATTGCAAACAAGTGAATATCATTAAGAACCTAACCCTAATTAAAAGGCTTTCATAAAATTATAAATTCTTTTTAATTTTAAAAATGTAAATGGCCGCCGTTTTGAATTGGATCAAGATAGCATTATTTTCTCACATGGGTCACTTCTACCTTAAGCTACGTACAAAGTTCCATAAAGATTGGTTGAAACAATCTTATATCTGGTTAACAAAGCGATTTTGAAAAAAAAATTTTAATCTTGGTTTTCTCTTCATTTTGACCCATAGAACCATTTACCGGAGTTTGGCTGTTTACGTACAAGACACTCTGTATATTTAGCGAATTTCCAATAAAAGGTATAATCTATTTTTTATTAGGTAGGCTACCAGAGGTTACATGGTAAGACCTGGACCCGGGACCGATTAACTCTTCCGTTATGAGGTCCCCAGAGGCCAAAAACACCATCCGTTCAAATTCATATTATATATTTTTTTTTTATAATATTCGCTGGTAAATATAATCTCATTTACATTTAATTATAAATGCCACTGGGGTGGACACGGACAAACAAAAAATAAAAAAATAGGTAGAGTATATTAATAAATTTGGTACCACTTCTGTGAAACAGCTTCAAATATATTCTGTGAAAACTTCATGGTTCTATATCTTATAGTTCCTGAGAAAAAGGAAATCTGTTGTAAACTTGCATTTTAAAGTATTCATCATATAGTCCAGTAAAATAAGACATTTTGGTATGCAAAAGGTCGGGTAGTTCTGATTTTTGGATATGTTGTTAGTATTGGGCCCATAACATAAAATCCAAGTTATCCACCTCGAGATACTGCCGCTCGCCGCGGGGCGCGCCACTTGTTATCGAAATATCAAAAATATGGCAATTCCTATTGTTTTTCACTCAATCTCGCGAACCGTTGATTTTACCGAAAATTTTAGATTATTACATTAAAGAAGAATAAATGTGTGACAGTTTAAGCCCAACAGCATGTATGTAGCGTAAATAATGGTCAAAATACAGACCATCAAAATAAATAAATTTTCCAAAGACGTATAAAAATTGTGGTTTTTTTCAATATTTCCACAATATAGTTGTTTGAAGCAAACACCGTATTGATTTAGAGAGTATACGAGTTTATTTGCTATTAATAGAAAATAAATGAAAGTATGAATAAAAATACCCCCACCTCAGCAAACCTGCAGACTAAGCGAATTTCCATTTGCTTGATTTGATTTTCACAAACCTTAAATAACATTAGGTTTAACTGGTACCTAGGTTTGCTGCTACAGGGAGTTTAATATATTATATAAAATAATAAGAGTATGACAATAAATATATAAATTTACCCAATTTTATAAAAATGTGTCTATAAATAAGGAAAAACAATAATTAAAAATCTTCGCTATTGGAATAACTTCAGGTTTTTAATTTACATTTTTTAACCTTCTCCGTAACCAATAACTGTAAAAAAACATTTTAATGTAATAATTTATTTGTTTTTAAGCTCTACAAAATTCTTTAATAATACTATTGTAAAATTGTATGTTTTGAGGGTTAAAAATTAAAAAAAAATATTCTTACCGGCGAAATACCTATAAGGCAACCGTTCCTATGGCCTTATCATGCTGATCATACTTCGCGAAACAAAGTAAATGTTAAATAGTCTATCTCTTGATTCACAAATAAAAGTAATGTTTGTAACAAATTCCACTAAATCGGACGATTTTTGGGAATCATCGTGCTAACGGACGATAATAACTTTTTTGGATACAGTTTAGTAAAATCTTTAGCTTTTTTTTGGATACAGGGTCTTCAAAAAACTCACCTAGTTTGAAATTTTGTTTTTTATTGTACTAGATACAAACTACTGTTCAACGACTGATACCATAGAGAAGTCTATGCTGATACATTAAATGAAAGGTAATAAAATAAAAGTTAATTTAACACTATCACACCTCAATATGCGAACCATTTG